CTGAGTTGGCGTTGAAGAACAAATTGGTGATGGGTTTTCTTGTTCCTGTGTGGTTGCATAATCAGATATAGACCCTTCTTTAGATTTTTTGGGGGTGCGTGACGCTGCCTCGGCAAAAGATTTAGAAAAGTCCTGAAAAGCTCTTTTGTTTGACTCACCCATTTTTTTACTTGTGATACCACACAATAATCTTGCAATAATCTTGCAGTTCTTGAATAGACTTTCATAATTGTCAAACCCATTTCCACACACTTTCTCAGCTGAGTTTACCAAAAAATCTCATTTTAGTCAGAGCTGGCGAAAGACCGTGTATCTCCAAGCAAGGGCCACAACTCATTTTATTCCATAATACTATATCTGGGTATGAATACTGTATACAAGATCATGCTTGAAAAATGTGTGACGCTTTTTATAATACATCTTATATTAATTTTGATTCTAAGTAAGTTTATAACCATAACTCATATGAAAGAATACAGGTCTGAAGCCGTCATTGCTGATATTCATTCCCAGATGCAATAGGTATGCCATTGTGGTTAATGAAGGATTTAGAATATAAACGTCAAAGGAGATGGGCGAACAAGGCGCGCAAAATGCCTATAGCTTCAAATGTATGTCATATTCAATTTGTGATTTTATTTCTTATCATCGAAAGGTATGGAAATTTGACGAACAAAACTTTTATGCAGAAAATTCTTTCGGCAAAAATCATTCTATGACTCTAAAACTAGAGTATTCCAAGGAACGCATGTGTCGCCTGCTTTGTAGCTTCATTAAAGGCGTAAATTACTCTTAAGTGTAGTTAGCTATTTATTTACTACTAGTTCATGCAGAAAAAAGCATTCACGAATAGTACAAAATTGCGATAATATCTAACATTTAAAGAAAGTATGATTCCCAACCCTCAATTGAATAAATAAACTAAAATTAAATCAATGTGGGATACCGATCCCGATGTATTTTCATAGTATTTAAATATCAGTTTGTGTAGTAACTGAATATAATACAGTTTCAAAGTACAGTATCCTCATCTCATAAACGTATAAATGCTAATCTTCACCCTACCTCTCAGAATTCAAAAGACATAAGATAAGTTAAACTGTCCGCGGTATATTTTGCAAAGCAGGTCAAAGGTCAAGGCCAAGTAGATTATAACGCTGGTAGTTTTCATAATGTTTTATGACAATCAGTGCACATGCTTAATAACATAGACTTACCTCTTAAATGTCAAAAATATGTTGCATATTGGTACTTTTAACTATTTTGTAAAGTAGGTCAAAGGTTAAGGTCAAGGATCACGAGGTCGGTAACCATGGCAATGCACAATATTCAAAGTGCCAAGGAATATATGTGCAAAATATCAAATTCCTATCTCTTACAGTTCTTGAGATACAAAGTGTGACAGACAGACAGACGCCGGGTAAACTTATCCCTAAGTGCCGCTCTGCTCTGCAGGCGACACAAAAATGTATTCATATATGGTTCGAACCCAAGCAATAAAAATCGTGAGTATCAATTTTCTGTTCGAGACTTACATGCCAACCGTGATTTTAAAGATACGAATGTTGTGTCATAGAAGTATTTTTTTAAAGAATAGTGGGTCTCTGCTCCATTTTTTGTTAATCGATAAATGTATATTTTTAAGTATATTACAGCATACTTTGGATATAGTCTTTCAAAAAAAAAAAAAAAAAAAAAAAAAAAAAAAAAAAAAAAAAAATGTAAGACCCACTCATATGGAAAAATTGTTTAGTATGAAGAATTGATCATTTTTGATCTCTTTAGTGTATGTATACTATTTCATTGACGAACAGTTTCAATTTTTGTGAGATTGTTGCGATTTGTGGAGATTTTACGTAAAGTATTTGTTAATGTTAAATGAAATATCAAAGAAAATTTTGTCATAATTGAGATTTTGTCATAATTAAAAATATGTGGGACCGTACAAAGGAATTTCTTCCCTCAAAACAAACCAAATCTACAACAACACACTTATAGAAGTCGACGGTGAAACAATTACTTGCCCCCAAGAAATCGCAAATAAATTCAATGACTTTTTTTTAATATTGGACATAAATATGCTTCGAAATATCGGGTATATTTTCGTTATCCTCGTCAGTACATCAATCCATCGATCTGTTTGTCACACGCAGTTACTGTAATTTTTTGCGCGTGTGTGTTTTATTCTGTACTAGTTCAATAATGCTTCAGAGTTTTCATTTTCACTTTGGGGCCAAAAATTGATCTTTTTCTACAAAAACTTTTGTTTCCTTTAACAGTTTTTACCAGTAGCCAACCGGTTCCTTTGGAATATGATTGCACGGTGGTGTCCTGTAGATGTGTAATAAAGTTTTTCTAAATATTCATTTGGGAAGCCAATTGGTGGCCATGCAAAAAAGATATTGTTCTTACATTTTACACTGTAAGCAAATAATCCTTTAGAATTTGAATGCCGGGTGGTATCTTGTACATGTATATGTGCATTATGGTTTTGAATTTTCACTCTCATCTAGGAGGCCAAATCGGGGCTAAAAAGTTAAACGCATCCCCTTTTTTTGTTTTCACAAACATTTTCTTTAAAAACCTTTTAAACAGAATTTATACTTCATTAAATATATCAATTCAATTTCAGACTTGTAATGATTTTATAATACATTTATTTAGATATTACTGAAATAAAAGACACATGGGCAACATGTTCACCTGAACATTTTATGCTCAATTTGATACATGTAAATTTTTGTGAAGTATAGAATTACTATTGTTGCTTCTTGTACGAAGGATAATACCTAAGAGGCAAACACTTATGTGCAGGTATTGTACGTTTTATGTAAGCATCTAGTAAATAATATGCATCTTTACTGGAATTATACATTCATACAACTTTATTCAACAATTAACAATTCTGTTAGTGTTTGAGAATGGAAGTGTTCTAGAAAATATAGGTCATGTTGCATCTGAAACGTGACTGGTTCTTTGCATCTATATATATGTAAAACAGGACACGTGGGACAAGGTATTCAAGACTTCTATCAATATGTTTTTGAGAATGGATTACTCCTAAAATGCATCCCCCACAAGGTTACACGCAGTATCCAAAGCAGATATTATTCATCCCAAGATGCAACATGTATACAATATTTGTCGAATCATATATGCGGAAAGAAATTTCGATTACCTCTTACACAGGATGAGAAACCATCGATAAGAAATTGTGACAAACAGATCGACAGTCGGGCGGGGATAACAATACAGCGGACTTTTGTAATATCTTTAATATTGGCCAAGTGAGTCTACCATGGGATATTTTGGAGTCAAGCTGAGGAATGCGGGTATTTGAACTGCCATTTAACCGTGCTAAGTAGCTTCTTGTTTAATTATCTCTATCCCCCCTCCCACCCACCCCCTCTCTCTCTGATATGCTTGGCGGTCAGGAATGGGAAGGTCTGTTGCTGACCAGTGCATTTGTCCATAATCTTTCAGGCTTTGAAGCCTGGATATATTTTCTCCTTTGCTGTAAATATACATACGAAATACATTAAAAGCGTATCCAGCACGGGAAGGGGGATCAGTCTTCTACTTAGGATTTTGAAAGTTGTTATTTTCATATAGTAAAATTACCCAAATTGACGTTGAACACCCCTACCCCAGGAAATAAAGTGCCCTTTTAAAGTTGGTAAAATTTGAATATATACCCAGATAGCATGAGGACATTGGCCCAACGTTGGTCCAACAATGTTGGTTATGTTGGGCCAATGTTGGCAATTTACGTTGGCCCAATTTCCTTTTGCTTATCGGCGCGCCGTTGGCCCAACATGTTGGGCCTATGTTGGTACAACACTGTTTGTTTATATATCAACGATTATATAGCGTTATCCCAACATACCAACGCCAACTCATTATTTTGTAACATTAGCCCAATGTTGGACTTCAGTTCAAAATATAATTATTACGTTGGTCCAACGTTGGTACAACGCTTTTGTTGAAATGTCAACGTTGGTACATCGTTATTCCAACATACCAATGCTAACTAAACATTTTGTAACATTGGCCCTACGCTGGACCTCGGTTCAAAATATAATTATTACGTTGGTTCAGCGTTGGTACAACACTATTTGTTGAAATGTCAACGTTGGCACAATTATTCCTGAATACAAATGTCTTACAAAATCAATTAAATTCTGTAACCTTTTTATTTCCCAGATTATATACGACACAATTAATTTCACCAAGTTTGGCCAAATAAATTTTTCCTCCTAAAAATGTATCACAGTATATTCTTTGTCACTTTCATTAAAGTATCCCGTGGAATGTAACTAAAAGTAGGAAGAGGTAGAAAGTTCAATATTTCTCAAGTATATTCCACATCACTATGTCCATTACAAAATATCGCTTTGATATAAGAGTCTTCAAGTTCTAATTTTTAAAGTTTTGGAAGGTTACATTTGAATCATTCATTCCTTTCTCTGTTATTGTATGTTTATCTGTTTCTAGAATCCATATCTCCCACACGTATTAATCAGTCCCTTCCATATGAAGAAAATGCCACATCAATAGTCTCATAATATAGAAGGCTTTTTCATCCCGCCAATTCCTATAATTGTTAAGAACGTCATCAATTTAAATAATATTTTCAAATGTTCAATCAGCACCCCGGTACTGAAAATTTAAAAGCTTGCAGGCCATTATGATTTTGAAACACATAAATATTTTAATAGCAATTCTTTAGTTTGAATTTCACATTATTAATTATCAATAACAAACACAAAAACTATACTCAGTTATATATATGTGAAGGAAAAGGCGACTTATTTTATAAGAATAAGACCACCCCACCCCCTTTTTGGGAAAAATCCTTGATCTGCCCTTAAAAATGCAATGCTTTAAAAAAAAAACCCAGACCAATTGATCTATTAATACAAAAAACAAGCAAATGGGGGGGGGGGGGGGGGTCCAGTATAAACGAATAGATTACTGTATGACTTGTTCTTTTAGTTGGCGCATGCGCATCGGTTAATAAGACGACGCCATTTTATCAAGGAAAGCAAGGTATTATCGGATTTGACAATTTTGCACACAACAAGTATTTCTTGTCAATTACAAATCATATTTTCCCGGAAAGCACACATCAAAAACATAAAAAGAAGCAGGAGAGTTATTGAGAAGTTGCACTATAATTTAACAGAGATAGGGGAAGAAAATTGAACAACTTTCGTTTTCACTGCAACCTCTAAAAATTACACAAATTAAAACATACCTGAATACATTAATCTCTGCAACTGCAATGTGTGTAAAATCTTCTCCAAATGAGATTATCGATTGAAAAAATATTTACTCTAACGTCCATTGTTATTTGTAGATGCCAGCAGCAGAGGCAGATAGACCTGGGAAAGTATTTGTAGGCGGGTTAGCAAGTGACATAGACGAGGCTGTGTTAGAGAAGTACTTCAGTCATTATGGAAGACTTACAGAAGGTAGTCGTCAGACTGTAGCCACTTGATTTGCAAGAGCAAAGTTTGCTTTTGGTTACAATGTACACCTCTCAATCCACCATTTTATTCTGCATATTGCTATGAAAATTTGACCATTCTATGATAATTTTCAGTGAACTTTTGTAGACTACATTTATTGAATCCTGTAACATTATGAATTTTGGTTCCAACATCCACGCAGAAGGTGGGGTGGGGGTGGTTTACATGTCAAGATTATAATGTTTAAGCGATTTTTAAAACGCTACTTGGTATCAGTGATAACATCCTTTGTATGGAATATTGACAACTACCCTCACTCATCTCGAAAATCTTAAGCAGAATTAAATTCTATTGAATTAATTTTGACTTCTTTATCAAAAATTTCCCAAACTTTTTCATAGACCTCTGGCTTTTCCCTCAATTCTGTAACACTCAGAACTCGAAAGTTACATGCTAGGTGTCGTTTTTGCATCACGTCCGTAATTTCTACTTTGACATTTCCAAATTTTGTAGCATTTTTCACGTTTGACGGTGAATACTCGGATTATTATGGAATGCCTGGGCAATTAAATAGCACGATTAGAGACAAAAATATCTACCGAAACAAGATATCATGACACATTTTGGTGATGTATTAGATAAATGATATTTCAGGCCTGATATCCAAGAGGGGTCCAGTGTCAACAAATGGAAGTGACTTACCTTCTCTATTTTATAATACCGCGGGTATGACTTTTTAGTAAAACCATTAAGATGGTTAATTCTGCGTTATTTTTTGGATTTTTCATATGGAATACATTGCAAATGTGTACTAGAAGAATAGTTTATAAAAAAAAAGACATAAAAATATTTTTTGACCTGGGGGTATATTCGGGGGGAGGGGGGATACGTCCTGTCCACAAATACCTGTGATCAACATCACAAAGCAGCCTGTAACTGTTTTGACTGCCATATTTCCTATAACAATATCATATGTGTGAAATTTATATTTTGGTTTGTTGTCTTAAATCATGAACACACATTTACCTCTGAAGGAGCAATAAATCAAAACATCTGAATGACCTAAATACAAATAAAATTTAAATTTCCCTATTCACTCTTAGAATTTCTCTTTCTTTAATGATTATTTTTAAATTATTTGTAGTCATAGTCAAGAGAGACAAAAACACACATCAAACTAGAGGATATGCCTTTATCACTTTTGAAAACCCATATGATGCTGATGATGCCATCAAAGAAATGGACAAAAAGGTTTGTTGCTTTAATTGTTATCATTTCTGTCTTACTATGATGAAGTTGAGATGAGCTTATGCTATACCTGAGGTTCATCTGTCCAAAGTTGTAAGTACCAGGTCCATTCCCAAATATCGAAGTCCAATGTGGACCATACTTGCTTGGTTGATGCATCTAGAAATGTACACTACCAGAAATGCTTCAAATGCTGCATTTGACCCACTGGATCCAGCAATACAGTTTGTGTTGTATGTAACAAAAAGCATAAATTATAATACAAAAAGAGACATTCTGACTGCACTGTTACAGAAAATTCATGTAAGGGAACACTAACTACAATGAAGTGCAAATTATGTAATGCCTCTATTGCAATGCAAAATTGTCTTGTTTCAAGGATTATCATACCATGGTGTATTACTAGGAATAAAAATCCTTGAAGTGAATAAATGCTGTGTTCAATGAAAACGAATTTGTTTATTTCACAAAGAAAACAATTTCTGAACCTTTATTTACATTGACAGTAAACATGCTCATTTTGAAAATTCATTGACTTTTTTTAACATGTGACTTCATGTGGGCAAAAAACTTTGCAAGTACTACAAAAAAATGTCATCAGTCTGGTATGTATTGTAAAGGTACAATTTATATGCTTTTTTATGACGTCGAGCTCTTGGAGCTCGAACGTCATCTAGCAAGCGCCCAGTTGAAATCGTAACCGGATATGTACGCGACCGAATGTGTCAGTCGATGCATCCGCAATAGAAAATAGCAATAGCTATAGACCAATTTCTTTGAAAACGCTCAAAATGAATAATAGCTTGAAAATAAAATTGCATCAATTATATCTGCAATTAATTCTATTGCAAAACAACAATATTATGTTTTATTCTCACACAAGAAAAACGTGATGGTTGTTGCAGATGAATTTCTACAGAAAGGGTGCGTTGAATGACATGAATAACATTTCGGAACGATAACCGTGTAACATAAACAACACAACAGGAGGTAAAATAATTACAAAATTACATAAACACGAATACTACAAGACTAAAAAGATTGAATTTCCAAATCTTAGCTTTATTTATACAATCGTCTAACCAACTCATCCTAAAAACCGATGATATTGACCAGTATTGCTGTATTTCTCCATTTCCTCAATTTCCCAGTATACCGTATACCACGCCCGATCGTAACTCGATCGTAATTGTAACAGAACAGAGTCTTGGTTTTAGTTTAGATGCAATCACTAATACAATGCTTTGACATTGGCAATTAGAAAAAAATATTATATAAATTCATGAAATCCTTCATAGTTCTTCAACTGACTGAAAAGAATTTAGCATGAACATGTTCGACGGTGTCTGGTCAATTCGAACCCTGCTCCATTCGGACCATGACATAAGGCCCCAGACTGTACTTGTGATATTTTGTTTAAACTATTTTTTTTAATTATGTTTCCTGAGTCAGTCACTTGACTTATTGCTATCTTCAAATTCAAAATGATCTTTTGAAATTGTTTTTCTTCTTCGACGTCATTGAAGCCTTTCAGGCTTTTGATTTAATGTATGTTTTTATAGGAAATTCATGGTAGACAGATCTATGTAGAGCAAGCTGTAAAACCAAGACACGAAATACAAAACCAGCGACCACCACCGAGAGGTGGTAGCTTTCGGGGTGCACCACGAGGAAGTCGAGGGGGTGGTGGATCAGGGCGTGGTGGAGGAAGTCGAGGTGGACCACGAGGGAGAGGAGGAGATGGAAACATGGAAATGAGGAGGTTAGTGTTGTGTGGAATGTTTTTATACAAAACAAGACAAACGAAATGAAATACCCAGTGTACTTCATTACATGATGTTCAACATTTTACTGTGTTTCACAGTCTTAACTCTTAATATGCTTCTTGTTCAACAATTTGCTGTTGATACAGTAACAATCAAAACTTCATAGGTGAGATTCCACTGTTATTTGATTTTTATGCAAATTACTTATGATTGGAAAAAAAAAGAAAAAAACAGCAGTTTTGATTGCCAAGTGGGCTGTTTTTATTTGTTTGATTGCTTTACTTGGCAAATTAATGACATGCTTCTAGATCAAATTACAGGGATAGACTTGTAAAAGATGCAGAAAGTTATTTTATTTTCAGATATTGAACAATATACTCGCAAGTTACATTGAAGAAATAAAGTCAAAATCTAAAATTATATATAGTAGGTCCCCCATTCGACAGAGGTCAGATCGTGGGAGGTCAGACAGAGATTTCAGTAGGCAAGAGAGAGGGGCCCCACCCCCTAGGAGGGATGGGTATGATGGTCCACCAAGGAGAGGTATGTAATCTCTAACAATCTCTGTATTCTGATTGGTTATTTAATATATGCAAATGTTTGAGTCTGACGTGACAGTTGATTTAAAGAATCAGAACTGGTGGAAAATGCTATTTTTTATTAATTTTGAGGCAGCAAAAATTCTGATGAAGAAAAAATTATGTTAGTAAAGTTAAAAAAAAAAGTGAAATTAGACTACTTATTCCAAATATGTTTTAACAATTATCCACATGTAATAAATCATTCCTGCATTGAGTCAAAAAAGGAAATCAGTCTTTTCTCAGGGAAGATGTAGACCTAACATAAAATGGTAAAACACAGCAATAGAAAAACATGGGGGGTAGCCAGTATTAGGTCTTCTTACTTAAAAAAGACTTTGTTGAAAGAAGGGGGAAGGGTTGAGAAAAAAGAATATTGGTTAGTGTAGAAACAATTACAGTGGAAACTAAACATGGAATCTGCTGATATTTTCTACACCCAAATTTTCCATAGGTTTATGTACATATATATGTGTTTTATTTGAATATCTTCAAAATCCTTCTAAATAGAGTTCTAATGATCAAAAAGAAATTTACAATTTGATAATTAAAAAAAAAAGTTATAATTGCTTAATATAATTAGTTTTTAGCTCACCTGAGCCGAAGGCTCAAGTGAGCTTTTCTGATCACATTTTGTCTGTAGTCCGTCTGTCTGTCCGTCTGTCCGTCTGTAAACTTTTCACATTTTCGACTTCTTCTCAAGAACCACTGGGCCAATTTCAACCAAACTTGCCACAAAGTATCCTTGGGTAAAGGGGATTCAAGTTTGTTCAAATGAAGGGCCACGCCCTCTTCCAAGGGGAGATAATTAAGAATTCGTGAAAAATTAATGGCATCATTAAAAAATCTTCTTCTCAAGAACCACTGTGCTTGAAAACATGAAACTTATGTGGAAGCATCCTCAGGTAGTGTAGATTCAAGTTTGTTCAAATCATGACCCCCGGGGGTAGGGTGGGGCCACAATGGGCGATCAAAGTTTTACATAGGAAATATACAGGAAAAATCTTTAAAAATCTTCTTCTCAAGAACAGCAAAGCCATACTTGGTCATATTTATATGGTAGCATCCTCAGATAGTGTACATTCAAGTTTGTTCAAATCATGACCCCCGGGGGTCGGGTGGGGCCACAATGGGCGATCAAAGTTTTACATAGGAATATATAGGAAAAATCTTCAAAAATCTTCTTCTCAAGAACAGCAAAGCCATGATTGGTCATATTTACTTGGAAGCATCCTCAGGTAGTGTAGATTCAAGTTTGTTCAAATCATGACCCCCGGTGGTAGGGTGGGGCCACAATGGGCGATCAAAGTTTTACATAGGAATATATAGGAAAAATCTTTAAAAATCTTCTTCTCAAGAACAGCAAAGCCATAATTGGTCATATTTACATGGAAGCATCCTCAGGTAGTGTAGATTCAAATTTGTTCAAATCATGACCCCCGGGGGTCGGGTGGGGCCACAATGGGCGATCAAAGTTTTGCATAGGAATATTTAGGAAAAATCTTTAAAAATCTTCTTCTCAAGAACAACAAAGCCATCATTGGTCATATTTATATGGTAGCATCCTCAGGTAGTGTAGATTCAAGTTTGTTCAACTCATGACCCCCGGGGGTCGGGTGGGACCACAATGGGCGATCAAAGTTTTACATAGGAATATATAGGAAAAATCTTTAAAAATCTTCTTCTCAAGAACAGCAAAGCCATGATTGCTCATATTTATTTGGTAGCATCCTCAGATAGTGTACATTCAAATTTGTTCAAATCATGACCCCCGGGGGTCGGGTGGGGCCACAATGGGCGATCAAAGTTTTACATAGGAACACATAGTAAAAATTCTAAAAAAAAAAAAAACAATTTGTTAAGAATAGCAAAGCCATGATTGGTCATATTTATATGGTAGCATCCTCAGATAGTGTACATATAAATGTGTTCGAATCATGACCCCCGGGGGTCGGGTGGGGCCACAATGGGCCATCAAAGTTTTACATTGGAACACATAGTAAAAATCTTTAAAAAAAACTATTTGTTAAGAATAGCAAAGCCATGATTGGTCATATTTATATGGAAGCATTCTTAGATAGTGTACATTCAAGTTTGTTCAAACATGACCCCTGTGGATCAGGTGGGGCCACAATGGGTGATCAAAGTTTTACATAGGAATACATAGGTTAAATCTTTAAAAATCTTCTACTCAAGAACAGCAAAGCCATGATTGGTCATATTTAAATGGAAGCATCCTCAGATAATGTAGATTCAAATTTGTTCAATTCCTGACACCCCCCCCCCCCCAACCACTTTTATATTTAAACTTTTCAACCTTTCAAGATTGAAGTGATTTCTGCTTTTTCCTAGCCATAGTGCTCAGGTGAGCGATGTGGCCCCTGGGCCTCTTGTTGAGTGTAAGGCTGCATTTTGTAGGGAGAGGATAATGAGTAGACATTGTCCTGACCTTTACAGACTGATTCACTGTTCCTCATCATGAAATTAAAAAAAAAAACTTTATGGATGAGCTTCACGGCTCACATAATTAGAATTTTCTTTCCAGATTTGATCAATGAATTTGAGCACACACAAAAGTTAGATGAAGAAAAACCCTGGATTACTCCAGATCTAGTGTTACTAGTTAGACAGAAGGATGAAATGCAAGAATGGGCAAATAAATGCCCAAGTCTAATGGCTGAGTTCAGAAAATTTCGTAATCATGTAAGAATGAAAATTAGAAAAGCAAAAGTAGAGTATGAAGATCCAACAGGTGAGAAAAGGGATGAAGAGTTCAAACAGAGAATGCTTAAAAAGGGTTTGACACCTGAGGAAATAGAGAAAAGGAAAAATGATTTAAATAGGCCAGAAACACATCATGGTGGGAAAAAATATGAGCCCCCAATTATGTACCCAGGAAATTTAGCAACTGCAACTACAACATTGCAAGTTGGTGGTCCTACGGAGACCTTGTCTGTCACTCATGACCCAGAGGCAAAACAACAAAAGGCCAAATTTGTAAATCTGATGTCAAAACAGAGCAAAACTGTTTATGAATCCTATCAAAAGAAAAATATTTCCAAAGGAAACTGGTCGGAAAAACAGGCAAACCCAAATCAAAATGTCAATCAGGGTTGGTATAGTCAAAGTGCTCCTTCAACCTCCCAATATTCAAGTACAAATGTCCAGCAGCCTGTCGAATACACACAGACACAACAAGCATATTCACAGGTTAATACTTCATATAACTGGCAGAGTTATACAAATCAGCAACAACAGTGGGGTTCTGCGACAGGGCCACAAGAATACACTTGGTCTTCAAACTACAGCTACACAACTAGTGACCATAATCCTAAACCAAATCAGAATGCAACAACAGAGGAAACTCCACAAAATCCCTGGCAACAAGCCATGGCAGATTATTGGCAGAAAGCATCAGAGACATCTAGTTTTGGACCACCTGTAGAAACAGGTGGTTTTACTCAGACTTCTGTAAGCCAAACTATGCCATACACAAACCAGCAATTTGCAAGTCAGACTCAGTCATCAGCATATCAGAACCTTAACACTGTAAGCTATGCTCAAACTCAGAGCGTTAACACTGTAGCTCATACTCAAACTCAGAGCTTTAACACTGTAACCCCTACTCAAACTCAAAATCCTCAATTGTCAAGTTCAAATTCAATTGCGGACCGTCTTAATCAAATGGCATATGGAGCTCAACCTGTGGCAAACCCAGAAGTCCAGGGACCGGTAAATGATAATGTTAACTTGAAAGACACTGCAAAAAAACCACCAAATTCAAATTCTGGAAAATCAAACCAAGTATCCAGTGTTAAGCAGTTCAAGCCACCAGTACAATATTTCAAAGGAGTTGCAAAGAATAAAAACAAAATTCAAATTCACATAAATCAGAAATTTGCATTAGGAGGAGAATCCCAAGCAAAAAAAGATAGTAATACTGGAACAGAAAAGGAAGAAGTTGAAACTAATGTGTCTGAATCATCAGTGAAAGAAAACCCTTGGCTGCAGTCAATTGAGGAATTTTGGAAGAACCCACCTAAAATTCTAGATTCTGAAACATCTAAGCAATCATCAAGTGCTACTCAGTCAAGTTCAACAAAGAGCCATACTCAAACTCATCTGAATGAAAATCAGGCCAAAAGTAATGCACAGAGTGGAGCAAATCAGGCCAAAAATGAGGCTCAAACACAAGAAATAAATACAAAAAATGAACAGAAACCAGAATCAAAATCAGAGAACAATCCATTACCTGAAACTGAATTAAAGCCAGTTAATGAGAATCTGTTAGAATCACAGAAGGAAGCCCTTCAGAAAGTTATCAGTAATAAACCTCTGAAAGATAAAAATTGGTCAGAAGGCCAAGAAACTGTTGACATTGAGGAACTGGACTTCAGTACTGATAACCCTCATTATTTTCCTCATCCAGCTACTGTATCCCCATACGAAGATTTTACAGATAATAATAGTGGTGGGAATACTGTTAATGTTTACCCTTATGGCCAAGGTGGAAATGAAGGTAATTTGTGCTCAAGATACATGTAGTTGCATTTAGCATGTTTTAGATCTAAAACAATAAGATGGGCAAATTGCCTAAAGCCACAATAAATCAAAAGAGAGGCAAATTGCCTAAAAATTGTTAAGAAAATATAGCAAGTTTGCTTTGCAATTTATGAACAATTTTAAGTAATAGAGGCTAATAGCCTGCAACTATAATTTAATAGGCAGTTTGTCTTTTTTTTTTCAGGATTAAATTGTAATGCATAAAGGGCAATTAGCCTTTAAATGTCTTGAGTTCATTTTCAATGATACTATTTACTAATCCTAAATAGACTTCCTTCCAAATTTGTTCATTTATGTAATATCTTTGAATGATTTAATCCTTAGAATGAAATTTTGATAGTAATTTTATATTTTTGCAGATTTTGGGGGTGATCGTTATGGTGGGATGGACAGAGGTATGGACCGTGGTCCACCCCAAAGATCAAGGGATCCACCAATGTCTCGTGGTAGAGATAATTATTCACCAGCCCCTAGAGACTTCAGCAGAGGTTCTGGCCCCGACAGGTTTGTGTACATGCATTTGAAAAAAAAATTTTTTTAATACTTAATTACTTTGTCCAAACTTTCACATATTTTGTTGTAAGAGTGATCAGATAAACAATATTTACATGTAGGTTTGAATGTTTATGCTTTAATTTGTAACAGGATGACTAGGGGCTCAGGAAGAGATTTTCAACAGTCGTCACGCTATGACCCTCCACAGAGAGACTATTCCCCTCCCCCTCGTGAATATCAGTCTTCACGGGACATTGCATATGAAAGGGGGCCAACATCAAGAGACAGACTGCCATCCAGGTATTTACAAAAGTTTCTGAAACTCTGATGTTATTGGGCCTTAAAAATATGTGTTGACTATTACATGCTAACAAAATATAAGATCATTGGTAGGAATTTTTTTTTCAAAAATTTTTTGACTTAAAGGCATAACTGTGAAATGCAATTTTTAGCTCACCTGAGCCGAAGGCTCAAGTGAGCTTTTCTGATCACATTTTGTCCGTCGTCCGTCTGTCCATCTGTCTGTCCGTCCGTCTGTAAACTTTTCACATTTTTGACTTCTTCTCAAGAACCACTGGGCCAATTTTGACCAAACTTGGTACAAAGCATCCTTGGGTGAAGGGAAATTTAAATTGTTAAAATGAAGGGCCAAGTCCCCTCACAAGGGGAGATAATCAAGAGAAGACAAAAATAGGGTGGGGTCATTAAAAAATCTTCTTCTCAAGAACCACAGGGCCAGTAAAGCTGAAACTTATATGGAAGCATCCTGGGGTAGTGTAGATTCTAAATTGTTCAAATCATGACCCCCGGGGGTGGGGCGGGGCCACAATGTGGAATCAATGTTTTACATAGAAATATATAGGAAAAATCTTTAAAAATCTTCTTCTCAAGAACCACTGGGCCAGAAAAGCTGAAACTTATGTGGAAGCATCCTGGGGTAGTGTAGATTCTAAATTGTTCAAATCATGACCCCCGGGGGTAGGGCGGGGCCACAATAGGGAATCCAAGTTTTACATTGAAATATATAGGAAAAATCTTTAAAAATCTTCTTCTCAAGAACCACTGAGCCGGAAAAGCTGAAACTTATGTGGAAGCATCCTGGGATAGTGTAGATTCTAAATTGTTCAAATCATGACCCCCGGGGATAGGGCGGGGCCACAATAGGGAATCCAAGTTTTACATTGAAATATATAGGAAAAATCTTTAAAAATCTTCTTCTCAAGAACCACTGAGCCAAAAAAGCTGAAACTTATGTGGAAGCATCCTGGGATAGTGTAGATTCTAAATTGTTCAAATCATGACCCCCGGGGGTAGGGCAGGGCCACAATAGGGAATCCAAGTTTTACATTGAAATATATAGGAAAAATTTTAAAAATCTTCTTCTCAAGAACCACTGGGCCAGGAAAGCTGAAACTTATGTGGAAGCATCCTGGGATAGTGTAGATTCTAAATTGTTCAAATCATGACCCCCGGGGGTAGGGCAGGGCCACAATAGGGAATACAAGTTTTGCATTGAAATATATAGGAAAAATCTTTAAAAATCTTCTTCTCAAGAACCACTGAGCCAGAAAAGCTGAAACTTATGTGGAAGCATCCTGGGATAGTGTAGATTCTAAGTTGTTCAAATCAGGACCCCCGGGGGTAGGGCAGGGCCACAATAGGGAATACAAGTTTTGCATTGAAATATATAGGAAAAATCTTTAAAAATCTTCTTCTCAAGAACCACTGAGCCAAAAAAGCTGAAACTTATGTGGAAGCATCCTGGGATAGTGTAGATTCTAAATTGTTCAAATCATGACCCCGGGGGTAGGGCGGGGCCACAATAGGGAAACATTGAAATATATAGGAAAAATCTTTAAAAATCTTCTCAAGAACCACTGGACCAGAAAAACTGAAAGTTATGTGGAAGCATCCTGGGATAGTGTTGATTCTAAATTTTTCAAATCATGACCCCCGGGGGTAGGGCGGGGCCACAATAGGTATTACAAGGGGGGAAGTCTGGTAATGAACAGCATGGCCAAAGTTACTCAGGTGAGCGATGTGGCCCATGGGCCTCTTGTTTAAAGACAGTTTGAAGCCCTCTTCTAGCCATAAAATATTTTCATTTTACAATTTATCAGACAGCTCTAAAAACAGCTACTAAAAAGTGACCCTATGACCTAGAAGCTGTTATGTTTCAAGATAATATAGACATGCGATTTATCAATTTTACAATGAAAAAAAAAATCTGTGGTTGGTCGTTAACCATAAACAAACATGATTTAATGCCCCCGTAATCGAAGATATAGTTTTGCTCTGTATGTCTGCAAAAACTTTATCCATAACTTTTGATTGGTTGAAGCAAGGGCTTTCATACTTTACATGTGTATTCCTTGTGACAAGACCTTTCTTTGGGTACTGACATATTTGACCTCTTGACCTTGGAGTTTGACCCACTTTTGCAAAATTTCACCAAACTTTATCCTTTGCCATAACTTTTGAACGGTTGGTGCTAGGGCTTTCATACTTCACATGTGTATTCCTTGTGATGAGACCTTTTCTTGAATGTATATACAGTAAAACTTGTTGAATCCGGATGTTGTACATTCCGGCATGTTGTTCAGTCCGGCGTAATATTTTAGTCCCCTGAATTTTCTTTATAATTTATGTTTAATAAATGTTGTCCAATCCGGATCTTGCCTATTCTGTAAACCGGTCGCTATTTAAAGAACCAACTGCCCATAATTAGTACAAATTATCTCCTCTAATCCGGCCACTTATTTTTACCTGTGCCCGCTGGTCATTAGAGAAGTCTCGCGTGGGGTAATTATTGTCCCGTTAATGATCTATCCTGTATCGACAGTTTAGATTTTAACCAACGTGATAAAAAATCATTAATGGCTCAAGTAAAGCTAGGAAATTAACTCGCAAAAGAACGAGTGATAGTGATGGTTGCCTGTAGCATGTCAGTAGAAAAACTTGGAGACTTATTCATGACCTCCTTTCTACTTTCGTTTTGCGTGCACGACGTGCAATTCGAATTACTTCCCTTTGTGTCGCTAGTTTACAACGATCATAACGACAGAAGATTTTGGTTCCATATTCATTATAACATTTGAAATTAACAAATACAGTGTCTCTAAATATTCAAACATATCAATTTTAAAAGAAATTAATTAATTAGGAATCCGTCCCTAACAAAATAATATTTACAGCTACGATGAGGTTTTGGAGTGTGTTTAAAACATTTAACGATTTTCAAATTTAATAAATGACGAAGAGATGTTAGCCTATATTTCGTTACTGAATAAAAAACATAAACAGAAATGAAAATTCTGAAGAACAAACAGAGTTTAAAACAAACGGAAATAGACGATTTTTTTTAAGTGAAACGTAAAAATGACACATTTGATCAAGTATTTATTTACCACTCTTTGTTTATATCTATGTAATTTTTGACTCGCTATAATGGTTCAATTTTCTCCAATCCGGATGTTGTCTAATCCGGCCAAAAATTTTGGAACCACTGGTCGCCGGATTAGACAAGTTTTACTGTATTTTTGACCTTGATCTTGCAGTATTACCTACTTTTGAAAAATTTTAACCTTGGCCATAAATTTAAAATGGTTGGAGCTTGGGCTTTCAAATTTTACATATGTATTCCATGTGACAAGATTTCCAACACTTTTGACCTTGGTATTTGATCTACTTTTTAAAAAAAAATAACCTGGCCATAACTTTTGAATGGTTGGTGCTAGGGTTCCATATTTTCTTGTGACAAGAACTTTCTTTTGATACCAACAATTTTGAACTTTTGACCTGGATGTTGGATTTTGACGTACTTTTGAACAGCTTTATAACCTTCACCATAAGTTTTGATGGCTTTCACATTTAAAATATTTGTGATCCTTGTGACAAGACCTTCATTGGGTACCAACAATTTTGAACTTGGAGTTTCACCTATTTTTGAAAAAACTTCAACCTTGATCATAATTTCTGAATGGTTGCTGCAAGGGCTGTAACCCTTTAAATAATTTTTTATAAGATAATGAAAATTCGTTTATTTCACAATTTAGAGACTCATGGAATATGGCCATATAAACTTTGAGGTGTCATGTACATGTTAATGTTTAAAGATGTTAAATGGTGCATATTTTATCAGAGATTATGGTTCTCCTCAAAATACTAGAGATTATGGAGGTGGAATGTCTCGAGGTGGCACCTCAATGTATGGAGGATCACGTGACACAGGGATAGGAGGCAGAGATGTTTACAGTGGGGGAAGGGACAGAGATCAGTCTAGAGATTACGTCAATTCAAGGTAAAAGTCCTTACTGTTCTTCACTAACTTTAAACTCTTAAACACCATTCTAGGTGTAGTTATTTGTTGTTTTATGCTAAAAAAAATCGAACTTCTTGTTGGTCAATTTTAGAGATTTTAGCAGCCGTGGTGGAAGTTCAAGAATGGGCCCCTCTAGAGGAGGACCTTCCCGAGGAGGAGGAGACTTTGATCGAGGACAGCCACACGAAGATTCCTTCAGAGGTAATATAGACCAATATCAAATATATATGTTGTTAATGGGCCATTTTGAGAATTAGTTTCCTTGCCATAACTCTCCAGTAAAAATATGCTAAGTAGGACAAGGGAAATAAAAAGAAATGCTCAGCATCATGGAAAATAAGAAGTTAAGTGTTTGGTTTTTTTTTTTAAGTTTGATCTTATTTAACTGCTTCATATTAGTAAAATGTTCTAAAAATATTTTAATCCTGATTTTTAAAGCATTAATTCAATTCTGAAGAGTTCCAACAAGAGAAGTGGTTCAGAAATAAGCCTTTTGACAACTGCACTCTGTGTTTGTGCTTTGTGTGTTACTAATCATTTGGATATTTATTTTTAGATTCTGGAAGAGGTGGTCCCCCAAGTCGAGGCCCTGCCAGTAGAAGCTTCAGTAGTATGAGTAAGTAGTAGTTCACTATCTGTTGTAGTTTTATGTGTTGTTCTTGGACTAGGCCTGAAAAAGTTGTTGATCAAATGAAAAATGGAAATGGATGACAAAGAATTGAAATATCAAAAAATTAATGGAATGACTGACAAGGATCTGAAATGTTCAGAGAATGAAGGAATGAAATCATACACAAATTAAACAGAAATCAAAACAAAGGAAAACTGCTGTATTTGTTACAAAGTGCAATGAATATCTTCAGTGGAAAAAAAAGTTGATCGTCAACGTAGCATGTAAAAGCATCCAGAGGAATTTACAGAAACAGCATCACTGAGCTGACATCTTTGCCACTGAATAATGAATTACAGGATTAGGAGTGAACTGGAAAAAATTATTTGAGGATCAAGTGAAAAATATTTTATCAAATATTAATCAAGTTGAAAAGCAATGTTAAAAGAGGAGTGCAATATCTACATGTTTTGTTTTGTTTGTTTGTTTTTGTTTCTTTGTTTTGGTTTATTTATTTATTTATTTATTTTACATGCAAGGAGGATAAATGTAGATGACACAAGGATGAACTTCTCCTTTGTTCCAGAGTACATTTACAAGAATTCAATGTGCACCTCAACTGTTTCTTTCTCCTTCTCTTAGGGAAATGTCTTTCTTAATTTGTTTTTGATAAGAGAAACAGAGAGATAAATTTTTACTTTTTATTCTTTTTTTTTTTTTTTAGTTAAAGTAGAAATCCTTGATAAGTATATTCAGTTATGGGTACCATACTATCAGTTTAAGATACATACAAGTTATACACAGTATATATTTTCCTTGATTATTATCCTATTTCAAATTCATACTGAGAAAAGCCAGAAAGCTGGCAAATAGGTTATAATCTGAAAGCTAGCAAATATGTCATTTTATAAAAACTTCCCTTGTCTGGAAAAACAATTTTAATGCTTTGTGTCTGAAAAATTGATTTTAAAATGCTTAAATTGAAAAAGTAAATGAGATCTTCAGTGCAGTCACTTAAAAAAAAAAAAACATTATTTGATTTGTTAAAATTTTATATAAATATTTTTATGATTGACAAGTTATCAAAAACAGGATTCAAATATTTCTCTAAGAATTTAGAACACTGAAACATGTAAACATGATAAATTATACTTCTGTATGTCCCACTTTGCTTACTTTTCTGCTCTCTTTCACTAATAAGAGTTCTGATGAGGGGATTAATTCTAAAAATAGCATATGATGATGCCCAGGCCAAATAAACTGCTTAGAAAATCTGTTTGAAGGATATGTCTGTTTGCATTCCAATTTGTTATCAATGATGACCCTGCTTGTAGAAAGGAATTGAAAATTGACAGAAAACAAAAAGAACACAATGAAGAATTTATGAAATGCTCTGTTTTTCAAAAATTCAACAGTCACTGAGGTTTCCAAATTCATATACACAAGAAATCTTCATTCCATCAAAAGGAAGAATTTAATTATTTTAAGCTACTGCAACATGGATCAGTGCAATATTGTCAAGCTTCTGCAAGTGCAATGTTTTAAAGCTACTATAATGTGGATAAGTGCAATGTTTTGAAGCTACTGCGATGTAGATCAGTGCAATGTTTTGAAGCTACTGCAATGTGGATCATTGAAATGCTGTCAAACTACTGGATTAGTTGCAGTGCTGTCAAGCTTCTGCAACATGGACCAACTTCTCACAGCAAAGCAGTTGAAGCAATATTGCTGTTGAGCAGCTTTAGGAGGCTAATTTTTATGTCCCGTCGTGAATATGGCCGAGGCATATAGTGCTTGTCATGTCCGTCTTCGGTCCTTCCATCCGCCGTTCCGCCTCACTTTGCATTTAGCTTAGTTTTAAAGATACTGTTCGATATATTTATCAAACTCATTATGATGATATATATTGAAGAGTAATTCAACTGCAGTACTGCATCATTTTTGTTTACCTTTATGTTTCCTTTGACCTTGACCTTGCTTTTCAAAAATTTATCTTTAGCTCAATTTCAAAGACACTATCCAAGATAATTTTATCATACTGTACATGCTGATGCATATTGATGTGAGCATCAATTTTTTTTACCTTGACCTTTACTTTGACCTTGACCTCACTTTTGTAAAATTTGTGTCAAATTTAAAAAAAAAAAAAAAAAAAAAAAAAAGGAAAAAGAAATTCTCCACTTGAAACATATTTTTTCAAGTAACAAAAAATAGAAAATGAGAAAAAAAATCAGATAAGTACTTTTTGAAATTAATTGCAAGCAACATTTGATAACAGTCATTATGATTTTCCTAAGGATCCAAAGTTTTTGACATGGACGAATGAAATTGCTTTACAATGAAACAAGAAATAGAGGAAAATACCATAGACTGAAAAGGATCACTGAAAATAACAAACATCAATCGAAATAGCTCTTGACATGTTGGAAAGCATAACAACAAGCAGAGTTTATCAAAAGCAACTAAGGGATAAAGGGAAAAAAAATCCACTGTCAACTTGAGAAAATTATCTGAAAAGATTAAATGGCTTCACTGCAGAAATGAATATTTGACTGGACTGCTCAATCAGTTGGAAAGGATTGGCGAAATTGCAATCCCAATGAAGTCAGGATTTCAAGAATCTTGCAACATTGCTTTTCTCAGCTTCAAATAATTCTGCAAAAGTTTTCTACAATCGTAAACTCACCAAAGAATGTATTAGAAAATGTATGATACTGATGCAGTACCACCAAGACACCGTAACCTAGTTTGCTCATTGCCAGGATAAAACCTAAAGCCTCAATAATGCATTCTGTAAATATATGCATTATATAAGAACACCCATTGTATAATTTTTATTGCTTTCGAAAAATATTTCAAACTGAAATACAAATATTATTTGCTTTCGTTCATTTGCGATATGTTCTGTGCAGTATTTGTGATTCATAAAATATGTTCCTCAAATAAATTGTTTGGAATATAGGCTCACAAAGAGACGGTGGACGTCCCTCTCAAGGAATGTATGAATCGCCAAACCGAGGCCCACCTCAAAGAGGTGCACCCTCAAGAGGACACCCTCAGCGAGACGACAGAGACAGGGGAGGTTATCCTGGGGGTCAGCGTAGACCTTCAAATATGGACTCTAGAGGAGGTCCACCTATGAAACGCTCTAGACCTAGTGGACCATCTTCTCGTGGGGGAATGCGGAGATGAATACTAAAATCTACTGAAGAGTCATTTTAAGAGAATATTTCAATTTTTCATTTTTTAAAAGTTTTATTTCAAAGTTTTGAATATAAGTGTTTGGAAAAATATTAACATTTTTTTTTTTTACATACTTTCATTCATGAACTTATTATTGTACATATAGCATTTGAAATTTGATCGACATTTGATCATTTTTCTCATTTATTAAGCTGCAAATTATGTTATATTAGTGTAATAGAAAAAAATAAATTAACAAGATAAAGCTGTTTTATCTCTTAAAAAAAAGAGTAATTCTGTGTTGATTTGGACATCCGAAAATGAAGGATTTTTTTGTTTCCAAAAGGAAATCCTCTAATATTTCAAAGAAATTACAAATACAATCTACGATGGAAGATCATCGTTGGAAATTTTAGAAACTGGAAACTGTACAACAAGCCAATGTGTGAAATGCAATGTAGCAAAGATGGGAGAATTATACTTTTTTTAAAGTAATCCAATCCAAGTATAAATTGTCAACACGCAGTATATCTGTTTGCCATATACATATTCATACTGCTCAAATTGAATTCTTTGAAAATAAAAAAAATAGTAAAAAAAAAAAAAAAGTATTGCCTAAGTGTTTTGGTAGTATAATAATGTATGAAGGATGCTATCACTCTTGTCATAGAGGATTGATTTTAATTTTAAAAAAAATGTTTGGCAAATTTTGTTCTGATATATACCTTCAAATTATCAACAAAAAAACTTCAGATCTCTTATACATAATAGAATGATACCGCGTTGGGCAACTTCTAAGAGATTGAAAACAGATCAGAATATGTTAAAAATGGTTCTCTATGAGCACTATAATTACCAATAGTTCTCAATGGGTGCCATAATTACCACTTTCATGAATTATCTCTTGGAAGATGTAATCACATTGCATATTTTGCAAGAGAGTCATTTCAGATACATTGATCTCATGACAAAGGAAAAAGTGCAAAATTTACAGCTCATTTCTTCTTGCTGCTTGTGTCCGTAATGTGATGGTATATTTACCTTATTATATAGCCTTGTTTGTGCAAGTAATCAAGATAAAACTACCAGCATTTTACTGTTGCAACTTGAGAATATCAACAATATGAGAAAGAAAAACCTTTACCTTCACAATGAAAACTAAATCTGACAGGATATCACCTTCAAAATAAATGACCAAAAGGAGCTCAAAATCAAGGAAACAAACCAACAGAATTTGTAAGTAAATCAATTTGAAAAGAAATTTTAATTCTTAGGAAATCAACATTGAACCATCTTACTGAAACAAGGCTGTGGGGAAAATTTTGGATGTTGAAATGTTCATCTAAGGTAACAAAATGAAACATTTATTTAGCAACAAACTTCAAACTGAGAAGACAAGTGGTGGATATGTAAGAAATCAGAAAGAAGGAGGTGTTGTCGACACTCTGTTTAGTGGTGTACCTGTTGGAGACAGTGAATTCAAGCTAAAAATTATTTTTTATGTAAATTACTATAAAGCTGAAGTGTTAAATAATCTGAAATGTTAAAAATTCTCAAGTATTAAATTGTTAAACATTAGAATTTAAAAAAAACAAAAAAAAACCCAGATCATTTCATGAAAATTAAAGTGTTTTCTTTCTAATTTTTGTTCTTAATCATTAAAACTTGGTACTTTTATTTTTTAGGGTGAATCTGTAGCTCTGCTGGGAGGAAAGAATCCAAGAGAAACTTTGGAAGTCGTGGTATAGCATGTAAGTTTATACCGTTATTGTAAAACAGTTAATATGCACTGTTCCCTATAGTTCTGGGATTTGTACTCCATGCCATCATTGATTTAGTAAGAGGCAATCAAATCTTATCTGGCCTTTCCGTGGAATGTAATCACATCAGCAGATGTTAAAAATTTTATTCAAAATGGAGTCACTTCCTATTTTTTTAAGTATTGGATGGAAATGGTTAAATGTCCGTTCTGAAGTATATTTTGGGTTATATGTTTACATTCAGTAAAGTTGTGCTCTGGACTACACAGATAAAAGATCCTTCTTCATCTATTTCAATGTTTATGAAAAGGGGTTTGTCATGGACGCTTACATAATACATGCAAGGTTGTTTTTCCGCTTGTCGGAAAGGACCGCGATTGAGTAAGAGGCAGAAGCATCTCTACCCAGTTTCAAAGTTTTACTATTGAGAAGTTCTTTAGCTCGAGTATATCAAGATTGTGATCTTATTTTCAGAGTTAAACACATTAATTTATAATCTTCTCACTTATTTTGCAGGTGCTGTTTAACTACGGAAAAGATGTTGAGAAGTTCAAAAGTTTTGGTACCTAAAGGTATTGTATGTGTAGTTTGTTTCTTTTTGTTTGTGTTTTAAACTTGTTACCATTTCTCTTACAGATGGGACTGGAACTGTATCAGATACGAGATCAGACTGTAAAAAACACCAGAATTGATGAAACCATGTACATGTACTTGGAAATATTAAGATTTCTTACAAAATAAAAAGTCACATATTTTGTACTTTATTCCTTTCAGAAAGTAGAGGATAGTTTGAAACTGAAACTAGAGAATTTGTCATGGATTTTGGGGAGTAAATCCTGTCCTATGTTAACTGTGATAACTGAAAGACTGTGATGTCTCCTAATGAAATGTCTGGGATGAAGAGGTGTGATGATCTCTCAATAGCTTTACAATTGCTAGAACACAATCATCCAGGGGGAATTGCTATCAACCCTGGTTGTGCTACAGGAAGAGAGAAAAATTTGTGAACTAGTCCAGGATTCAAATTCTCGCCCCCTCATTCACTGTTAAGGTGATCAATCAACTGAGCTATCTGACCAACTGTGATCAAACCTGCCTGATCGCCACATCCCTCCCTCCTTGAAAGTCTTTAGCTCCCAAAGACACCAACCAAGGCTCTTCCTTATCAGGTCTTTCACCTGTGACTTCCAGGGTATGGCACAGTGCCAAATGTAATGAAAGGAGAAAATGTGACAGACCAAACCAGGATTCGAACATGGGCCCCTGAATCATAAACACGGCAGATAATCAGGTGTTACACCAAGTGAGATAACAGTCACCAACCATCGAACCTGTGTGACTGCCACATTATCCAATTTCCATTTTCTTTTGCTTGCATTTTTAGATTGGCAAAAAATAAATTTAGCGTATGGCTCGTGTGTACTGTACTTAAACGTGCAAAGGTTAATAACACTAAAAATTAGATAAAAAGCAAACCACTGGAGTAAATGGAAAAAAAAAAGAGAAAAAGTTTTATTACTTTGTTGCCAATCTTCATCTAGTTCGTTAGGTCCGTTGGTTGTGGATTTAAGGTCAGTCGACACGTTCCTCAATAGTAATTCCCAAAAATTTGTCATTGTAGTACTGCTACTTTAAAAAGTTCCCTCACAAGAACTTAAGTACCTTACCAGGCATTTGTGCAAGATACCAGAGGGTTTTGTTTCCTATACAATTCTATTTGAAATCACTTGAATTGTCAGTATCAGAATTTTTGTTGTATTTATTTTCTAAGACATTTTGAAGACAATTTAGGATTCACAAGATAATGTTAATATTATGAATATTTCTTATATTAAATTACAAGGAGAAACAAAACAGATATTTGAGGAATGTGTCGTCAGACCTTAAAGTAATATGGGCTGCAACTTTGATGTAAGAAATTTTGTTGCAAAATTGTAATTGACTATTTCAATGACAGAAAAAAAGAACGTTTAAAATCCCTGTTGTTCATATTTGCGATGGAAGAACTATTTGTAAGCTTTGATTGAAGCACAGTTACTTTATTGTCGTCCTGTACAATATTTATTTCTTATATAATACTATATATTTGTACAAAATCCTTTATTCTGAAGCAATTTGATACTTTATTTCTGTCTTATTGACCAAAAAGTTTTAACTTACATACAAATTTATCATAACAACACATTTTAATAGCAAAATAAAATTCCCAAAAATGCAGCTCATATTGCTTTAAATATAGAGGTTCAAGCTCCCCTTCTACATAATATTTACAATGGAGATGGGTGAACAAGGCGTGTATAATGCCTATATCTTCAAATATGCTAGTATAAAAGTCATATTCAATTTGTGAATTTAGTATTTAAAGTTCTCATTATCAAAATTTATGAAATTATGATAAAAATTTTCTCGGCAAAAATTATTATTCTGTTATTAAAAAATAATACTCGGTAGGTATTCTTGGGTTTTGAACCTTATAGCAATAAGAATCCTAAGTATTTTCTTTTGAGACTAGCAGGATAACCACTAGGATACACAACTCCTCATGAACAGTGGCAATCGAATCATATTTGTTATATGACCCTTGACTAAATGGAGTCGCTAAGTATTTCTCGGAAAGATGCGAATGCTGTGTCATTAAAGCGTATTTTTAGGTAGAGTGGGTCTTCGCTCCAAGTTTTTGTTAACCAAAAAGTGTATATATTTTCAGTGGCGGATCCAGGAATTTTGAAAGGGGGGGGCAGTGTGGGGTCGGGGTAGGGACCCACGGCCACACCAAAAAAAAAATGATTTATTAAATCTCATGTATATTTTGGACACAAATGGGGGGGGGGGGCTTCCAATTATAAATTCGCGACTGATTTTTACGCAGGCTTTGAAGATAAACTTTCCAAAAAATGGACTGAAGACCCATTCCTATCAAAAAATAGTGTTATAGTATGAGAAATGATCCTTTTTGCCCACTTTAGTGTGTAGGCTATTTCATCAATCTCTACCCAGAGTTATCGTTCCCGCTACGCTCCACTTATACGTGTTGTAGCGCAATCTCTCACCAGAGGGCGTATTACGCTACAACGTGGAGCGTAGCGGGAACGATAACTCTGGGTAGAGATTGGTTGTAGCGAAGCGTAATACGCCCTCTGGTGAGAGATTGCTATTTCATAGGCAAATAATTTCAATCTTTGTGAGATTTTTGAAAATTGTTGAGATTTTACATATTTAATGTTAGATGAAATATCAAAGAAAATTTTGTTTTAATTGAAATTTAATTTTCACCTTCACGTTTGCCGCACTAAAGGCATTTCGCTGGCCTTCTTCGCCCATCTTCATCCAATATATGCTGTTATGTGGATCTAGTAAAAACTTTATAGATGTGTGTCAATGAAGTCCCCATCTCTAAGTAAAAAATCAGTTTACAAGATGACCATTTGATTCTTATAAGGGGGCTGGTAAATTTTGTAGCGTCAGATTAATTATTTTATCATTCGCCATTTACATTTTCTTCCCAGAGGAGGACAGAAATGTTTTTCAAGGACATATCCCCCTTTCAAATGGTCGTCCCCTTAGTACAAAGGGGCTCTAAGACACTTGCTACAAAAATGGGTGCATGAATTCAAGTGTGCTCTTCTTATCGGAGTGTGCAGTGACCAAAGCACTTATAATATATTGAAAAAAGAAATAATCGTACGGCACGTACGAATTATCTTTTGTACGAAATAACTGACTTTCAATTTGGATTCGTCTATTTTCGATTTATTCCGTAAGTGTAACTTTTCACTGCTTTTTCACACAATTCATTATATAAATGCATAAGAATATCGTCTAGAGTGAACAGAAATATTGATTTGGAGGTGTTTTGGTCACTGATTTTTAATTTCATCAGTAAGTGTGAAATAGTCAAAACGAACAAAAGCCTAATCATGAGCTTCATGTGGTGAGGGCCTGTCCCAATTAAGACACAGTTAGATCATTCTAACTAATATCTACCTATGACCATGTGTCTGTAGAGAATCAGGCCTAGACAAAATATATTACTTTAAATACACAGACATTTTTTCATAGATTTGTGTACATTGTCATTGTCAACATACATGGAATCTCATGTTTCAGCATAGTGTATATTTTGTGCATTGTGTGTTTTTTTTCTGCCTTCGGGCTGAAAAAAAATTAGTTAGGCAGGTAGGCAATTTTTTAATTTTTTTTCTCTGGTCTAAATTGAACAAATCTAAGCACAGACCTCTGAATCTCTATCAATAAGCCGTTATATGATTGATCAGAGTGATATATATACCCTCTCTATATATAAATACACTTAGAGGGGGTATATATATCACTCTGATCAATCATATAACGGCTTATTGATAGAAATTCGGAGGCCTGTGATCTAAGTAATACTGATGAAAAAAGAAATAGTGCTTTAAAGAGTTTCTGTGACATAATTTTAAACAAAATAAAATTTTCATATATTGGACAAAAATGAAAATTCAGAACTATTTATTACCAAAACAATTAGGATCTGTGCTATAAATTTCAGCTTGGAAAGTAGAAACACAGACAGGTTATTTTTCTAAGCCTCAGTCAAAAAGATTTTCCTATTTTTTTTATAACATTTTTCATAGTATAATATATTTATATATTAATTTTCAGAATTTTAAAAAAAACATGCAGGCCACAAAGAAAATGGATGACTTCTTTCAAAGTAAAACCTGCATTGTTGTTTGTGGAGCAAGTCGTGGTCTAGGTGAATGTATTTCTTTGACATTTGCAAGGAAATTTCCTGCAGGTTCAGCATTGATCCTCCTTGGTCGCGATGTAAAAGCACTTGAGAATGTCAAATCCAAAATCAGTGAAGAATGTCCACACCAAATGTGTGTTACACAAAAATTTGACCAAGGCAGCATTCAGCAGGAAAATTTTGATCAATTATTTGAAGGAATTTTCCAGGTTCATAAAATTTCTTTGAGTAGTTTTGAGCAAGCTGTAATGGTACATTCAGCAGCTACTTTAGGGGACATTACTAAGTATGCTAAAGAAATGACTGATGCTGAGACTGTGAAATGTAACTTTGATGTCAATGTAACTGGCGCAATATTGTTGAATTCTACTTTCTTGAAAGCTTTTGATGACATTTTGAAGCGAGTGGTCATCAACATTTCATCTTTAGCTGCAATACAGCCTATTAAATCTTTGAGTCTTTATTGCTCAGGTTTGCTTCCAATGTATTTCTGATATAATTCTTTGTTAGATACTGTTTGATTAAATAACATTCTTCAAACATGCCATTAATTGTTTGTAATACGTACTCTGTAATCATGGTTAAATTCAAAATTCTGTTTTTAAAAGCATTATGAAACAAGTATCTTTTTTAATCATACTTCTATCATACATATGAAGTTATATTAATCTGTTTACAAACAGGTAAATCAGCCAGAGACATGTTTTTCCGGACTCTTGCAGTAGAAGAACCAAGTCTCCGGGTGCTTAACTATGCACCGGGTCCATGTGACACAGACATGCATAAAGACTGTCGAGAAAAGTCAAAAGCACCTGATACTAAACAAATGTTTATTGGTAGGTACTTTTATAGATTCATTTCTAATTTTCATTGTATGCTGGTTGATAATATGTTTCTAAAGAAATGAAGATGTGGTAGTAGTTTAAGTAATTATGCTATTCATTACTGAAGAAAACCCAAGAACTATATACCTATTCAACAAAAATGCAGGAATTTTATAATGAAAAGCCATGCCTTCCCACCTGCAAAATCTTCAATGGAAAATCGAAAGTTTGCATGCTTAAATAAACTGATTTGTCATGTAAATTTTTAATTTATTAATTGCAGATGAATTTTGTCATGAAATATCAAAAGTTTGCGTAAATGACATGATTTGTCACGTATTAAAATTTCTAGTTTAATAATTGCAGATGAATTTTGTCATGGAAAATCAAAAGCAGACCTGCCTACCCTTCTGCTTTTGGTGTATTTCTTCCACTTTTTATCACTAAATTATGTCTTAATAATCAATTTTACACCTTCAAAATGTTAGACAACTATCTCTACCAAAAGTTTGAATTAGTTGGGATTTGCAAGCTATGGATCAATTACATCATTAAATGTGGAGTTTTTATAAGTTTAAGACATGTTGGGATGTTAGGTAGAACAAAGGATTTATGTCAGTGATTTGGAAATACCGGTAATAATTTATGATATACAACAAAAAATCTGATTAAGATTTTACAGAATTTCAGTGAGAGATCAAAATAGGATAATACGAAGAATTACACCTTTGTTTATGAAATTCCACCAAATGAGAATTTAGATTGCACATTTGCACTAAAGAGGGCAGTCTGCAAAAACTTGCACAAAAGATGTGATTTAAATGATTACGACGATTAAAATTTTTGATTTAATAATTGAATTTTTTCATTAAATTGCTCTGATATTCACAAAGTTTATACATGTACATATGTTATAAGTTCCAAAGTCTACAGAAGTCTATATGAATGGGGAAGTTTTCATTTGATAACTCTAAATTACTATAAAAAAGAAAGAGAATTGTTTAAATTCCCCTTTAAATATATGTTTACTGAAATTCTTCATTATTTCTTATCTCTTGTTAAAACTAACAGATTTCTCATTCAATAATTATTGTTAATGCATATGACTGTAGCCCATTTGGAACTCAGAAAACAAATGAATGGAAAATCATGTGTGAAATGTCAAGTAAATTTTTGTTCTTGCATCAAAATACATGAAATGGGAGCGAAAAGAGTTGTAGTCCATTGGTTGTGACCTTCACATTTGAAATATGCTTGGTTGTAAATTTTTGTACACTTCACTGTTATGAAAGACTGTTTGAACCATATACTCACGAATGAAGAGTAAAAATTGCTTAATAGTTGATACACGTGATTCTGAGTATTTGTATAGAGATTAAGTGTCTGTGAGGTCAGGGTCAAATCAAAATTAAGAATTAAGTTATTCACACAGGATATACAGTCATAGGAATTTGCTTCTATGGAAGTGCATTGTATTTCACAAAAACTGTTTTGACTGATTTTTCTTTTCAGATGCATTTAATTCTGGGGTAATTCTCTCATGTCAGACCTCTATTGACAAGCTTTGTCAAATTCTGATGACCAACTTTGAGTCTGGAGCACACATTGACTTCTATGATTAAAGGAAATTATGTCGAATTGGTCTGTATAATAATTAATATGAAGATTGTTTGAGATTAATTGTGCATTTTATGTGGCACAATAAACTTTTCTTAAAACTATGTTGATAATTTTAATTTTTTAGTATTACCTAAAGCTTTCTTCCTACTTAGTGTATGTGTACACTTGACATGGAGTGTACATTATCAAGTTACACTGTGAATGGGTTTTCATTCTTTACATGTTTGATACTATAATATATATACCGGTATATGGTTTTGTTGTAATAATATTGATAAGTTTTGGCATTCCACTTTTACGAAGTTTAATTATTTTTTGTCTTATATATGTATATGTATTTTGAGATATTATCAGTATTGTTTATACATGTATACCTGATGTGACAATAAAGACTGACCTGTAATTTTTGCTGTCTGTTTGTCTGTCCATCTGTCACACCCTATATTTCAAGAACTGTAAGAGGTATGGATTGGATATTTTGCACATATTGTTTGGTACTATTGCATTTGTAAATTACATGGTACTGACCTTGTGTCCCTTGATCTTGACCTTTGACCTACTTTTAAAAAAAGTTCATAGTGCTGATAAGGATATTTTTGACATTTAGAAGGTAAGTCTGTCCTATTTAGCATGTGCACTGTTTGTCATAAGACATTACACATTACAATCCACTTGACCTTGACATTTGAATTACTTTGCAAAAAACACCTGGGGCAGTTTAATTTAACTTATGACTTTTTAAATTTTGAGAGGCAGGATTGATAATTAGTATTTATACATGTTTATGAGCTCATGATACTGTACTTTGAAATTTTGTTACCCTTTAACCTCTGAAAATATTATGTTCAACTGACAAGAATTGCAACATGGCTTTCTTGGTTCAGCTTGACTGGAGCATTTCAGTTTCTCATGTCTGTGTTTTTAGCTCACCAATGAGCGAAAGGCTCAAGTGAAATTTGTGCATTGTCTGCTGCCATTGGCATTGTCATTGTTGTGAACTTTTCACATTTTCATTTTCTCCAGAACTACTAGGCTAATATCAATCAAACTTGGCACAAAATATCCTTAGGTAAAGGTAATTAAGAAATAATGAAAACTGGGAGGGATAATTTAAAAATCTTTATCTCAAGAACCACTGGGCCAGAAAAGATTAAACTTATATGATAGCTTTCTGGGGTAGTGAAGATTCAAAGTTCAAATCATGACACCCAGGGAAAGGTTGGGGCCACTATGGGTGATCAAAGTTTTAAATAGGAATACATTGCAAAAATCTTTGAAATTCTTCTCAAGAACAGCAAAGCCATGATGAGTCATATTTATATGGAAGCATCATCAGGTACTGTAGATTCAATTAATTTTGTCAAAATCATTACCCAGGTTGTAAGGTGGGGCTACTATGGGCAATCAAAGTTTTACATAAGAATACATTGGAAATTTTTTTAAAAAATCTTCTTAATGACAGTAAAGTCATGATTAAAAGTAGGTCAAACTCCTAGGTCAAGGTCAAAGGGCCAAAGTGGTTGGTATCCAAAAATAAGGTCTTGTCACAAGGATTACATATGTGAAGTATGAAAACCCTAGCTCCAACCATTCAAAAGTTATGGCAAAGGTTAAAGTTTTTCAAAAGTAGGTCAAACTCCTAGGTCAAGGTCAAAGGATCAAAGAGGTTGATATCCAGACAAAGGTCTTGTCACAAGGAATACACATGTGAAGTTTGAATTCCCAAGCACCAACTGTTCAAAAGTTATGGCAAAGGTTAAATTTTTCCAAAAGTAAGTCAAACTCCAAGGTCAAGGTCAAAAGGTCAAAGTTGTTGAAATCCAAAGAAAGGCCTTGTCACAAAGAATACACATGTGAAGTTTGAAACCCCAAGCACCAACTGTTCAGAAGTTATGGGCAAGGTTAAAGTCTCATAAAGTTTTGCAAAAGTGGGTCAAACTCCAAGGTCAAGGTCAAAAGGTCAAATATGATGGTACCCAAAGAAATGTCTTGTCACAAGGAATACACATGTGAAATATGAAAGTCATAGCTCCAATCAATCAAAAGTTATGGGCAAGGTTAAAGTTGACAACAGACAGACAGACAAACAGACAGACAGGACAAAAACAATATACCCCGGGATCTTTCGGTCCGGGGGCATAAAAATATATTTCTATTACTGTCGTACACAAATAAAAAAGAAATGGTTGTAAACTTTTAACATACGCATATATAAATGAACCTTGTATATTCCAATTTAATGAAAATGTTAAATATAATACGAATGAAAATAATTTTATTAAAAATATTGTATGTAATTACTGTCTACACAAAACAGAAATCAAACGATTAATGAAACATTCATTACATTAATGGGACATTCTTCTGTTGAAACAAGTATCTTTTTTAATCTCAGATGCTCAGATCAGGGACATCATACGGCCAGTAACTCGACTTGGTCCCCCAGGTGCTTGACATTCTTCTGCAAAAAAAAAAAAAAAAAAAAAAAAAAAAGCATCATAAAATGCAAATGATACACACACACACACACACACACAGAGACTACCGGATTACGTAAATTATTTCCGTTTATTCCACTGGAATTACCTTCGATATCACTCAAGAATCTTGCAAAGTCAAATGCTGTTGGACATCGAACTAAAAAAAAAAAAAGAAAGAAAAAGTGTAAGTTCTGTTTAAGGACAATACGAGGACATTCAAAGACATATAAATTTGTAAAATACCTTGTACAGGTTTTATTCATGCTGAAATATACTTATTTATCACAAAGAAGATGGGTGAACATGACGAGCTAAAAGCCTATAGTGTGACAAACATGAAGGTGAAAAATTAAATCTCAATTATATCAAAATTTCCCTTGATATTTCATCTAACATTAAAACATACTTTATTAAAAATCTCTACAATTTGCAAAAATCTCACAAAGATTGAAATTATTTGCCTATGAAATATACACACACTTAAGAGGGCAAAAAGAGTCATTTTCTCATACTATAACACTATTTTTCGATATGAGTGGGTCTTTGCTCCATTTTTTTGAAAGTTAATCCTCAAAGTTTGTATAAAAATATACATGTACGTCTTTTTGTTACCAAAAACATGGAGCAAAGACCCACTATACCTTAAAAATATACTTTTATGACATAACATTCGCATATTTTCGAGAAATACTTAAAGTCCATTAAGTCCGGGGTCATATCACAAACATGATTTAAATGCCACCATTCATCAGGACTTGTGTAGTTTAGTGGTTAGCGTGCTAGTCTCGAAAGAAAATGATACGCAGGATTTTTATTGCTAGGATTCGAACCACACGAGTACCACATTATTTTTTAGTAAAAGAATAAATTTTGCCGAGAAAATTTTCCCCAGAAAAGTTTTGTTTATCGTAATTTCATAAACTTCAATAATGAGAACGTTACTCTAAATACAAAATTCACAAACTGAACACGATTTTTATATATCTGAAGCTATAGGCTTTCTGTACGCTATGTTCACCCATCTCCTTTCTATTCCCTTGCAAACAAGCCTTATTATTTTCATCCAGTTTTATATCTTTAATTACTGAAATTAATGGGGAAAATTGAAAATGATATCCTCCCAAAATAAATATAAATTTACTTTAAATTTCCGTGAAAAAATTTATTTGAATTTAAAACAACTATACATACAACAAGCTTTGATAAAATATTAAAAAAAAAACAATACATGAATATTCTTTGACACTATTGTGCATGGAGATAAATCAGGTCATAGTTCCTTTTCACTGTATAAGATGAATCTAAAATATCTTAATTCATATTGCATGTGATTACTTGTAAGTTATAGTGTATTTCATAATGATTTTACTGAAATATTAAATTTGATTAAGTACAATATACGTTCAATAGTGTATTCTTTATAATGTATCATAAACTCAATACACTGGATGGCACTGAAGATGAAATATTGAATAATAATTTTTATTATATTAATATTTATTTAAGTCTTTCGGGCACACTGAAGTTCTAAAAATTAAAGTTGTACTTACTACCATGACGTGCTCGATACTCGGACAACGCCTACACTCCGTCTCTCTCTATCTGACGCTCAATGACGGAGCGTTCTCTGTCCCCCAAGACATCCCAGCCTTTTTAGGGGGATATACAGAAATTGAAATGATCTAACATTCTATGTGTGAAATAAAGTATATGAAATACATGTATTTGACAACTGAATTCTATCAATTATCATTTACCAGGTATGGCTTCGTGGATATTCGTGAATGGCCTTGTGTTTCCCAGTACTAGGCGTATAAAAATCTTTTAAAGTCTTCTTCAGAACAGCAAAGCCATGATTATTCATATTGTTCAATCATGACACCTGGGGTAGGGTTGGGTGGGGTTACAATATATTATATTAATTTTACATGGGAATATATTGGGGGAAATCTGATAAAGAACAGATGGGCCATAGTTACTCAGATGAATGTTGTAGCCCCCGCTTTCACTGAAAGTGGGGGATATTAATTTGGGTCTGTCTGTCCATCCACCTGTATTTCTGTCTGTGTAACTCGTAACTATTTTATATGAAAAAGTCGAAGAACCCTTGGGATATGGAACGCGGGGGGGGGGGGGGGGGGGAGGGGGGGTCCCCAAGCACCTGTGCCACCCCTAGCAAATTATCCCTTACAGTTTTCCAAACTTTAAATAATTTCAAAAAGTCAATAGGGTAAACATCACTTCTGCATAATTCTTTAATGCTTTTTTTTTTTTTGTTGAGCTGAAGGAGTAAAAGGATCTGTAGAATAAGTTGTGGTGCGACTTATCTAGAAAATGCCATTGAGCATGCGCAATCTTGACAAAAATAAAAACATGGCCGCGGAAGTGACACCCAAGAAACCTCCCGACTGGAAAAATTTGACAGACACAGTTCAGGACGCCGAATCTTTGCGACAGGAGTCAATTAATGCACACCATGATCATTTAATTACAGAAATAGAAACCTCAGATGGTCCACTTGGCACATCGCTGAGGTAAGACGTATCCAATGTCATAATTTAGTCGTTTCGAAGATTAACTTCACCTGTCAGCCACTGTATCTTCAGTGTTCCAATTTCTATGAAGAACTTCTATAGAAAATTATGTGTTTATGTGTTACTTTAATTTAACCCGTAGGTGAAGTGTATAATTCATAAGAATTCAGTTTAAACTTCATTGATTGAAGAAAACAAAAATTGACTGCTTTACTTTAATAGCAATTTCACTTTATAAAAAATTAAACATTTGTACTGATATATAACAAGTAAGTTTAACTTTAAGACTTCTTCAGCAAGCAGCAAACAACTGGGAGTAAATGCAAAAAAGATTTTATAATAACAACATTGAACAAATACAAAGAGGCTGTTTATTTCACTCACAAATTTGCAAGCTCATGAATACCTAATTTGTTGACGGTACAACCCTTAGGGCGAGCTCAGATGTGTATTATTAGATATACTTATTCAGGTTTAAGGTAGATCTGCCTCTTCAAACTGCACAAGACCTAAAATGGAACTTCTAGACTGTGACATCACATAGTGTTAAATCGACAAGTTTTCATGTGGGCATTTTTAACGTCTTTGAAATTATGAGCATTTACTCTATTATGTACTTTAATTATCATTTAATACTGAGATCTTTATTTTTAAAAGTAATTAAAAGATAAATTCATAATTCTGTGTTCAATTCATTTATTAAAAGAAGAACAACACAACACAGTGACAGTACAATTATTGAAACAAAAGGTAAAAATATGTACTATTTACATTCAATTTTTTAATCAAGAAATAAGTAAAGTTATGCTAAAAAAGTAATAAGTGTGAATCTTGCCATCACATGCCCAAGAAGTATTATAGTTTGGATGTATGAATTTTTTCCTGCTTGGATTGTGTTGTGTATAAGGGGCAAACAACAAAAAAATATTTTTTCAAGGGGAGGGTGGGGGGTGGGTTACTTGAAAAATAAATGTTGAGGGCATCCTCTTTATTTGGAAAATAGTCTACCAACATGATCAAGTTAAAACTAATCATACCAAAAAAAAATACTTGAATGCCATATATAAATCGTTTCAAACTTTTTCTGGCTTAGAAACATTGACCCTCAGGGTGTCAATTCTACAAGTCGCTCTACTGGCCAGGTGGCTGTGTGTGTTCAAGCAAGAAGTGATTTCCTGCCCTGGATTCACACCTTTGCATGCATGATATGGATCAATGTGAACAATCCGAATTTTCTCTTCGCCCAGGCATTGCTTTAAGAGCTCGCAGTGTCAAGCAGCACTATGCCCCACTTGCTGCGCTCGCCATCAGAGTTGAACAAGTTGAGACCAATCTCCCAAATGGAGTACACACACACAAAAAAATAATTCTATGGCGTATAGCATTAAATGAAAAATGTCAAATAATTACTTTGAATTTAACAAACGTTTGTGCACAATGTATGAATTAACAAGAAAGTTACTGTCCACTTGCTGCACTTTAACTTCTGCAGTCTTTAAGGCTGTGACAGCATACATTTCAGTTGTTAGCTCTTCTGAGCCAAAGGCTCATAGAGCTAATGCTATGGCCATTTGTGCGGTGTGCGTAAACTTTTTAGAATATGGGCCATAACTCAAGAACCCCTTGGCCAATTATTGTCAAATTTGTCACAGGGTATCCTTGGCCAAAGGGCTCCCGTTTTTACTAAAACTAGGGTTGTGACCTTTAAACAAGGGGAGATAATTAGGAAAATAGAAACAAAAGTACTGGTTGCTAAAAAATCTTCTTCTCAAGAACCACTGGGCAGATTATCACCAAACTTACACAAAAGGATGAGGATATGTTGTAGATTAAAATTACATTTTATTAAAATGTTGATATTTTGCTTACTATAAGGACTAAGATCATCAAATCTTGTCAGTTGATGCATCTAAGGATCTCATATCATGTTGACTCAAAAGTAAGTCACGGTGACCTACTTTTAAATTTTGCAGCCAATCTTTTTCAAAATGATTTAGAGGCATATTTTGAACAAATTAAGGCCTATGATCATCAAATTTTGTCAGTTGATGTATCTTGGGTCCTCGGAGTATGTCGACTAAAAAGTAGGTCACCTTGACCTACTTTTTTGAATTTTATGGCTAATCTTTTTCAAAACCATTAAGATCATTAATTCGAATACTGAGAGATTTAGAATCATTAAATATTGTAAGATGTTGCATCTTGGGGCCATAAAACATATTTATTAAAAAGTAGGTCACAGTGACCTACTTTTTGAACTTTGCAGGCATTCGATTTCAAAGCATTTGGACATTTTAAGACCTGTGATCACAAAAACTTAGTAAGTTGATGCATCTTGGGTCCTCAAAAAACGTCAACTGAAAATTAGGTCACTGGGACCTACTTTCCAATTTATATGACTATAATTAAATATTTCAGGTACTATTTGGCTTAGAATCATCAAACTTTGTCAGTTGATGCATCTTTGGTCCTTGGAGTACGACAACTGAAAAGTAGGTCACTGTGACTTACTTTTGAAATTTTATGGCTGAATTTAATATTTTTTCGGGTACTATTTGGCTTAGAATCATCAAAATTTGTCAGCTGATGCATCTTGGGTCCTCGCAGTTGGTCGTCTGAAAAGTAGGTCACCGTGACCTACTTTTCAATTTATATGACTATAATTAAATATTTCAGGCACTAATTGGCTAAGAATCATCAAACTTTGTCATTTGATGCATCTTTGGTCTTCGGAGTAGGTCAACTGAAAAGTAGGTCACCATGACCTACTTTTGATAATTTATGGCTTTAATTGAATATTTCAGGTACTAATTGGCTCAGAATCATCAAACTTTGTCAGTTGATGCATCTTGGGTCCACAGAGTTAGTCAACTGAAAAGGAGGTCACTATGACCTATTTTTGAAATTTTATGGCTTTATTTAAATATATCAGGTACTGATTGGCTTAGAATCATCAAACTTTGTCAGTTGATGCATCTTGGGTCCTCAAAGTATGTCATCTGAAAAGTAGGTCACTGTGACCAACTTTTGAAATTTTATGGTTATAATTTTAAAAATATTTTAGGTATTAATTGGCTTAGAATCATCAAACTTAGTTGATGCATCTTGGGTCCTCAGAGAATGACAAGTGATAAGTAGGTCACCATGACCAACTCTTAGGTACTAATTGGCTTAGAATCATCTTGGGTTCTCAGAGTGTTTCATCTAAAATGTAGGTCATGATGACCTACCATTGGAATTTCAAGGGTTTATCTAAATATACAGATACTTAAAGGCTTCAAATTGAAGTGATAGGTTGTACAATTTATCAGAAGAGCGATTCAAGGCCCTTGGGCCTCTTGTCTTTATATATATGGGTTGTATTAAAGTGCAACCCTGATCCCTCACAAAGAAGCATATTTGTGGAAATTCTCAAGCAAAATATAAACAAAATTTTTGTAGCCTGTTTGGAATATTTAGTTTTCAGACCATGTTACAGGGCTCTGAAGTGTAATATTCTTGTTCTGAACAGCTTTGAAATGGAGTAACTTTAGGTGTGTATTCTTGGCTGGAAGTATCTTCTTAATCAATATGTATCTCCATATAATCATCTCAGTAAGATGCACATAATAATTTTGTATGTAATTTTGAATCTAATAACTTAATTTTATAAAAATTGATTGGGTTGAGAATATTAGCATGACTACAAATCAAGTTCTCCTTCCAACATTTATTTTCTATATATAAAGTTTTTCATTATCATCTTTCCGTGCAGACATTTGAGTTAAGTGCTGTATTTCATCACGTTCATTCCATTTCCTGCATTTTATACACAAAAGATCATAAAAAAAGCATGTGATGCACTGTCATTTATTGAGGAAATTTAATAACAATAAAAAAAATGTAAAGTGTGAAAATTTATGTATACTTGCCTATTTGTGTATTGAATGACAAAGGCAAGAAATTGGACAATTTTAGCTCTTCTGAGCCAAAGGATCAAAGAGCAAATGCTATGGCCTGGCATGTGGTGTGATAAACTTTATGGAATGTGGCCATATCTCAAGAACTCTTGGCCATTTTTTATCAAATTTATCACAAAGTATCCTTGCACCGAGGATTTTATTTATACTAATAATAGGGATGTGACCATTAAACAAGGGGAGATATTTGGGGAAATGCAAAAAAAAGTAATCATCATTAAAAATTCCTCCTCTCATGAACCATAGGGCAGATTATCACCAAACTTACAAATAAAGATTAGGATACATTGTACATATTGTACATTAAAATTTGCCCAAGGCATCAACTTGTCAGTTGATGCATCATGGTGCCATGACCTACTTTTTAAATTTTATGGCTAATCATTTTCAAAACATTTTAGTTAATTATTCCAGATATTGAGAGGGTTAAGAATCATAAACCTTGATAGTTGATGCATCTTGGGACCTTGAAACATATTAATGAAAAAGAAGGTGACAGTGACTTACTTTTTTAATTTGCAGGTATTTTTTTCATATTGTTTGAGATGTATATTTTTGATATATATTTGACTAGGATCATCAAAGCATTTTGGGTCACCGTGACCTACTTTTGGAATTTCACACCTATATTGTAAGTATTTCTGATATTAAAAGGCTTAAAAACATCAAACTTGGTCAGTTGATGCATTTTGGTTCCTAATCCTAGGAGTGTATTAAACAATAAGTAGGTCACCATGACTTCGTTTTGGAATTTCACGACTATGTCTAAGTGTTTCTGATTATTTGAGGCTTAGAGTCATCAAACTTCAGTTGATGCACTTTGGCTCCTTGGACTGTGCCAACTAAAATGTAGGTTACTTTTGGAATTTCATAGTTGCATCCCAATATTAAGGGTACTAAGAGGCTTAGAATCATCAAACTTTGGTAGTTGACTCACTTGGGTCCTCAGATTGTGTCAACCAAAATGTAGGTCACCCTGACCTACTTTTTGGAATTTCCTGGCTATTTCTAAATATTTCAAGGCTTAGAATCATCAGACTTTGTTAGATGATGCATCTTGGGTTCTCAGAGTTTAGTAACTAAAAAGGAGGCTATGGTGAGGTACTTTTGAATTTCGGGGCTTTATCTAAATATTTAGGATACAAAGAGGCTTAGAATTGACAGAATGTGCAGTTGACCAGAAAAGTGATTTTAGGCCTTTGGGCCTCTTGCTTACAAACCTCACATTAAGTTAAGGTCAAATTGAAACAGAGAAATTATCTTCATAGCTGAGAAATTTGTCCTTTACTTTGGTAACTGGTTGATTTCTTTTTTGTTTTCAGAGCTGTGTATGAAGGTGATGAGTTAGAAAAATTTAAAGAAAGTCTGAATGAGCATATAAAGACTCATGATAAGGAGATTGAGCGAATGTGTAACTACCATTACCAGGGGTTTATTGACTCGATTCGGGAACTCCTGAAAGTCAGTTGTGATGCTGCACAGCTCAAGGTAACAGGCAACTATCAAATAATTTCTTTAAGACTGGATTTTTTGTTTTATTATGTGTTTAAATTACGTTTCGTCCAACTTTTTTGCAGTGATTGATACATTATTTCTTTTATATATCTTGCAAAGCATTCTTTCATTGGTGAGCATTTTTAATGTATTTAATCAATAGTGAAAGCAAGGATGTTAATTGGAAACAAATATGTACATTTTTGTTTATCTTTCATTCTTTGTATTATACCCTCTGGTACATGTGTAAAAATATTTTTGAGAAATATGTCATATTTCAAATTTTAGCAGATTTATAGATCATTATTTAATACATCATCATGTTAAATAAATTTTAGAGGATCATTTAAATGTTTTCTAGGATGAAATTTCTGAGGTGAACAGTTCACTGCAAGACTCCTGTAAACCACTATTAACAAAAGGGGAGGAACTTGTCAAAAGTAGGCGTGTCCAGAGGAACATAGCATCAGCTGTTGAAAATTTAACTTTATGTTTACCAGGTGAATGAGTTATTACTCCAAATGAAAAGGATACACAAACAATATTTTTTTCAACAGCTTATTAAATAATAATATTTCTTCCTTTCTTTTTTTTTTAATGATTATCTAAATGTATTTTTTCAGTGTTAGAAATGTATGGCAAACTTCAAGAACAAATGTCAACAAAGAGGTCTGTTAGTTCAGCATCATATTTGATTTATTATATTGTTTTCAACTTGTGAAAGACTAAAAATTTACATATTGTCTCTAATACCTGTTTGAATATATATCTTGAATTATGTGTGGGTACTTAAATTTTTATGTTGCATCTGAAAAGAATTTTTAGAGTATATAATTTGTCAAGGACTGACTTGTAAATCTACACGTTTTGTTTTTGTGGTGAATGTCGAGTCACTTCCTGTCTGTTTTTACTAAGCTCCCCACAGTCATGTACATGTTTTTGGTGATTCATACAATGTTTATATACCTATATACAAATATTTTTACACAAGATATTACCCAGCATTGAAGACACTTGAGCAGCTTGAGCACACATATCTCCCCCGTGTGGAAACTCATTGGTTCTCACAGACTATGAAGGAAGCCATCCCAAAACTCCGGGAACAAATAAAAGATGCCAGTATGTCAGATCTCAAAGACTTTTTGGAAAACATTAGGAAACACTCGGCGAAAATTGGAGAAGTAGCGATGAAGCATGTAGGTTATGCTAAACACAGCAAATGTCTTGGAATGTGATTTTAAATATAAATTATTGAAATAATGGTACTTATATACATGTATATAATAATATTTTAAAAAAAAATTATTAGGAAGGCTTAAAAAAAAATTTAAAAAAAAGTATTGAAGCATGTTAAATACATGCAATTCTAGGCATATTTGGTGTAGACTGATAAACATTTCTCCCCTAATGATAAACAGGCTGCCGAACAGAATAATATGGACCCAGCCATTGTTCAGTCCAATAAGAAAGTGAAAACAAAGAGGGCACCTAAACCCCCAAACCCATTTACTGGGGAGATTGAGAAGGAGGAGGAGGATAAAGCTAAGGGTGTTATTGCTGACCCCAGTGGGGACGATATGGGTGTAAGTAATGGTGTAGATTATGTGATGTACATGTGTGTAATGCTGTATTATGAATACAAGCAGTATTAACGTGCGAATAAATGAAATTACAAAAGAATCAACTTCATAAATATAAAAACATGAATAAGCATTTTTATTTTGAATTATCAAAGTGTAAATGACAAAAAAACTTTCTGTAATATTATGAAAAAAAGAAAAAAAAGGTTACACCATCTATGCTATAGTAACTTTAGAATGATGTTCAGTTGTATAAACTTTTAAATATGACTTGCAAATTGAGAACATTGTTATTTGTACTTAATTACGTTCTATTTTGTAGGAGCTGAGTGCACAAGATCTGATAGACTTTTCTCCTGTTTATAGATGTCTTCATATTTACACTGTATTGGTAGGTGTCTTAATTAATAATAAACAAAAACAGTTACAAATCCTGGTAACCAATCTACTGCTACTGAAATACATGTGTGCAGTTTTTGAAACCCAGTCTATTTATTTTAGGGAGACAAAGAGAAATTTGAGACTTACTACAGAAAGCAAAGACGAAAACAAGCTCGACTTTCTCTCCAGCCCCCACCTAATATGGTAGGTATTAATTAATTGTACATAACCTCCAACTAATATGGAGGTATAAAATAAAAATAGCCTCAATCTAATATGGTAAATATAGAATAAAAATACTTCAATATGACATGGTACATATAAAATAAAAATAGCCTCAAAATATAAATAACTTCCATCAAATGATAGGTTCATCTATAAGAATGTAGGAGACTCGCTTTTAATATGGTGAGACAATTCATATACATGTAAAATACAATTTCAGAGGGTTCATTTATGTGACAGAGACCTTAATGATGGTGACAAATATTACAAATGTTTAGAAAAGTTTAGAATTTTTATAATGCACTGCAGAATATTTATGATTTCATTAAAAATATTCTAAGAATACACCATAAATTTGTTTGGAATTAATTGCCAAGCCTGGAATCTTTCCAAAATCAATACATGGCTTTATTTGAAAAGGCATTTTTAGAGGGTGTGTTTATCCTTATGTAAACTTTCACTCTGTATCTTGTAGCATGAATCCATTGAAAACTTCAAGAGATATTTCCATGATATTGTTGGGTTTGTATTTCTTTTATCTATTGTAAAATCTGTTTTCCTTAAATTTTATGAATTATGTACATATATTAGTTTGTAATGCATAAACATAGAAATGTGAAAAATATCAACAACTAACTAATACATGTATATAAGATTGAATTACATAATAAAATATATTAAACTTAATTGTTCTCTGTTTTAGGTTCTTTGTAGTAGAAGATCATATTCTGAGTACAACTCAGGGACTTGTTAATCGAGCCTACATGGATGAACTCTGGGAAATGTCAGTTTCCAAACTCGCTGCTTCTCTCAGAACAAGTGCTGTAAGATCTGCTGCTCCCTAGCCAAAAATTCTGTCTTATAAATTTCATGTTCTATGTTATGTGACCGGTGTACATTTCTGAGTCAGTGATCAGCAATATTTACGAAGAATATGAACGTTACTACAATCTTGTTCACTTTGTATTTATGAAATATATAATTATTGTTATTGATCTACTTTATCTTGATTTGAAGGCCTCCTGTAAGGATTCAGAGATGATGCTAGATATTAAAAAGCTGATAGTACTGTTCTGTCATACCCTCAGGGTAGGTAAACAGCCCACTTTTTTGTACTGATAACCAGCCTTTGTGCTTCACTTTTTGCTTCTATACCTCTCAGAGCCATTGACATATTATAATTTTATTGACAGGGATATGGTTTTAGTGTAGGACATCTGTTAGAGTTGCTGTTAGAAATGAGGTAAGAAATTTTTCTTCTTATACCTGTATACAGTGTATACGGTATCCAAGATTTTCCTTGCATGGCTCACCACTAGTACCTTTTGACTAGCCCCAGTTTCTTATTTTTAGCTCATCTGAGCTGGAAGCTCATAGTGAGCTTTTCTGAACACATAATGTCTTGCATCTGTCTGTAAACTTTTCACATTTTCAACTTCTTGTCAAGAACCACTCGGCCAATTTTAACCAACATTGGCACAAAGCATCCTTGGGTGAAGGGGATTCAAATTTCTCCAAATGAAGGGCTACACTCTCTTGCTAGGGGAGATTATGGATAGTGAAAATACTAGATATTTCAATTACTAAACAGAACTTTCACGAGGTAGGAAACATCAATCAGCTTAGGGCAATGTGCTGTTCAGTACACCATGATGTCAATCACTTTAGACTTAAAAAGGACATATAAGAAAGAAGTACTGCTGAAATATCTTGCTAAATGTTCAGTGCACCATGCTGATGAAATTCAGGTGATTCTAGTTATGTTTTATTTTTGTAGATATCTTCCACTAAGCCGACTCTCTGATAATAAATTCAACCTTTTCTTTCTGATAAACGTTACTTTTGGAAGTCTAAACATTCCGAATAAGATAACTTAATTTCTGAAGTGCAAATATTGTACTATTGGCATACTCATTGTTCGAATCATTGAATTGTGACTAGCATAAACAATATGTTACACCCTGAAAATGGTGTGAAATTTAGAGCTTTCGTGACTTTATCGCTAAAGAGCAGCAGTAAGTTAAGATAATCGTGAGGTAATCACGATACTGAGTATTGGGTGGGGTCATTTAAAATACTTCATCTCAAAAACCATCTTTTTCTGCTGATGAAGAATAGCTGGGCCATAGTGACTCTGGTGAGCTTTGTGGCCCATGGGCCTATTGTTGAAAATTACTTAACATGAATGCTGTTTGTATACATGTATTTATTTAAGCAAAATATGAATTTTTAATGCAATTGTTTAAGCCTTTATTGATTAATGCCACCAAAATATTTTTTTTAAATAGAAATACTGTTGGCATTTTTCAGCTCACCTTAGGCAAAGGCTCAAGTTAGCTTTTCTGATCAAAATTTGTCTGCTGTCTATGGCATTGTCTGCTGTCTATGGCATTGTCATAAACTTTTCACATTTTCACCTTCTTCTCTAGAACCACTGGGCCATTTTCAACCTATCTTGGCAAACAGTATCATTAGGTAAAATGGATGTAAATTTGTTCAAATGAAGGGCCACACCGTCTTCCAAGGGGAGATAATTAAGAAATAGTGAAAATCAGATTTTAAATAGAAATTATACAGGAACATTCACCTAGGGAACAGCAAAGCCATGATTAGTGATATTTATGAGGAAGCATTCTCGGATTCAAGTTGTTCAAATCATGACACCTGGGGGTAGGGTGGGGCCACAATATGTTATCTTAATTTTACATGGGGATATATAGGGATAAAAATCTGATGAAAAACGGAAGGGCCATAGTTACTGAGGTGAGCAATGTGGCCCATGGGCCTTTTGTTCATGTTTGCACCAAATAGTCTATTACCAACATTTTATGCAAAATTTTTGAAAATGATGAAATAAGACACAACAGTAGAAGACTTAGAGAAAATGTTTTTGGATTTCTATCTGTCTTAAAAAATATTCTATCTTTCTGCCTTAAAAAATATTTTTATTGTTCTAATGAATTTTATAACAATTGAAAACTGTTAAGTTGTACCACAACAGTACATATAATACTTCCACTGGGGATACTGTTGAACTCTTGACTGCAAAATCTTCCTTTAGTAAGTGATCCACTGTATTAAGCGATTTCCTGTCATATTCATCTAGTACTTGACCTAAAACATTTTCTAAAAAATGGATATCTTCTGATTCTAGTTGTAGGATCATTCAGTTACATGGTAATCTACTTCGAACACAACATCAATTGAATACATACTTTTAATTTATTTTCTGGAAATAGATCATTTCAATGTTATATGCAATAAGGTACTTGGTATACAGGTTTCATATCAAAAGTTAGAAGGCAATTCATCACACCTGTAACAATGTAGGGAAATCATTTGTAAATAATTTTTATACTTACCAGAGACCAGTACAGTGACATTCTGACCAGACAGTGGGTGGACATCTTTAATGAGATCTTCAGTGAGGATAATTACACTCCCATCTATGTAGAGTCTGTAGAGGAGTATACCGCCATTGTCACACAATTTCCATTCCAAGACGAGGAGCTTGAACAGGTAAGAAAACATTCCAAACTTATTTTAAATGGTACAGGTAATAAAGCATTCCAAACTGATCTTAAATGTCCAACTACAGTTTGAAGACAGGGTACAACATATTTTTGATTGTCCACTTGAAGATTTTGAAAATTTCTTTTCAGGAAGAGGATCGGAATCATTCACAGGTGTGGGAATAAATATCACAATTATTTCCAAAGCATGATCAATAATATACTATTATACATGTATTTATACCCTGATGGGGAAAACCTTCACTGCAAGAATTATTATAAGAAAAGAATTACTGTCTTAAAGGTAGTGTGCATGAAGCCATCTTTCTTCTTAAATATGTTCATTTTCAATTTAAACTCCTGCATTAGGTGAGGCTTTAAGCCCTTATGATGATATTATCTGGGGGAAACTAGAATGGGTTATTTGACACTTTCTTATGCTTGTTCTAGCTATATTTCTTTTCCTTGTACCAAAATACTTTTACCCAAACCCCAGTCCACAATTTACATATATGTTTGACTGCTTATTGAACTAAATTTTGAGAAGTTACGCTCAGGTCCTCACAAGATCACTTTTTCTTTGGAGTCAATTTAAGTTAAAGGGGCCAATTTTTGTGGATAATTTAATAATTTCCTTAAGATTCCTGTGTATGTTAAACAGACTGTTATACTGTGAACAAACATCATTCTGAAAGATATAGCCTCCACTTCAATATACATGTACATAGAGGTAGTAAATTTGTGGAAAGGGGGTGCCCATTAAATCCACAAGAATTGAACCCTCATTAAATAAAATGATTCCACAGAAATCGCATTTTAATATCATAATACATGTCTTATTTTGATAACAGGGCTTCAAATTTTTTCATGTATTATATAAATGATGATATTATCTTCAGTATTTTTACCTATTCTTATTCAGAAGTTCATTTGTTTTTTTTTTTCCTTTTAAATAGGAATCATTCCCAAAAAGATTTCCCTTTTCCCTTTTTGTGCCAAATATCTATACACAAGTCAAAGCATACATCAATGCTTGCCTCAAATTCTCTGCTGATTTACACTTAAGGTATGTTGTTTTGAATTTGTATCTTAGTAGTTTCAGTGCTATAGTATTCATATTGTATATATGTAAATCGTGTTCTATAAAAATGACATATGTACATGTACTTTAAATATGAATATTTACACATGTTGCAGATTATGCAAACTAAAAGCAAAAGCCATATGTATAGGGGGTATTTCAACCACTGTTAATATTAAAAGACATAGGTAATCTGTAGAGTATTTTGAAAAAGAAAAAAATACTTCTTAATTATTTTAGCATAAAGTACCCCCACGTAAATTTACGCATTTACAGTATATAATACTGTAGGTCAAAGTTTATATTTTTTAAATTGCTTTTGCTAGCCATACAGAAATAGATGATATGATTAGAAAATCAACAAACCTATTACTGACGAGGACACTTGGCAGTTGTTTGTCCTCATTAATCAAGAGGCGGGATTTAACCTTACTACAGGTATAAATTGTTAACATCAGTTGTTTGATAGCTATGAAGTGTGTTGTAGAATTGTGTATTATTAGTATGACTTTTAATCTTGTCTTTGTAGTTGATACAGATTGCCATAAATATGAATTACTTGGAGAAATCCTGCAGTTACTTAGAAGAATATATTTCTAGCATAACAGGGTAGGTCTTGTTATAAAGCATAATTATTTTTATTATAACAAGTTTTACAGATCAGGAGAGGCTAATAATGAATCTGTCTTGTCAATAAAACATTAACCAATTTAACACACTAATTCTGTATCTTTGATGTAGAATAAATTTAATTATATATTTACCATCTGTTAAGGATGTCAAGGTATGACAAATAAATATAGGGTGTCAAAGAAGAAATCTGAAACAGTATATTCAAGACCAACATGACCACAAAAGGTCAAATTAATGTGGGAGCATCTCCCTGTAGTGTATATTTAAGTTTCTTCAAATCATGGCCTGTGGGGTAATGATTATGTCCATAATGGGGGTTTATCAATTTGCATAGGAATATTGTATGTAGACATTTTCAATAACAGTGGGCCATGATTTCTGAACTTGATATCAATTTATTTAATCTATGTAAAGAAGGTTGGGCAAGCAAAAAGAAGACTTCTTTATTTGTTAGAAAGAGGGGCATGTCTCAGATGAACATTACGAACCTTGACGTCTTGTTTAATGTTAGGATTGAAAGGCTTGATTTTGTATTTTGCAGAGCACAGAGTGATAGTGTACACATGGCAAGGCTCCATGGAACTTCAATGTTTAAGGTATAACATTATAATCTTTGCATTATAATGACTTAACAAAAGAATTTTGTTTTATAGATATAAATAGTTAAATACTGTATATGTTTGATAAACTTTGTGCTAATATTTTGCAGGATTCCAGAAGTGATGCTGAGGAGCACATATACAACAAACTCAATTTAAAGATTAGTGAATTCATAGAACTAGGTACAAATATGTTTTTACACAGTTAATATACACAGCATACAGTATATTAAAAATTACGTATTACTTGATATTAAATCACATAGATTATAATTTTTCCTATACTTTTATGGCTCGATAATTTTCACAGTGTATTAAAGAAAAGGGAAATATTAAAATGCATTTAAAATGTATCAGAAAGATATTAAAAGTATATTAAATTATTCATAAATTTTGCTAAAACAGTGTATATTGAATTACATTTTCATTAGTCTTCATGCCTTGGATTGAATGCCACTTAAATTTAAATGTTGTTTGTTATAGCTAACTATGACTGGTTGTTGCCTGAGTCTAAAGGACACGCTAGTGGTTATATCACAGATCTGGTGGCTTTCCTTCAGAGTACCTTCATGTCTTTCACAAATCTTCCAGTAAGATTCTTGTCAGGTTCATTATTATCCCACTAACCTCTTACACAGTAGTACTGTAGGAGTCATGTTGCATGATTTGGTCCATGTGTATACAATACCCTATATTTACATGTACATTCAATGTAATTTTCCATATGAAATCAATTAGAAATTTACAACATTCACCACTATGGCACACACAAAACCTTGTGACAGCACGGTAGAATACACAGCAGGAACTATATATGCTTTCAATGCACTAGGAACAACTAAATATATAATATTGTTTTGGCTCAATTACCATATTTAATTGTGTATTCTTCCTATATAAAAAAAAATAACAATTGTACATTTGAAATTAATTTGTTGATATTTCCTTGGCAATGTTCATTTGCTTTATTTAAATTTCCAGGTCAAAACAGTTCAGGTGTTTAATTTATAATAAAGCTGAATGAAATTAACCTTTAGGAAGAGAGAAAATTAGAGAATGCAACTACAAGCATTGAATTCTTAAGTGAGGTATACAATTTTTCAGCCTGGCCAGGTACTGTTATACAACCAATGACATCCAAAAATAAGAATTCAGTGCTTAAGTAAATTAAATTATTTAGTGGGGGGAACATGCAGGATTTGCCTTTTAGATGCCTACATTTTTATAACTGATTAAAATAATAATATTTGCATGTAGATTTACCCTCAGTTGTTAAAAAAATTTTAAGAAAGAATGTGGGTACATTCCACTAATACATTTCCCATAGACGACAGTGTTAATGTTTTCCCACACAGCTCCTCTCCTAATTTTCGTTGAAGGATGGGACACCCATCAAATGAAAGCCTGTCAAATTTTCTCTAACTGGTTAAAAGCTTGAGATGGCATGTCCAATTTGTTTTCCGGCAAAATGCACATGCTCACAAAAACATCTGAAAATGAAAGTAAAAGAAGGGTAATTCCCAAAGTCAGGGTATGCACAATTCAATTCCTTTCCTTACAAAGATAACACAAAAATGAAAATGGTTTTGAATGTGGAATTTTCTCTTCTTTCATATATATCAGGCATCTTTAGTTCAGATGACCAACTTATTTTATATACTGCTTGCAAGTTAAGGAACTATTTCGTTTTAGTGAACTACTTTCTTCCCCTACCGATTCTAAAAATAATTAGAGGTATGTACCCTTGTGTACATTGTATGTTGAAATTGTTAATTTTTTTAAATTTTTTTTTTAGTACACAAGTATACATGTACTTAAAAAAAAAATAAAAAAAATAATTTCATGAACTTAAGAAAAAAGAGAGAAATATTGTAAGGTTTTAATTGATACCAATGATAATGCTTGCTCTTGTACATGAAATACATTCAATTTAATTATTATGGAGTCAAAATTCCTTAATAGATGAGATTAGAGTGCCTCTCTCCCTCCTTTCCATTCCAAATAGGCATGGAATGTGTCTTCTAATACTGAAATTAAAGCATACACCATATTTATACCAAATATATTATATGCTCTCCTAAATTTTTATAACATCTCCTGTATTTTTATAACATGTTCCAGTGATTGATTTTCAGGATATTAGTTTTAACCCGTCGGTAAAAATTGCATTTGTGTTTTTAGTTGATTAGAGAAACTTTTTAAGCTAGAAGTGTTGAAGAGATGGTGATACCGTACATAATTTCCTTCTAAGGCATTTTATTTGGTATCTTAGAACCTAGTTTTGATTCTTGAATTCTATTTTTGCATGATAGTTAAATTAAAAATTTAATTTAATGAAGTTACCATTCCTGAAGAAGGAAATTTTATACATGTAACTTCATGAAATTTGCCAAATGCAGAAAATATTTGAAAATGTTGGCTTAATCCTCAGGGCCCCGTTTTACAAAAGAACTTACGACTAAGACCAAAAACTTCAACTTAATGTAAAATCTTGCAAAATGATCAATTCTGTTCAAAAACTTGCTTGTGGAAAAACATCTCTTAGAAACTCTTTGAAATATAACAACCTTTTTCAAATTAATGTATAGAAGGAAATTATTCACAAAATTAAAATTTGGTCTTGGTCGTAAGTTCTTTTGTAAAATAGGACCCATGAATGTACATTGGTGGCATTTTTCATATCTATCATTAAAATTTTTAAAAAGGATATATATGTTATGCAATAAAACTTCCAGCAAGAATTTTCAAAGATCATAAGAATATTTGTTACCAAAATGAATATTTTTTCCAAAATTATTCATTATTTTCATGTAAAATATTTAAAGAACATTTTAAAAAATTTTCATTTCTTTCTCTCAGGAAAAGGTTGCCAAAACTTCCTGCATGTCTGCGTGTAAACATGTGGCTACATCCCTAATGGAGTTTATTATGGATAACAATGTCAAACATGTTACCATGGGAGCACTGCAGCAGTTCAACCTTGACCTTATTCAGTGTGAACGTGAGTGAAAAAATGTGTTGAAGTGAAAACATGTATCAAATCAGTAGGGTAACTTTATCTACTGTATGAGGGGAGGGGATGGTACTTTGGGATTTTGCATTAAGAATTTATTGATCATGCCACCATCCAGATTTGAACAAATGATGAGATGATTGGTAGCTGACTCATTTTCTTGGGACTAAAGCATAATAATAACTAAAATAATTTTGGTAACCTAAGGCATATCACTCTAGAAACAAAAAATTAAAAAAAGCTTCCAAAAGTTGCAATGTTTGTTATGATTTCAGAATTTGCTGCTTCTGCTCCAGTACCAGGAACAAGGGATGGGACTCTACTCATGGCGTTTGCTGATCTTAGACAAGTAAATATCTCAGAATAATGCTCATTTTATTTCAGTGTCTGTTTTATATAGTATTACTTGATTCCATATCTTTCAGCTTTTGGACCTCTTCCTGAATTGGGACTGGTCCATCTACCTGGCAGATTATGGCCAGCCTACATCCAAATATATTCGGGTCAAACCTAGTGATGCCATTAGTTTGTTAGAAAAGTAAGTAATAAACCTTTGTATTAATACTGTAAAATTTTATTTAATGTTAAAAAAAATCCATGAAACATTATAGCAGTAAAATTATATCATTGCGATATTTAACGTTTCCATTTCTTGGTCACATGAAATGCAAGTTCAGTGGAACCTGTCTTATTAATGTATCGGGACACAATGTTTATGTAGTTATTAACAGGGTTTCAAATTGCTCAGTGTAAAGGACAAAGGAAATAGTAAAGTGGGAATCAAAATAAAGGTTGGAATTCACAGTGAAACAGATTGCACAGGTGTTAAACAAGTTTGTTTTGTAGAATAAAAGGAATTTATGAGTAAAACAAATGTGGATTGTAGTCAATTTATATTTTAGGCTGAGTAATACAGACAACAAGAAAAAGACTTTATTTACTGCTTTGAAAAAGAATGAAAGAGACAAGAAAAAACTGATAGACACTGTCCTTAAGCAACTTCGTGGGTTAGTGAATGGAACGCCTTCCATATGAATATCAGGAACCACATTGGGAGAACATTGGGAGTACTGGTAGTATGATTTACCATGGAGAGCAAACTTTTTTTTTTATCCGAGATTTGAAATTTTGGGAATGCAGTCACAGGCTAAATCATCTGAAAGGGCTTGAATTTTTTGTTGGTGTGTCAGTGTGAAAAGAAATTCAGGAGGATTTTTTTCTTGTTTATTGTTTATAAAAATTTTTTTGTCACTGATCAGTTGAATGAAAGGCAGTGTTTCTGATATAATTGCTGTGAATTAATGCTAGTTTATGTAATTGTTACTGTATATCCACCAACATAAATGTGCATTATGAAGCTACCAAATATTTCCACAATACTAAATATTTTGTAATAGGTCTGGGATGATATATGGAGATATCGATTCTGTGTGAGGACGATACGCATATCGATGTGTGTGAATAAATATCGAAGTATCACCAAAAAAAAAATCTTATATGTTTTTCTTTGTTTTCTTAACATTTTGGGTTTAATATATAAAATGAATATGCTAAATATATATAAATATGAAATACATAATAATTAACACTACTTGTGTAAAATAATTTTGTTTTACAACAGATATACAACTTCTTTGAATAAATTATTCTTATTTGTGAAGAAATATTTTGTTTATTTCAATACAAAAAAAGAGATTTTATAACCAATTAAACATATCGTGATACATATCGTATCGTGGCTCAAATATTTTGATAAGTATCAATATAGAGCAAATTGTATCGTCCCAGCCCTATTTTGTACATCAATATCAAAAGATATATGCACTTTTTCCAAACCAGTTGAAACCTTTCAGGTTACTTTGTTTTTTTTTAATGCAGACTGCAGTTTGTTTTGCAGTTTAGAGTTGGGCTGTCACATCTAGGAATTGCACACGTTATAACTGTATGAAGAGGGTAATAATTTGAACCAACAACAATTTCAAAAAAACATTTTTGATGAAATTGATTTTCTACATATGAAAATAATGCCTACTGACATACATATAATTATAGTGCTTTTGAACACATTGTCTTATATACATGTACTTGATAACAATTAATTCCAGTATTTATGTTTTTTGGTTGTAAAAGATCAATTGCCATTAATGTCACACACATAAAGAGATGTTTGTCACAGTTTGAATGAGTGATCTGATTGTCATTTGTGGAAGATATATCAATTGTAAAACATTATACATACACATACTGCAGCATTCACACTGATTTTCATATTTCAAACAAGTCACAAACTTATTTTATTGTCATCTTGAGCAGTTGCATATGATAGTCATCCTTAAATGGACTTGATGCAGCTTCTAAGAAATTTAACAGACGTTTCCATTGTCACACAAATGTACATGTAAAACACAATTCCACAGGTGCTTCAATCAAGTTTCATTGTGTGAATCACATTTAAAAGCCACCAGTACAGCCATTATAAAGTATTGGTGATCCTCTGTACATATATTGTTTATTGATAATTTTTAAATAATTTAAAGCACCACCATATTTGGGTGAGCAGTAAAATTTACAGTACTCCAATATACTGCAACAGTTACAGCATCAGTCTGAACACATTTTGTATGTACTGAAGGTAGGGTAAGCCACTCTGTGTGTGATTTATCATTTTTGCAATGAAGAACGTAGTTAAAATTGTTATGCAGTTTAAGTGCTAGGGATTGGGAGGGTTTCAATATTTATTAATCAATGTGCAATATTACAAGTGATCCTAATTATATCACTTTTATCATAGGTATTTCTTTGTTGATTTTATTTCCTTGTGCTTGAAAATTTGGAAATAAAAGTTAAAATATTATTGGATGTTAGTTCTGAATTACACCATTGGAGAAAGGGTTACTTAGAAACTGAATCAGAGATGTAAGTACTGCAAAACGTACTTTTTTAGCAGTAATAATAGTTTAGCGCCATTCGTGCTGCTTATTGATCTGTAATTTATTCACACGCAAATATATAAAACTTTTAAAAAGTCATATATGGCGTATTTTTTATAAGTTCAGACTAACTAAAATTAAAAAGATCTTTCTATTTGTTCTATTACTTTATATAAAGATAGAATGTTCTGTAAATTACACAATTTAAATCAATCACGTTTCAAAGATAGAAATTTAAAACAATAACTGATTTATTTACCGACTCCGCATTTTAATAGCAGTCACTTTAAAGTCAATATAACTATAGAAACATGAGGTTATTCAAGTTCAAAATCGGTGAAAGTAAATAACATATATCATGTTTATGTACACTCAATCTCGTATTTTTTTTATTTTTTAGCTCAGATACGCCATGTATAGCTTTAAACATATGGTCGTAAGAACTTTAGTGTGCTGTTTATGAATGTGCTAATCAGTTGAAGATGACGATTTTGCAAATTTTTTGTGCGCTAATTTATGTACGTTTACAGTATGTATAAATGATATCCCTGCCTGATCAAATTTGGTTTTAAAAAAACCCTGTGGAAATGGATCACACTCTGTAAGAATATTGCAAGTCTCTTGGTTCCAGAATTTATGTTTTGGTATTTATTTTGTGCCATTGAATCACGAAAAATAATGAATTCATTATATTGCAGATTCACTCTTGGCTGGGTGACATTGTTGCCCATCTTTCAACCTGAATAGGAGAGCAAAGTTCTTAACATAATTAACTTGTTCGTTGAGATTTCTTCTAGATAAATAAATAAACATGTTCTTTGAGATTTCTTTTTAAAGTTTGTGGGTTTATCTGTGTAGAAGAACGCACTATAAATTTGGAGGTCTCTGTGTCATAGGACCCTTGCTTCTGCTGAGAGAGAGAGAGGGGTGGGTATTTTCAAGTATATCTAGTTAATTAATTTATTTAAAAATCTTGTGTCTGTCCTATTAAAGGGATGTAGATGGTACATGTTGTTTATGTTTGATTGCTTGATTTTTTTTTGTTTTCTGCTGCTATCCCATGAATTTTTAAAGATAGTCGCTAGCGTTAAATATTTCTTAGAAGTAAATATAAAAACATCAAAATTGCACCTACACACAAGGGCACCCCAACCCGGACACACAGTTATTTTTTTTTATTCACCAACCTTCGAAACCCGTTAATATTATTCCATGTACTACTGCACAGTGAGCAGGTATGCACTCGGTTGTGCTCAGGTAGATAAATATTTGTCATACATCTCAATTTTCACACATTCGCGAATATGTTTATCCAGTAAGGTACTTTGAAGATTTCAAATGTGTGCATAGCTAAGCCATTTTCAATATTCATCATGACTCAAACAACTTGTATCAGTTTGGCCTTTGACTTGTATTGTGCTGATCGGAGGATACGCTATTCAGCCTTTGACATCGATGTAATACATACCGATTCACGTTTCTCTGTAAATACTCAATTTAAACAAATGATTGAGAAGGGACACATTTATCATGCCTTCAGGCATGTTCCCCTGGTGGTTGAAAATTTTTGGTTCTAGCTTATGTGCGTGCATGTACGAGACAATGGACCTAAACTGGGTCTGGTTTGCTATATCGGGGGTTCAATCTTTAGGGTTTCCAAAAGAGCAACCCTTGTATAGATTTCCAAAGGATGGGGTCAAGGGGGTTTTTCTATATCGCTACTGTCATCGTTATGAACTCTTAATTTAAACTTCTAAAAAGAAAAATACACACTACATTGATCTGTTCACCGATTGCTGGAGTTAAATATATGTTTTTATTGGATCCATGATGACGGGTTAACGATGTTGGGCGGAATTCTTTCAAAAATCTTAATTTATGGGTATATTGTGTAATTTATTTACAACAAATAATAAAGCTCAGTCGAGGCCCGTTTCTCAGTACAATATCATCATTATAGTGGTACCAATAGATTGGTCCCGGTTCCTACGAGCTACACAATCACGACAATGTCGCCTCTGATGCCTGTTGTTGTCGCCTCTAATGCCTGTTGTTGCTGCATTCCCCAGAACATTCTTTTTTTCTGTGTTACCTATGGTATTCTAATCTATGTAGTTTAAAAACCATTGTTGTTCCTTCACCAAATCACAAGTCTAACACGCAGAAATGTTTGAATACTAGTATATCTTATAACTATTTTATAGACACAACGTACATTTTTATCTTCGGACACATTTTGATTATAATAACATCACATTTGAGTATTTGGCACAATAAGGCAATATAAGACTAGATGAATGAAATATGTATGAAGCACACAAAAAATATTTGTCAAACTACCTTTAAAACATTTATATAATAAATGATCCTTGACTCGCATAATACATGTAATAGGTATTGGGATATACTTTACTATTGTATACAATTTATAGTCAAACCTTGTTATCTCGAACTCGATATGGTCGAAATATTCGAAGATTCAATATATTAAGCTTAAAAAACATTTTTTTAAAAAATGGTTGGGACTTCCAAATCACTTCGACCGATGTTCGAGCTGCCCAAGTTCAACTTTACATATTGCTGAACAGTATCACATTATGTGTGTCCACAATACTGATATATATTAAACACGTGAATCGGTTACAGAATCCATTATTTCCGCAGCTCTTACGTATCCACCTCTCCACTTTCATCCACACACCGATAGAAAGAACTCAAACTCCGTCATCTCCTCGCCGTGGTGTAGCCACTCCCAGATGGCCTGGTTCTTTTCGGCACTGAGGTAGCGGGATTTAAGGATTTCGGGGATCTGGGGTTTTGGGGGTTTTGTCTTCTGGAGCTGTTCGTAGCTGTTAAACCTCTCTGCAGTTAGTTTAAGCCGTGGCCTTGTGGAATGAGAACTTGCGTTACTCATGATACTGTCCCTCGTCATATGAGGCGCTAACGATGGACGGGAAATTGCAAGCTTTGCAGTGCTGATTTCCTCTTCCGATTGTTTGAATTTATCGTCATTATAGTCTTCACCATCTTCTTGCACACTTTGTATGATTTTCTCCACTTCTTTTCGGAGTTTTTGAGCTTCTGGGTGGGCTCGCGTTTTCATTGGAAGATACAGATTGGACCTTGTTTTCATTTGGTCAAGATCGAAATTTGACCGCCTAGAGCCACCCGCAGGAGCGGATCTGGCATACAGTTTCCTTATTTTGTCCGACTCTGAATTAATTTCCACCGGAACAGACTTTAACAGCTTTCTTGTCCACTTTGTATCTCCCGTATTTGTATCAAAATGAATTTTTGCACTTAATTTCAATTTATTTTCGTCGAACCTGAGTTTATCGCTTGCGTACGGCTCTTGGAACATTGCCCGGAGGTCTGTCCGATAGTGGTTATTAATTGAGATCATTGACTTATCAATAGGCAGAATGTAACTAATGCCTTTGCTGACTCGCTCTCGCGTGATGGCATCCTTCATTTGTGGGATTGGCGGAAGATCCGGCCATTCGTATTCCAACAGTTCTACATGATATTCCTCAGTATTGTCGGTGGCCTCCGGTTTACCCCCGCTTGTCTGGGGGGTGACACCGGGGCTCGTTTTTGGACGGGCGAACCTAAGATCAGGCGATGCTATATCACCCGGCATGTTTTCCTACAGAATCCTGATTCTAATTCATACCTACAAAGTCAAAACAAAATTATTACACTGAAATGTCTCTTATCTTAGTCTAAATTGTACATAATTAACAAATTATCCAAGGTTTTAAAGTTTACTCTGAATGGCAACAAAAAGCAGGTGGAACAAAATTTCATACATTTATTGCAACTAATCAAAATACATGTATTTAAAATTTGCAGACATATGCACTCTAGTCCCCAACAGATTTTACAAGGTTTACGGAAAAAAAAATACCATTCGTGATCGATCTGAGTTAAGTGCCGGTGTTTTTGTAAAAGTTACGTTATGAATGTAGCAATAATCTACCTTAAACTCTCACGGACTACAAAACATCTGATATTCAAAATTTAAAAAAAAATAAAATTACACAGACACATTTCAGTCTTTTAATTATCAACTATGTTCTTTTTACATTTTGTCCTAAAATTGTGACACATGAAAACTGAAATATGTAGTTCAAGATGAAATTCGCTCCGAATCATCAAATATGAAAGGTGTCTATAGATAATCAATTTATAATTGTATTACCTCTTTAAAAGTTACGTCCGTCAGAAAACATACCCGACACATGGTGAGCTATTTTTGTTGCTAAGTACATTAAGATTGACTACAAAAACCTTTTCGGACACATAGAGATTAACGCTAATCGAACGATTTCTTAAACCCCTTCATGGACGCCTAGGATTAAATCGACCTATCAAATGTTCTACACGAACTTTTTCTCCCCCGGGTACAGATAAAATGCCTACAATCGAGTTATATACACTCTTTTTCGTTTAATCTGCAATAACCCAATGTCAAATGTGAAAAAAGGGTATACTTGTACCAATTACTGTGATTTTTTTTTTTGTAAACCCGTATCGAAAAAGAAGACAAAACTTTACCAGCCCATCTACTTTAGACCGTTAAACAAACTATTGGGCTATTTGCTACTAGAGCCATTTATAATTGTTTTTCAAGTTACGAAGCTTGTATGTACAAATAGTCTTACCTACTTTTAGTTGTCAATACATATTCCTCGTTTTTCATCCATCATTGAATGTTTTCATTTTAAAATCAGTGTTAAACTGAGCAACGCAGACTAGAAAGGACTTGTATTAATTAGGTGCCAAATAAAGCTTGATTAAAATCCAGTTGCGCCTTTTAAGGTTTAAAGGTCTGGATCGAACATTTCAAGCGACGTCAATTGTTTTGTTAATTTTAAAATGACACTGAAATAGTCAAAATATACATATTGGAAATATATACTGTTAAATACTTCAAAATACCGGCACGCAAGAACTTAATATTGCTTTACGCCCGATAGGTTCACTGATTTATCGTCTTTCTATGGTTTAAAAAAAGGGTTTAATATTAATTTAAGAGAAAACGGTGTATACATGACAAATTTAAATGGTTTCCGATCTTGACATAAAAGTTCGGTAAATAACAAAGGTAAAAATTAAAATCGGCTTTGTGACGAAGAGAAATTGCAATTTCTATTTAGGATCAGACCCTTATTAATTTGTTCTTAACACTCTTGAGAATTTGATTTTAACAGGTCTGTTCTCCCTATGTCGCCATTATTTAATTTGCCTGAGAAGAAATGCATATAATATCAACATTTTCATGCTCAACTATGTCTTCTAAAAACGGTGTTTGAATGCCTTGTAAAAATACTATCACCAAAAGCCCGTCAAGTGTTGCCCCCATGCACTGTAGAACATAATAGGACTGAACAGTTAATAATATTGAAGGGGCGGATTTAACACAATACTGAAGACACTAAAAAAACTTTTAAATATTACCCCCAAGATCACAACTATTAATTATAATATATATTTCACAAAATTCACAGAATTTCATACCAATTAGAATAAAACCAATAAACATGATTGATATTCTTGGAGGTTAGTGTCGAGGGGAGAGAGTAATATTTCATCTAACGTTTCAAAGATATTTTCAAACAGTAACAAATTAAGTTGATCTATTTCTATATGATTCGTTTTCACAAATTATTATAAATTCAGCACAGATAACACATGCATTTCTAACAATGGAATTCCAGAAAACAATAAAATGACGGAAATTGAACTTAATTAACGTGAAAAAATTGAATATTGAGAGAAAATCCCCAAATGATATGTAACCGACACAGAGAAAATGCTTAGAATCCAAAAATCATGTGAACAACAAATTTACTTGCCAAAATTTTTAGAGAGGAAATCAGTTGAAAATTCCCATTACGCCGTTGATGAATTTCAATTAAGTCTATCTAATGTGTAATATAGTTGTTCAAAAACAAAGTATACATGTAGTAACTTCGTAAATTGAAGCTAGTGGAATTCGTCTTATATGTAATTGAAATGATATGAAATGACGCTTCCTTTTGATAGAGAAATCAGAAAATATATTCAAATATGATTGGAACAATCAATATGAATTGGTTGTCTAATCCATTTCTAATTGTCCATTGTCCATTTTGCGAATCACTCTAAAATATGTACAAGAATATAAATGGTATATATACGAGTAAATGATTTACACATTTTTTTTTTTGCTCAGTTCATTAATTAATCATAAAGCTTGATCATTTTACTAGTTTGACAAGATTTTTGCATGTAGCGGGGATGACAAATCTTGTGTGAAAAAATGTAGCTAATAATATTGTGCAGTTAAAGACTGAAGCCGTTCATGGCTAGGACAATCCCCCGAGACAATACCTGGTATATATCTCAATTTTCAAAATTCAAGTTATATTTTTCAAAAATTGGGTTTTCAGTATCATACACTTGATTTCTTCATATAATCTCTACGCTGCTAAAATTTATCATTCAGAATTGTTCTCGCCTTAATCTTTATACAAATAGGATAACTCTGGAAAGAGTAACAAGGAACGACAACTCTTGCATCTACTCCTTTACTTCTGTGATGATAACAGAGTAATAAGGATCTATAGTTCTTGTATTAACTCCTACTTTTATAATGTATTCATATACAAAAGTATCATATTATGATTAAGTCATATTATTTACTTACAGTAAAATCATTTTATGTGCAGATAATTTCAATGCCCTCTCTGAATAGGCAAGCAAATATAGACAAGAATTCATACATTGCATTTCTTACAGAAGAAATGGTTTGATATAAAGAAGAGTTCATATCTGAGATGAATAAAGAATAGCTTTTCAAATACCATAACAAGTTAGAATAGTTCCCTTAAAAAATTAATGTAAAAGCTGTAATATTCTTTCATGGTAATTACAAAAAGCAGCCACTGAATGAAAAAAAGAGGAAAAATCACATCATAGTCCAACATTCAACTTATTTCGGGTAAAGTTAAATAAAGTACAAAGTACAAATCTATAAATTCCAAATTGATTTACAGATGCTAAAATTTTAAAATATCTGTCCATTTAGAGACATTAAGCAGATGAAAGTGCTGAAAAATTCAAATATTTCATATCTTTCTTCCCCCATGTTCATATCATGCATGTCCTAAGGAAATATCTCTCACCCATTTGCCAATCTGGTAAGTCAAACAGGATTAAAAGAAAAAACAAAAGACGGTCATTTTTAATCAATCTTTGTTTACATTGTAATTAGGATTACTTGATAAAAAACAGTAGGTGGAGGCAAAAAAATTTAAGTATCTTCAACCAGATCTATCTCAAAATCTGATTGATTCGTCCTTACCTTAGATTTCACCTTTCTCTAAAAAAGGGCATTGAATTCTTTTATTAGCTCTTTGAGAATGTGTTCTCAGTTTTTTTGGTGCTGCCATTAGAACCATAATTTTAATTCAATTTTTCATATAGATTTAGACAGCACTAATGCAGAATTTCACCAAAGAGCCATGATTTATATTTGCAATAAATTTTCAATATGTGAAAAAGTGAATGTATAGTGCTTGAATTTTACAGAGAAATAGACAAACATGAGTGAAAAAAAGCTTTCTTTGACCTCCATTGAAGGGGTTTACTAATGAAAATGATTTTGTCTAAATAGACACTGAGATTTCATTGCATAGCTGATAAAACTAACAAACAAAATCAACATTATTATTCATAATAATAATTAACGATCACAGCAAAAATGAGAAGTAAAATAACTTAATGAGTGACACAGATCATTTGTTTGAAATTCTTATTAAAAAATATCATGAAACAATGCCATTTATAATAGGAGTGTAAAAATTAAAATATCTATTCCAAACATTAAAAACAAAGAAAAATTGAAATAAAAGTACACTAGAAACTTCCATGAAACATTAACAATACAACCTTTCCAAATGAAATCTACAAAGAAAAAAAGATATGTACACAAGTAAAACAATGGTATCCTCATCATCTAAGTACATGTAACAGTAACTGTTTTCTTATCTTTAAGTTACAAAGATTGTAAGAAATATTGATTTCTTACATGTAACTACTAAAAATTATATAGTAAAACACGCTTATAACCAAGTGCCAGGAATGGATGACTTTGCTTCATTATAAGCGTAATTTTTTATATCTATTACATTTACAATATATTTCAAAGTTAAAAAAATAACTTTGCTGAATGTGTCAATTCATTATACGCAATTTTGCTATAAGCATGTTTTACTGTAAATGTAAAATTTCTCTGTATGAAAAACAGTATGTAAAAATAGTTGAACAACCTAAATAATCTCCATTTTGAATCACATCAAATGAGTTCAACATATATTACAATGCTCTAAGTTACAACTTCTTTGTAAAGTAAGCAACAATTTCAAAACTGTTACTAACACAAAAATAGACTAATCATAGCAATAACAACTGACAAAACACATAAGGTTCATGATTCATAATGCTCACCACAGATCCTCTTATTTTAAGGAGGCTGGGGGGTCAACAAATTAACCATAAGATATAACTTATTTTTTTAGATATGATATCTTAAGCTGTCAACTATCATTTGGCAATGAAAAAATTCATACATTTTAGTTTTAAAATTTGATCATTTCTGTATATCTTTATATGGAGCTCTTCTTCTAAAGGAGTTCAATATAGTCTAAAAATGGCAACGACCACCCAGCCCTCTTAAAAAGCAAATATTTTTATTATAATACTTTTTATAGGAATTCCTATGAAAGTTTTTTTTTAAACATATACATGTACAATATATATAAACCTCAAATCTATCAACAATTATAGTGTGACACTGTGGGAAAAATTTTAGACTTGAAAGAAATGGACTCCAGACAAACTTCGATCAAAAGCTTGGTGACATTATAATATTATAATACAGGTACATGTAGCTGTCTTATAAGGAACCTTGGCACTCTTCACTGGGCAAGAGGAGGCAACTCTTCTATGTGATTCCCCTCCGAGATAATTCCTCCCTCACTTTTCTGAGATAGGTGGAGTCTGGGTAACCACTAAAGTAATAAAGAATAAACTGGTAAAATATTTACATATCAGAGTACAAGTTTACATTTATGGAGGAGTGGTGTTTAACACAAAGAAAAAAAAATTTCTATATTGCACTTTAATATTACTTTCACATGGATATTATTATAGTTGTACATTTAGATGTAATTTTTAAATACATGCTACTTTGGCATATGAATAACTAACACCAAGATCACTTTTAAATGAATATATTAATATAAACATACTTAGAGGCATGAATTGATGTTTTGTGTGAAATACACCACTCTACAGTCCCTCGGCTGCTAACTCTAAAAACAAGATCTGCCTCAAACGCCTTCTTTAGGAGACGTAATATTTCTCTGCCCTCAGCAGAATTAGGGAGGTAAGCCTTGTGTTGAACCCCAGTGTATGCACTGCGACTGCTTGATCTGTCTTTTCTCTGAAAAACCACCAATATTGGCGATAAATCATAAAGTAGCTGCAAACCAATTTGTAAAATCATGAGATTTGAATTAATGGTATCTTAATTTACTGGTATAATGATTGAAATATTGTCATCAAATTTGTCTTTTATTTTCCCAAACAATTGGTATTAAATATTTTATGATGAAATTCGGTACTAGTGCATTTTATAATTTCATTTTCAGCACACATAACTAATACAGAAGAACTATTTTCTTTAAATTGTTATGACCTAACACAATTGTACATGTTCATTCTTACCAGTACTTTTCCACTTGGAATATCATACTGAATTTCGATAGCCCCCTCACAATACTCATACCCTGGGACAGACATGTTCCTTCTTGTCATGTGCGACATCGTCCCCTGCGGAAGGGATGAGTGAACCACTGTGCTCATTAACTGACTACGTGGGGAGGATTCCACTTCTTCAGACATGGTCTTACTGAGCGTAGAAGTGGAGTACATGGCTCCGCACTGAGGACATTTTGGTCCATATTTGCGAAACTGTCCTTCGATACAATCTGTACAAAATGTATGGTTGCATTTGTATAATGTTTTTGATTTTTTCATTTTTCCATGGCATATTTTACAGAAGGAGATTTTATCCACACTGGGGCTCTCCAGGTTGATAGGAAGACTGTGAAATTCTTCTTCGTTGTACTCTCTGGTGTAACTTTTGAATGCTCCATTGGAAGTCTGATTCAGCTTCAATTTGGATAATTCTCTTTCCATATTAAAGGGATCCAAGGTAACTGCAGCTTTTAAAGGAGTATTTTTAGCTGTGGTATTGTGAGTTGTTTTGGTTTTTGGTTTAGCCCCACCACTAGGTGGAGAGGTCGTGACCAGGGCAGGCTTCATAGCTGGTGGTTGCCTTGGAGATTTTTGTTCCTCTGGTTGTTTGGTATAAGTCGCTTGACTTGAAGGTCGATTTGAGCTTGGTGGACGAGGTGATTTCTTCTCCAAGTTAGAGCTGCTTCCATTGACTCTTAAACTAGAAGACATTTTCTTACTAGAACTATCCTCCTTGACTTTCTTATCACTAGTTGCAGATTCTGTCTTGGCCTTCAGCCTTGACATTGAGCTAGATCTCCGACGAGCTCGAGATGTCTCATTGTGTACCAGATCTGTTTTTCGTCCAGTATCTGTTGTTATGTCGTCTTTAATCAGTGATCTCCCAGCCACCATTTTGAGTTTGTTGGTGGTGGCTCTCCTCTTCTCCTGTAACCTGGTGAACCTGTCAATAGCCTCCGCTGTGGCGCGGTCCTGACCTCCGTCCAACAGAGACTGGAGAATGGCTATGGATGTAGCCACACCATCCTCGTCAGTGTTGACTAATGTGATCTCCTTCAGATGGGCAGGATCTCCCATCTCACTGTGGAAAATCAGGACACCATCCAGAAAACATTTGATGGAAACATCCAGAGGTGCTCCAAATACTCCTGTTCATTATCAAAGAGAGGGAAATAACATGTAAATCGATTCAAAATATCAATGATCCCCATTTTTTATGTTTTATTTTTAAGATAACCAGAAGTCTCTGACGAGACTGTAGCTCTACTGGTTGTATTTATAAAGGAAGATAAAAGTAGCACTTGGACTTGAAACTTTGCAACAGCAATCACTAGAATAATAATCCTTGATTTAGTCTCTTTTGTGGCATAAAACTGTAGGAGGAGTAGCCTTTTAAAACAATTCTACAAAAATTTTCATTTAAGTAACCATGGCAACATCATTCAACAAAATCAAAAAACAATAACACCAATTATGTATCTCTGTAGTCTACTTGTATGCCACATTATACTGAAATCAGACAAAAAGTGTAGGAGGAGTAGCGTTTTTAAAGTTTTTAAAGAAAATTTCTATTTTTAGTAACCATGGCAACACTGTTCATCGAAATCCGAAACTGGTACAGAGAATTATGTATCTTAGTGCAGTTTACTTGTGTGCTAAGTAATACTAAAATCAGACCAAAACTGTGGGGGTAGCATTTTGAAGGTATTTCAAGGAAATTTCTATTTTTAGTAACCATGGCAACAATGTTCATCGAAATCAGAAAATCAATATAAAGAATTATGTATCTTAGTGTAGTCTACTTGTTTGCCAAGTTAAACTGAAATCAGACCAAAACTGTAAGAGGAGTAGCATTTTGAAAGTTCTTCACAGAAATTTCTATTTTTAGTAACCATGGCAACACCGTTCATTGAAATCAAAATCCAATACACAGAATTATGTTTCTTATTATAGTCTACTTGTGTGCCAAGTAATATTGAAATCAGATAAAAACTGTAGGAGGAGTAGCATTTTGAAAGTATTTCACAGAAATTTCTACTTTTAGTAACCATGGCAACACCGTTTATTGAAATCAAAAACCAATATACAGAATTATGCATCTTAGTATAGTCTACTTGTGTGCCAAGTTATATTGAAATCAGATTAAAACTGTAGGAGGAGTAGCATTTTGAAAGTATTTCACAGAAATTTCTATTTTTAGTAACCATGGCAACACCGTTCATCAAAATCAAAAACCGATACACAGAATTATGCATCTTAGTATAGTCTACTTGTGTGCCAAGTTATACTGAAATCAGATCAAAACTGTAGGAGGAGTAGCATTTTGAAAGTATTTCAGAGAAATTTCTATTTTTAGTAACCATGGCAACACCGTTCATCGAAAACAAAAACCGATATACAGAATTATGCATCTTAGTATAGTCTACTTGTGTGCCAAGTTATATTGAAATCAGATCAAAACTGTAGGAGGAGTAGCGTTTTGAAAGTTTTTAAAGAAAATTTCTATTTTTAGTTACCATGGCAACACCGTTCATCGAAATCAAAAACCGATACATAGAATTATGTATCTTAGTGTAGTCTACTTGTGTGCCAAGTTATATTGAAATCAGACCAAAACTGTAGGAGGAGTAGCATTTTGAAAAATTGTTTACAGACGGACGGACAGACAGACAGACAGACAGACAGACGGACGGACGACGGACACCTTACTATCGCATAAGCTCTTCTGGTCTCTGACCAGTAGAGCTAAAAATTTGCTTTTTTTATACTGAGCTAAAAAAAAAACACATTCAAACATACATGTAGCTCTCATATTGTTCTTATCAATATACCATTTGATGTACACGTAGGTCTTAAATGGTCTTCACATGTTTCCTATTCATTATAGAAACTTTTTTTAAAAATTAGATTTATGAAATTCCCTCTTATTCTCTATTAAGTTGCATAAAACTGGGTAATTTTTATTCAACTAGCATAAGAATTATGTTTATCTGACAGAATCAGATAAATTTTAATGGACAATAGCATGACATACCTGAGCTGATACAAGGCAGAGCAAGGGATGGAATCCAGAGTTTGTTGGCATACTTGAAGACATTGACGTAAGTGAGAATAAGCTCATACAAACACCTGTCAGGTAGATTATCCAGCCAGATTGGACCCACAGCATGCAGCACATGTGTCACCCTATCAGGCAATCTTCCCCCTGCACGGGTATGCATTATCTCCCCTGTCGATAACATCCCATTCTTCTTGACAAATTCTTCACATTCTCTCTCCATGGTGGGACTAGCAGCCCTAGCAATTGCACCAGCAACTCCAGCACCATTGATAAGACTCCCATTGGCTGCATTGACTATTGCCACGGTGTTGACCTCAGTGATGTTACCTTGACACACGGTGACCTTGAGTGATCCTGCATTAAAAGTAAAGCTGTTGGCCTGTGAGTGGTCAGACATCAAGGCTGCTCTCTGACTATGCTTCAGGGCCTCAAACTGTGGCTCCAGGGAGCTGTAATGAGATGAAAGCAGCCTGTCTATGACCGAGGAGGAGGAATCTTTTTTCTCAGCAGCTTTGTTTGTACTGGGTTTAGCACCTTTTTCTAGAGCACTGCTTGTACCGGGTTTAATGCTGATGTGGTTGCTCTCCTTCATAATGCTGTTAGATTTCACAGTTGTTTTGGATGATTTAGATGCCCCTCCTTTCTGCCTGCTTGTGTGAGGGAGACTGGAGAAGTTCTCAAAAGTATTATTGGCATCGTCAAACCTGTAATTAATATATATATATATATATATATATATATATATATATATATATATATATATATATATATATATATATATATGTAATTATTTATTATGTTAATCTAGTACATTAATTAAACATAGGTAATCAAAGATTACAAAGCTCACCTTGACAAATGTTATCTGTTTGTAAGACAAATCTCACACCAAATTTTTTTTCTAGTTAGTGTGCATCCTGAGATCAATATCCATGCAATAGGACTTATATTTACTTGCAAATGGACCTACTCAAAAAACTTTAACCTGTTCACTCGTCCAGAAAATGTATGCCACATCCAGAACTCAGAGCAAGTCTGATAGCATCCATCCCTGTTAAATCATCCATGAAGTTTAAACATAACAGGCCATATACATGTAGTTATAGAGCCACTTCAAAAACTTTAACCTGTTCACTCGTCCAGAAAATGTAGGCCACATCCAGAACTCAAAGCAAGTCTGACAGTGTCCATCCCTGTTAAATCATCCAAGCAAGTTTAATCATAACAGGCCATATAGTTATAGAGCCACTCCAAATATACATTACCCTGGTCACTCATCTAGAAAATTAAGGTCAGATCAAGCATCCGAAGCAAGTCTGGTAGTATCCATCCCTATACGTATCATCCATGCAAGTTTGGTCCAGGTAGGGTTTACAGTAACTTGGGAATGGACTTGCTCCTAAAACTTCTACCTGATCACTCATCTGTAAAATGTAGGTCAGAGGAAGTCTTGTAGTATCCATCCCTAGATGCATCATCCATGCAAGTTGGGTCAAGGTAGGGCTTATGGTTACTTGAGAATGGACTTGCTCCTAAAACCTAACTAGGATGCCAACACTCTATATATATTTTAATCATAATATCTGTATGTTTCTATTTACTAAACCTAACCTTTTGGTTCCCCTCCCAAATGACTCCTCCTCTGAGCTTTCATCTGCATTTGAAGGAAAAACTTGAATAGATTCTCGACCATTTACACTCTGCAGACTCAGATAATCCAATGGACGGTCTACTTGGTTCTGGTAGCCAGGGAGACTGTTTTCATTGATAAAAGATGTTTTTGATGTTGGATCCTTGTAGTCACTTCGAAGATGAGATTCAGCAGATGTTGGCACTTTCTCAGACTTAGTAAATAGTCTGTCAGTCTCTTTATGGCTAAGACTGCTTGATTTATGAGTCGATGAAAACAAGTCATCCAGCTGAGACTCTGAATATTTACTAAGTTCTTGAGTCCACTCTGCTCCAGGACTAGTAATAGGACGGACATTACTGACCCCTGAGATGGATTTCACCTGAGTTTCGTGATCTATTTCCATAGGTAAGTTCCTTCTGTCTCTGTAATCACTAATGCTGGACTCCTTGTGTTTACTTACTTCCTTCTCTCTAAAAAATGCACCATTCTCATCTTCATCTTCTAAAGATCTGTCATCACTTTTACTCCAGTAAGGAGCTTGGTTCTCCTGTCTACTGTTGCTTGATAGAAAACGTTCTGATGACTCTAACCTGTCTGATTTCCCATTGTGACTAGGTTGTTTGGAGCCGCTCAGACTTTTCTGCAAGTTGTATCCCTTGTTCAATGCTCTTGAATGAATCTTCTCTTGCTGATGTAAATACCGACCAATGATTTCCCATCCCATTTCAATTTGAAACATATTTCCCTCAAGAATACAACATCCTGCGGAGTCAAAGGTCAAGGACAATCCAATAATATACAATAAATGGTCTTTACAGGCCGTGACAGATTCAATAAGAAGAGAAACAGCAGGATCTACCCTGGCTTGGATAGTGGAAAATATCTGGAGAGCAAAAAATAAAATGTTCAAAAATTAAACAGTCTTCAAATTGTTAATCATTTAAAATGTAACTATTTTTCTTTGAATTTAGAATTTGATACAAATTTTGTGTGTATCATTATCAAAATGTCTCTGAAAATCTCATGCATCATCAAAAATAAACCTTCCTGCTCACTGTCAGCTGCAGAACTGAAGGTCTTTGGGACAGAAAATTTGGGTACACATACCAGAGATCTTTGTCTGTCAAATATCTGTCTCAGAGAGCTACAGTTCTGCAGCTAGCTCAATGTAGGATTTAGGCTATACATCTAGTTCAATTAAAAAGTTCCTTTTCATTTTTTTTTTCTATTTTTAGAAAAATATTCACAAGTTTTCAAAGTTAAAGTTTGTTACTTTTCATGCTTTACATTTAGGTAAAAAGCCAGTCCAATAAAGACAAAGAAGTGTATGAATTAAATACATAGCCAAAACACTTGCAAATTTGTTATATTTGATTTTTCTTTCACTCTTAATGAAGCCTTTATGTTGACTTTCATGATGACAGTGCTTTTTCTTTAACACGAATTCAAAATTTCGGGCAAAACATATGGGAAAAATGTCAGTGGACAGACAAATGGACAGACCAAAAACAATGTGCCCAGGTCATCTAACATAAGGGCATAAGAGATCATCTTACTTTAGGGGGTAGAAAATACATATCCACTTCCCTGCCAGCCACTGTATGCTCCTCAATGGACATAACTTGTGCAGCAACTGAAAGATAGGTTTGAAAATTTCATCATTGGAAATCATTGTACCTCTATAAGATAATTCAATAACAAGTTTAAAAAATGATTATAAATCACTGGGTTGTCAAATTCCAAAATTTTGTAATTTCTCAACTGATCTAGTCACCTTATTTCATATACAATATTTTGTATGATACTAGTACATTATTCCATGCTTCATGTGTTTAATTGACTCTCATTTTCATCAGTAGTAAGGATTATATTTTATATTTCACATGCAAATACTTTAAACATGTTAAAGCTATGAAATGTTAAAGTCTATCAATCAATGATTCCACAAGATCTTAAACAATGCTCTTTGTAATTGCAAATACTTAATGGATAATTATCAAAATCCTCAACTTAATTTATCACTGTGACAATACCTGCGCTACATGTGCTTATTTTTTGTTGTTATGAATTTACCATGACTCTCTTGAAAAACAATAACAGCATCATTATTCATCAATGGATAGTAGATCTTTTCCACTGGACCCCCGCCATGTTCTGGTTTACTGAAGTACACCCTCAACTCGTCCTCTCTTGTTGTTGAACCAAGACATGTGACCCGAATGCTCGACATGTTTTCGATCCTTCAGACAGGAGTTATGTTTTATTCGTAACCATTACAATTCCTACAAAATAACATTTTATTTCACTGAATATTTCATTTCTTTGGCTACAATTTGTAAAACTTACAATATCTTGAGAGGCTATCTCAATAGTCAAAAGACATTATTAATATTATAAAAGACTTCTTTTATATGTAGATTTTTTTTACAACAAGTAGCAGATGGTTTATTTTCAAACTTTGCTAGTAAAATAGCTTAAGAAAAATATAACTGTGAAATCACTTATTTTTCTGGGGGTGGGGTGGGGTTGGGGGTCGGGGTGTTAAAATCAAAATAAGTGATTTTACAATAAAATCTGGGTACAAAATTCCTATCCACCTACTAGAGAATGAATGTTTTTTCTGCAGTTTTCCCATTTTAAGAAATATAAATTTATATCAATTTCTCGGTTTTAAAAAGACTTCTTATACTCCTGGGATAAGTCACAGGTGCCTGATTTTAATCTATATGCCTGATACCTAATACATTAAAGAGAGTGCAGCAGGCTCAATAGACTAATGTACAAGAAAAGAGAAAATCTTAATTGAAGTCTGTATATTCATCAAGCAAATTTTTGTGTGAAATCTTCCCAGAATTTCTTTGCTACCTGGCAGAATTCCATGCCACATACAATGACGAATATAACAGGCCTGCAGTTATCATGATGATTTAGTTCTTGCAGAGAGCTAGAAGAAACAAAAAATAATAATTGCATGTAATCTACTTGTAATGCTTTTCATTAAAAATGCACTAGGCCTTTTTAGACTCTGTTATGGAAATGCAACATACAAATGACGTCAATGTGACGTCACAGTCTAGACAGTGGTTCAAAGTTTAAAGGCAAATCAAAATTACACTGTTACAAGTGTAACCTGTGTGAAGGTTTTTGATAATTCAACTGCACTCCCTTTAACAGCCACATCCTAAAACATAATTTATCATTTAAATTAAAACCAAAGCACCTGTCAGCATGGTCATTGTAGGATAAGTCTAGTGTAGAAAAACATTGACAATCTGAATCATAACTTGTATTGATATACCGCAAAGACTTTGATAAGGAAATAACATCTAGACTTTTAAAATAATTGAGGTTATCTCTGAAAATATTTATTTTCTGGGTGTTTCATACATAATTTGTAAGATACATGTATGCTACATGTATGTATGGCAACATACTAAGAAATTTAAATTCTTAAGAGATGGCTGTAACCATTAATGTACAGACTTACTGTTGGCAATATCTTGAAGCTATCAGCTTCTTAATTTCTTGACTTTTAAGATTCCATAGTGACTGTTTGTATGTTGAAAATGAAAGTGGGTACACCAACAAAGGTCAAGGGAGATAATTATAAAGATAAAAGAAATTCCGTACCCGAGTCGGTTTTTCTTGATTTGTTCATGATAACAAGTTCAAATGGATAACTTACTGTTGGTCATTAAATACTAATGAAAATAACACAAGATATCCTTACACGAGGTTATTAGATATATATAACCCTTTCATCTAACCATTATTTTATTTTTTAAAGAATTATTTTACATCGGGTACATTATACGAAATACAGTAACGTAACATGTGCATGGTCAACACACGATGAATCGGATGATATTATGTTATAAAAACGGAATTATAATCTAATTTTCTGTACTGAAGCAGGAGTCAAAAAGTATAAGTAAGTAGTTTTAAGACCTTCATGGATATCTGGTCATAGACATTGATACATAGTTGTTCTCTGTCTAGAACAGGATAGGAAACATCTGACCCGATATATTTGTTCAATGATTCCATTTTAGTAGGTCGCACTTGGTTTAAATTAATTTGTAATGTTCAAATGCAATTTAGGTAATGCCACAGAAAAGCGCCTCCTTCAAAAGAGGTAAGGTTAAGGCTAAATCTCAAAGCAAAACATCCACAGATGAACCAGCAGTGAAAAAGAAGAAAGTGATTAAGGATGAAAACTTCCCAAGAGGTGGGGGTGTCTGGAAGATCCAGGACAGTTCTGACCAGTCATCATCACAGAATATTGCTAATCCAGATGCTGAACTTTTTAAGGTAAGCATTGATGTATTCTTTTTTTATTCTCAAAAACCAATTTGCATATATACAACATGTAGGAGATAGGCAGTGTTGCTTAATTTTCATTTACTTTATAAATTGGATGTGTGTCATTTTTATCCATCAAACTTGTAGTTTCATTCTGTTTGAAGCATACATTAATACATATATCTGTTTTGTGTCCAGGAAGTTGATGAGCAACACAAGTCATTACAGTCAAGAAGAAAAAAGAAGGAAGAGGCCAAGAAATCAAAGGCTCAACAAAAACCTAGGGTGCCCATATTGGTAGATAATCAACCAGAGCCACACCTTCTTACTAGACAGGTATTGGATATTACCATGTGTTTAAAGATGTGTAAAGATAGCATGAATTGAAAAGTTTGTTACACAATATTTTGTCCATGTTATAATTACTATCAGAAGTTGCCATTCATAAAATTCAGTTTAACTGATTTGAGGTTTTTCATGTGAACAGGTTTGTGTAAACTTGCAGTTTTGGATTTTAATCTTTGAGAATTAATACGAATAGCACATTTATGCAGTTTTAACAATCAGCATTACAAGATGCTTTTATGCATTTAGAATGACATAATGTTGTACTCGTAACAAAAAAAAACGCTCTTTCATTGAATGAACAAAGCCATCAAACACATTAAACATTTCTCATTTTGAAATTATAGTCAAACCTTGTTGTCTCGAACTCGAAGAGAAGAAGGTTAAACTCTGAGATATCCTAGTATTTGAGATAACCAGGGTAAAACATGAAGAAGTGGTTGGGACTGCAAACACACTTCGATATATCCCAAGTATTCAAGATATCAGTGTTAGAAATAATGAAGTTCAACCGTATTTATCACCGACAAAATACATTTTATTTTATATATTAACAGATTCTTGCCCCAGGAATGCTAGTCCTAGGATGTGTCAAAGAGGTTCATGAATACAACCTGATCATCAGTTTACCCAACAATCTCTCTGGCACTGTGGCCTTGACCCAGATCAGCCCCGCCTACACCCAACAGCTCCAGAGGTTGACCCAGTTGTCTGAGGAGGATGTTGCAAATGAGGAAACAGTCAGTGAAGTTTATTTCAAGTCAGATGAGTTGTCACTTAATAGGATAGTAGTATACATATAATGAAGTTCCATGGTCTAATTAGTTGTTCTGATAAGATAAATACTCAAAAACTTTGATATATTGAACAGGACTAAAAAGAAACCGTTGAGATATCCATGATCAAAACATCAAAGTTGAAATAAGTATTTAACGTGATTTAAGGTCAGGACCACCAAGTCATTGCTACAGATATTACATGTCAGTGTTTGAGATACTGATGTCTACCTGTAATTTTTGATTCTCTTCCTTATTCAAATTCCACATTATAAAGCATTTTATTTAGAGTTTCAGTCTTACACATGCAATATTACTTTTTGTTTGTAAAAAGTCATTCCCTCTGGTTGACAATTATGGTGTGTTTTTTTTTAAGATGTAAAAAAGATATTTATATTTGATTCCAGGATGTAGCAGACCTACACACATTATTTAAAGTTGGTACAATTGTGCCATGTAAAGTCTTGTCTGTACAGACTACAAAACAGTCTGGGGTCAAAATCAATCTGAGCCTTAATCCAGCGGACATAAATAGAGATCTGACCTCAGAGAGCCTGCACAATGGAATGGTGAGGAGTTTTAGGAATATTTATGTACTTTTTACAGTTACTAAAAATATTATGTAATTTTACTCTTTTGCATAGATACATGTATTCAAATAAAATCAGAGATTTTTTAGCATTGATTTTGCTGTAGGTCTTAACAATAGTTTCATGTGAAGATACGTTTATTTATATCAAGTGAAATGAGCAAAAATCATCCAAGTTTATTTTTTTTCCCCATTTACTGGTACATTATTCATATATCATACTGTTTTTATTTTTCAGTCCATATTTGGAAGCATTTCGAGTGTAGAAGACCGGGGTTATGTGGTGGATCTAGGAATCAGAGGAGTGAAAACATTCATGAAGAGTTTGGATGCGGAGAAATTTATACAGCTTCACAATGAGGGTAAGACAAAGAGTAAGAGCTTTATATACGTACATGTATGTGCTGTTCTTTCCCGTAGAACAATTAAAGCAGCTTGTGGCAGAGCACACATTTACAACAGTGTTATATTTGCACGTACAAATGGGCCAGTCATTAATACACATGATCAATAATTTTTCTTGCTAATGGATTTCAAGTTGTAGACTTCTATAAATTGTACTTTAGACATGGAATTCTTTATTGTTTATTGTTGAAGAGTTCCCTCCCTTTATAACAGAGTAATTCATTTGGTATATACAGTCAAATCTTGTAATCTCAGCTTGATTGGACAGAGAAAAAACTTTGAGATATTTGAGGCTTCAAATGTAAGTGAGTAAAATAAGTGGTTGGGACTTTTCCAATTCACTTTGACATATCCATGGTATTTGATGTTCGGGCTATACATGTATGTGTAGTGTTAATTCATTTTTATTATAAACATGTAGATTATGTAGAATAATAGAAAATACAAAATGAATTATACTTTCATATCTGATTTTAAAACAATAAAATGCTTTCTTTGGTTGTTAATATGGGAATTAATGTGGCAACTGTTGCAGAAAAAATACATAACCCGCGTAAGTGGGTTATGTGAATTTTTTCTGCAATTGCTGCAATGTTAATTCCCATACTAACAAACAAAAAAAGACATTTTATGTTCATATTTATATCTATATAAAAAAAAAACATTCAAAGTAAATTAATTATGTTAAATATTGTATTATAGATGTGTATGTCAGTGTATGCATAATTGATGGAACAGCCATTGCTTAAGAAATCTATGCAGGTGGCTTGCTTAGTGTTGTTTACTGACTGATTAACAGCAATAATTCTTATAAGAAATAAAGGAAATAATATTCAGTGGATGTAAATTTTTCAAAATTAGAGGAATAATGTAAAATACAGGTACCTTTTATTACTGCCTGTATATGAATTAAAACTTGCTTAGTACAAAAAAGCGAATACAGCGAGTTAATGGATATAGCAATTTTTTTTTCTGATCCAGGTAAAATATTAACAATTAGGCCTACTTGTAAAATTTCATGGTTATAACAAGTTCTAATATAATGAATTTAAGGTTATAGCAAATAGTAAAGAGATTAATATTCTTTGTAAGTATTCATGCATATTTGAAATCAGAAAACCATAGTAATTGATTGCAAGTTTTGTATTTAATACATCCCTAACCATATTCAGTAGTGATACTTGAAGGAAAACATGTGAATTTAGCTATATAAACTATAATGTATTCATTATATGGGTATAATGAATTACATATATAGTGAAGTAAAGTCACAAGCTCCAAGGACTTGTACAGCTGAATTGAGGTTTTCTTTAAGAGAAAGATACATGTACATTTAGGTACTTCAGTTACCAGGCTCTGGGAGCATAAAGCAGTTGTAGACTCAAGTCAGAATTTATACATTGTGTAAAATTTTTACTACTGAAAACACATAAAATTTGAAATGTTAAAAATTCTGTCAATTTTGTGCTGTTAATTTTAATTTTCAAGTGTCAGCTAATAAAAATACATGTACTCATTTTATGCATGACAGAAATTTTGACCTTAGTCTAAGACTGTTTCATGATCTGTATGCAGTTCAATCACTGAAATCTCCATATTTTGTAGGTTACTCACTGAAGGTTGGTCAGCCTGTTTATTGTGGGCTGAAGCTGGGGGAGGATCGAATGGAGCGGGTAGCAGGAGATACAAGAACAGTCAATGTCATGATAGACCCTGTAGAGGTTTCTGTCTCACAGGTAGGGGAGATAACCTGTCACCCCTATTGTTGATTTACTAAGTATTAAATTTTTTCATGTAAAGTTGACAGTTCACATGTACAGTGTATATCTGTTTAACTTTTTTTGTGAACTGGATAGAAATGACTTGTGTTGATGAAATCAGTAAACATATGTAATAAACTAAAAATGTTGAGGAAATAATAAGTATTCACAAAAAAAAAAAATATTACTCATTTGAAAATTTTCTAATAAATTTTTATTAATGTTTTTATTTTTGATTATAATACCATGGTAACTTGAACATACATTAAATATACTATTCATCTAGTTGAAAGGAGAAATGGATGTTAAATTCAATAACTTGGTGCCTGGAATGAGGGTTGCTGCAAGAGTTACAAAGGTGATTTTTTTTCTTCATAGATGTTAAACAACAAAGTAATTCAATGATTACTGTATCCCAGTTATTAGTATCTGAAAGTCAGCTGAATTATTTAGTTTACAGGTTTGTTTTGGTAATAGTTATACATGTATAAACACTTTCTAAATGTTTTTGCTCTAGCTGCTTTGAATTCATATCTTTCTATTTCTTTTATGGATTATTCATTATATTGAAATAATTAAGGTTTGCTTAGTTTTATTTCATTGCTTTATTCAGTCTAGAGAACAGCAAAAACTACAAATGTATTAGGAAAAATTGATTGTGTATAGTCTTATGGTAATAATATGGCCAATATAAGTCTGGAAAAGAGCACAATCATTATGGAATTTATAGCTGTTCATATAAAGACAGATAAACCACTCAAAAAAAAAATCCTTGAATTTAATATATCAGCATAGACGTATAATAATTTACATGTATTTATGTTATAGGTTTGTGATAATGGAGGGGTTGTGGTGAAATTTCTCAGCTTCAAAGGAAGCATCCCTGTAACACATCTCAGCAGCCGATCCCCCACAAAAGGCGACCAGGTCAGAAAAAAAAGTTTTTATAATTTCTTTTGTTTATATCTCCAAATCTATAGTTTTTTAAAGAATGATCAGATACTGTAAAATGACTTATTATTGAGGGGTTAAATTTTTGCAGATTTAGGAAAAATGATTTAAGGGGATTTGATTTTGTGGTTGAAGAAGAAGCATATGCATCTACTGTTATGTAAAATTTTAGCATTTCATGGGTCTACATAAATTTGTTGGTCCTGTCATAACAAGAAAACAACAAATATTAAATCCCCGTGAAAATAAGTGATTTCACAGTAGATGTTTTTGAAGCAGGTTCATTCCCAGGTAGACTCCTACCTTTACCAAGCTTGGGTAGACCATCTTGGAAAGTGTACGTTATATTCCAGTGATGGTTCAGATGGTACCTGGGAAATTATTTTCAAGATAGTTACTGGGTAAAGTTCTTGAAAAAGTACCACTAACCAGGTGACAATAAGACCAACTTTAATTAAAATTGCATAGATAGTGCGTCTGGTGATGTACATGTGTACTTGTATATCACCATTCGTGTTTAGATTTTTAATGTGACATACCAGGTAATATGTCAAGATGAGTGACCAGATTAAATATTTATAAGCAGCTGTACCATAGTTCTAATCACCTGTATTAGTCTAATAATGACAAGTCTTATATAGTATGAATTGGAATACCGGTATATAGATTGGAATTATAAGCCAAGTTGGTCTAAAGACAGAAGGTTTTTACTTTTATTAGTGACTGCACCCAAGATCCAAAAATGAGAATAATTATATACATTCCTGACAGTGTAGCTTTTAACTTTTATATACATGTACATGTATAAGATTTTGAGAAATATTCAGACAAGGTGAACTTTTAGATGATCCTACATGAAAATCATTTAAAGGTTGTTTAGCTGAGAGCATGCACTACTTTAGATTACATATATATGCCTTATTCAATACACAGATGAAGGGATAATGTTCTTTCTAGTTAATCTCTTTGGAACTGTCTATTCTCTTTAAGAAGTTGGCTATGCCAACTAGTTATACCCCCGCTCCGAAGGAGAGGGGGGTATACTGTTTTACCTTTGTGTGTCTGTCTGTTTGTCTGTCCGTCCATCTGTCTGTCTGTCTGTGTGTCTATTCGTAACAAATTTTGGTCGCAGTTTTCTCAGCAACTACTCATTGCAGATGCTTGAAATTTTAACACACTCTTTGTTTAGGCATGCCATATGATGGAATTCATTTTTTACAAATCCGATTTCAACTTCCTGTTTATTCGTGCATCTGTCCATACCATACATAACAAATTTGGGTGGCAGTTTTCTCAGCAACTACTCATCACAGATGCTTGAAATTTTAACACTCTTTGTTTAGGCATGCTATATGTTGGGATTCATTTTTGTACAAATCCAATGTCAATTTCATGATTATCACTGTGTCTGTCCATAACTGAACTTGTGTATTCACATCAGAGCGGGAGTATTATTAGTGTGCATTGGCTCACAGACTTCTTGTTGATTCTTGTTCAGGGATTGGTAATGGGTTTTAAATTTATTAAAAACTTGTATCATATTCATATTTTTATCATGTTGTGTATGTTTGATACAGTTGAAAGCCAGTATCCTCTATATACATCCAACAACAAAGGCAGTTGTCCTGACAACACTACCCCACATTTTGGATTATGGAGGAGTGCCCCAGAATACAGCCCTAACACAATATGACAAAGGGGACATAGTTGAAGAAGCCAGGGTCCTGTACACAGACCTTAAAAGGGGAGTCTACTTCAGGGTAGAGGATGGAGTTACTGCCCTTGCTAGTGTAAGGCATAATTTTAATGACCCTGCATGTTTTTCTTTATTAGTTAAATGTACAGAATTCAGTAATGTTTGAAAAACATGTACATGCTTTATTGATTTATCATAAAATTTGCTCATTAATATGTTCTATTATTTATATACAATATGTTTTATTATATTTAAATGCTGTGTTATTTTGATAGCCAAAAAACCTATCTGATGAAAAAAATTCTGATATGAAGGTCAACTTTAAGCGTGGGACTGTTCATAGGTATTGTAAGATTACTTGAAATTTTGTAAAAATTGTACTTTTATGTCTACTTTAGTGATACATGTATGTGCGATTAAAGATTACAGAAAAAAAAAATCATTTTCTTGATCAAGTTTTGCTGTAGTATATGGATCTACATAATATAAATGTAAATTTACTGAATTTTCTGAGTCTGAACATAATGCTTTATTTTACAGGTGTCGTGTTTTAGGAGTAGACTGGATGGACAATGTAGTTCATGTAGGCCTGAAAAAGTAAGCCACAAATGTCACACTATGCTCAAGAAATTTTATTTACTCTGTCAACTAAACAGAAAATTGTAGATGCATAAAATGGATAAATGCATGGTTCTAGAAGAGAAAGCAAATAAAATCTGAATAATTTGAGCTTGTTTTATAATCATTGGTTTTAAGGCCAGTGGATTTCTCAACCCAGTGGCCAAATTGAGATTGCGATTGCTAAAGCAATTTCACCAACAAATGACAATATGAATATCATTGGAAAATTCAGATTTAATCACTGTATGCAGTTCCATGTATATTATGCATATTAATGATTTTTTTTCATTAAATATATCAGTTCTTTTTTCTTTTATTTTAGGAGTTTGTTTTCAAAGTCTTTTCTTAGCTTGAAAAGTCTGCACCCTGGAGATTTACTTGAGGTAAAATTCTAACTTGACTATTCCTTGATTAACTTGTTGTTTATTTCTTTATTTTGTTTTAAATGTATTCTGAGTGAATGCTTGTAGCTGTGCAAATATTTTTTTAATATTGTATTCAAATGTAATCATATCGTACTGGCTAATGATCAATTCTTCAACAGTACTACTTCTCCGGTAGTCCAGACTATGTGTTAACATGTGATTTTAAAGTTTTAATACCAGAAGTGACATATATAGCCATTTCAATTTACAGTATAAATGTGCCTTTTGTAAAAATCTTATTTGATTGGTTGTTTGAACAATTTTCTTTTATTCAAAGCAAAATGGCAGAAGTTATGTTTCTGACAAGTGGTTGCCAACCAGAATAGCTTTGCATCAAAAGAAAAAATAAAGTAGAAAATTATATTGTCTCTTTAATGAAATAATATGGAAATTAATGACTACAGTGTGAGGTTGTGGAATTGAGAGATAAAGGTGCCATAGTTAAGGCTGGCAATATATCAGGAATCATTCCCAGCATGCATCTAGCAGATATACCACTAAAAATGCCAGAAAAGAAGTTCACTTCTGGGTGTAAAATAAAATGCCGGGTAAGTAAGAATACACTCTATGCAAATTATTTCCTGAACTTTATAAGATGTTTTTAAATTTCAAAATGACACGTTGATATTAATTAGAACTGGAAGGGATTTTTTTTCCTTTTTTTTATGAATTTTTGTTTCCATTAAAAAAAAATAAGTGTACAGAAAACTTGGAATGATTTGGTTTGTTTAATGAATTCCTGGTCATTTGAAATGACAAGGTGACTTTATTTCTCTCTACTTTACAGATATTGAAAAATGATCTGGTTAAGAAAAGCCTTGTTTTAACAGCCAAAAAATCTTTGATCCACACCCAGCTTCCTTTGTTAACTGATTTTGCACAGCTTGAAAAGGGTCTGCAAGTGGAGGGATACATCATAAAAACATACAGTAAAGGAGTCCTGGTGGGATTCTATGACAATGTCAAGGTCAGTCTCTCTTTCAGCTTTGGTTAATGATGAAACTGTTCTTTTAATGCTTGACAATGAATGATCTTGGGGTCATAATGGATTTCTTTTGCTTGCTTGTTAACCGACCAATATGTAAACTTTTTGTTTAATTTTTTATCTTCATGTACATTCATGTACAATGTATATGAGATAGAGATACTTCACATTTGATATGTCTACACTGCTTATGGACTTAGATGCCATGAGTACTTTGTGAATGTCTTGCCTCAGTCCTATGTGTATTTAGAGGTTTGAAAGGAATTTGTGACAGCTATAGGCACTTTGGCACTTTGTCTCGAAAGTGTATCTTTTTTTTGTGTTGGATTTTAATCTCAGATGCATCTAAGTGATACAAAAGTTATAAAGCTGTTAGAAACAAGAAAGTTCTTAAAAAGCTGATAATGCATTTAATGTACATTTATATATGAACTAATTACTTTTACATTTAATTCATTTGCATACACATAATGAATGATACCTCATTTCATTTCTTTCACAAGGGATTTGTTCCTAAGAAGGAGTTAAGCACTGAAGAAATTTCTCACCCAGAGAAAGTGTTTTATACTGGACAAGTTGTCAAGTGTCTCGTTCTGGACTGGAACACTGAAAAAGGAACCTTAACTCTGTCATTCAAGGTATTTACACATATATCTCAATTTAGAACAAGTTTGTTAGTTTCATAGAAAGTGATTTTTAAATATTTTTGAGTTCTTCTCTCTGTTTAGTCTGATGACTGGGAACAGCATGGATCCAGACTGGCAGATGTACCTGAAGACTTTCAAATTGGCAAGGTGAGAAAAACAAATTATACTGTAAAGGTATTTATAGATATTCTGTACAGTTGATGATTGTGTTCATTCTTAAGTATAATGTCATCATTACTGATATCCTTATTTTAGACTGTAGATTGTAAGGTGAGGCAGAAAAGCAAGACAGGATTGGATGTTGTCATAGGTACCTCAGGAGTGTCAGCATTTTTACCCAGAATTCATCTCTCTGATTCCAAAGCAACCTGTGACCTTCAGATGGAGGTCATAAAACCAGACAGTGTGTTGAGGAATTGTGTTTACCTAAGTCATTCTAGTGTCTTAGTATCCTTTTTGTTTGTTTGTATTAATATGTATCATATAAACTGGTAATTTTTATATATTGTACTGTATCCAGCAGATTTTTATTTTCAAAACTGGGATCAGGGGAAATTCCCCTGGGAAATGCTGTTTGAAATCTTTCTTTTATTTGTAACCTGATGTTATTCAATTGGTTGCTCTGATGTTGACTTCAGAATTTGAAATAAGTTTATCCCTCTTTTTCTGTTTTCTAATGTTTTTCCTCAGTCAGCTGTACATAGTTATTTAGAACTTGAGGCATTGTTTTGAAGTAGACACTGTTATAGATTCTTAACTTAAAAAAAGATATTAAGTAGAAGAAAATCAATCGTGGATTACTTCAAGGAGAATGTAGTGGTCACTAACATCACAGACCTGAAGGTATGAAATCAATATAAACGTGTATCAATCAATCTTTTATAACTTTAAAAATTTGTCTAACATCTATAATCTTCAAGTTGAAGAATAACAGATGTAATATTGAACTTTCCAAAGCCAGAGCCAAAAATGTAAATTTAAATGTGATAATGACATGGCCTGGCTAGTTGAAGCCATAACTGGAATTCAGAGTCTTACTGGTCCATGTATACACAATTTTTATGCCCCGCCATGAATATGGCCGGGGCATATAGTGTTTGTCATGTCCGTCTTCCGTCCTTCTGCCCTTCCGTCTGTCCTTCCGTCACACTTTGCATTTAGCTCTGTTCAAAGCTCAGTTTCAAAGAAACTATCCAAGATATTTTTATCAAAATTCATATGCTGATAGATATTGATGAGAGCTATGCAACTGCATCAACATTTTTTGACCTTGACCTTTCTTTTGACCTTGACCTCACTTTTCTTAAATTAGTGTTTAGCTCAGTTTTAAAGATACCATTCAAGATAGTGTAGTCAAACTTCATATGTTGATACATACTGATGTAAGCTATTCAACTGCATCAACATTTTTTGACCTTGACCTTTCTTTTGACCTTGACCTCACTTTTCTTAAATAAGTGTGTAGCTCAGTTTTAATGAAACCATTCAAGATATTTTTAACAAACTTCATATGCTGATACATACTGATGAGAGCTATTCAACTGCATCAATATTTTTTACCTTGACCTTTACTTTGACCTTGACTTCACTTTTCTTAAATAAGTTCTTAGCTGAGTTATAAAGATACCATTCAAGTTAGTGTTATCAAACTTCATATGCTGATACATACTGATGAGAGCTATTCAACTGCATCAACATTTTTTGACCTTGACCTTTTTTGACCTTTGACCTCACTTTTCTTAAATTAGTGTCAAACTTCATATGCTGATACATACTGATGAGAGCTATTCAACTGCATCAATATTTTTTTGACCTTGACCTTTCCTTTGACCTTGAACTCACTTTTCTTAAATTAGTGTTTAGCTCAGTTTTAAAGAAACCATTCATAAAATATTTATCAAACTTCATATGCTTATACATACTGATGTAATTTTTTCAACTGCATAAACAATTTTTGACCTTGACCTTTTCTTTGACCTTGACCTCACTTTTCTTAAATTTTTGTCAAACTTCACATGCTGATACATACTGATGTAAGCTATTCAACTGCATCAATATTTTTTTCACCTTGACCTTTCCTTTGACCTTGACCTCACTTTTCTCAATTTGTGTTAAAATGTTGCATTACTAATATACCCTCAGCGGGGCATTCATGTCCTATGGACATATTTCTAGTTTTTTTAAGTTTAAGGGTGAACTTTTGTCAATGTACATGCATATACAATGTATTCTAGCTTCTATCTTCATACATTGAAATCCTCAGAAGGTGCTTCTTAACATTACATTATTATTTGTCATAAAGAGCAAGCTTTGTGCTGCTAAGGCTTCTTTGTTAAGTAATAAAAGTTTGTGACTTTCTAGTTATTTTCCTAATGATGATTTTCTCTTATCTCAGGATGGCATGTTGATTCCTGGGACAGTCAAGTCTATTCACCCTCGCTATGGAATCTTTGTGGAACTACCAGCAGGCTTGGTTGGGTTAGCCCCTAACAGAGTAAGTCAGGGGTGGATCTAACTACAACATTAAATATAAGGGAGCGTTAGGGAAAGATAGTGGAGAAAACAAACTTTAAGACTTTAAGAAAAAAGATAAAGAATCTTACAATTAAATGAGAAAAGGGGGAGTGATGGCAGGTAAGAGTAAATTAAATGAATGTGTTTTGCCTCTGAGTAGAATGATATTCTCTAATTGGGTAAAGGACATCATGTGCCTGCCTTCAATATTTCTTTGGATGGTAAGTAGCAACATTTGGACGGCAACATGGAGGATTAAACAATGTTTTGTCATCCAAATTTAAAGAAAAAAATATGCCAGTGCTGTTTTTACTTTTAAAAGAAACCAATAAATTTGCTATGTCTTTAATCAATGCTGTGATTAAATTGAGAGTAGCGCCCCTTTTCAATGATGTAATAAGTAAAAAGAACAGGACAAGTGAAGAAGATTTGTACACATGAGAAAATCGTTTGTTATTGATCTCGGTAGATTTGTTAACTGTAATTGGTCCTTGACAAAAACATAACACTTCACCTCACCTTCCATGAACATGAACAACCGCAATATTTCTGTGGAAGTCAGTAATAAACCTTATAAGTAATATTAATAAAATATTAGATGGAGATTCCTGGAAAATGAGAGGACACACTGGAGCACTGAAAAAAAACTGATTTTACTGTGCAGGATCATATTAGATTCCTTATGGAAATTTTAGAGATTCTTTTATCATAGTAAAGTAAATAGATAAGACCTTAAACATTTGATATCACCAGGGGTTAAATTTTTATATTATTCTCGAAATAAAACAGTATTTAGTAATTTCTTATCTTTTTTTTTCAAATCATAGATAGATGTACATATGTTTTTTTATGAACTTTCTTCCTTATAGTATGTATCAGACAGACAGTGGCAGAGAGCCAAGGAACAGTATTACACTGGTCAAGCGGTCATTGCTAGAATACTTCAGACCAATGCCCAGGACAACAAATGTTTGGTGTCTCTAAGGATGCAGGAGTGTTACCAAGGAAACACAGATGCCAGTATTGTAGAGGAATATTTACTGGCATTAGACATCTTGTGTAAACATGGCGGTAATTTTTTAGATTTTTGGACATTCATGTACATATCGTTTAGATTATTCTGTCCATTAAATATTCTTTTAATTGGAATACTTAATTTTGTATACTTGTATAACCATTTGCAAACTTGGTTTCAAGAAATTGATAAAGAACTGTGTCAAATACACAATCAAACCACATTATCTCAAACTTGATGGGACCGAGATATGTACCGGGTAGGCTAAAATGCATATAGAAAAAGTAGTTTGGACTTTCAACATATCCATGGTATTTGAGATATCAGTGTTTGAGATGGAGAAGTTCAACTGTACATTTTATTGTCATTTATATACCTGCACATTCTATTAAAGGAAAGACATCCATGTTTGCCCCAGACATTGAGATTGGTGACATATGTACAGCATTCTATCTTGGCAGAAGTGATGACAAAATTGTCTACAAACTGACTGATCATGGTCTCACAGCCAAATGTCCCCTGGATCTCATGGATGGTAAGAATAAAAAAAAATCTGATGAATCCACTTAACTTAAACTAAAGATAGTTTTCTAAGAAAATATTTTCCCTCGGAGTCCCTTCTTGGAGATCAACCATTGAATTTTCTTTTTAGATTACACCAAATTTAAGACCTGTGGCAGAAATACATGAGAAAAATCTTTACAATAAGGAAATTATGAATTAAAGGATTCTTTAAAAAACATATATCTCCTATAATAAAAAACTATGTTTTCTACACCTATATTGCTATTATGACAAGATTAAATATGTTAAATTATAGAGTTTTGGCATGTTGACCTTCAATATGGCAGCCAGTGTCAAATAATCTTTCCTAAGTTCATGTTTATATCCAATACTACATATATCTATAAAGCAGAAATGGTTAAATAAAGTGTTGAATTCTAATTTGGTTTCAATGTTTTCAAATTTTTTACCACAGTTGTAATATTATTGTGTTACTTGACATGAAAGCATTGAAAAAAAAAATGCATCGGCAGTGTAGAAATATCAAAATGACAATTTAATGTTTTAAGAAATGGCATGACAAGGAAGTTTATTAGATATCTAAGTACTGTGTTTTACAGATGAGGATGATGATAATATGAGCTCAGTGGAGGTGGCAGTTCTGAATTTCAATACAAAGGACACCAGTGTTGATGTAGTATCAAACAAAGAAGTAGTGACAGCTATCAAAGAGAAATTACAAACTAAAGTAAAGATTTTTATTCTTTGTATTATTTTCTGTTTTGGTACAGCACAGTGATTTTTCTCAGGGTTTTTTTTTTTTTTGCGAGATGGTCAGGCAGGTTTGATCGCCAGTGGGGAGATAACTCTGTTGGTAGAGCACCTGACTAGTGATTCAGGGGGCTGGGGTTCAAATCTTGGTCTGGTCCATCTCATTTTTCTCCTGTCCTCTAATATTTGGTGCCATGACCATGCCCTTGAAGTGACAGGTTAAAGACATGCCAGAGAAGAGCCTGGGTTTGTGTCTTCAGGAACAAAGACCTTTAAGGGGGGGGGGGGGGGGGAGATGTGGCGGTAAGGCAGATTCGGTCATCGGTGGTCAGATAGCTCAGTTGGTAGAGAACCTGTCTGTCAAATCTTTCTCTCTCACTGGTTACATTTGCATTAAATACATTCAATGATAAGGGAAAAAAAAGATTGAAAAGATTTTAAAACTTCCCAGAGTTTATATTTTGAAAAACGTAGATATTATTTTGATGACTAATTTCAGGGTAAAGTTCACCAGAAAGTGAAAGGAAAAGTTTTACTAATTTGTGATGAGGTTACCGTGGTAATTCTACAGGGGTCACTTAGAGGACAAGTGGCACACATTCCTACAAAGAAGGTAAGGATACATGTATTTGTTGAAACTTAAGGTAAAATATTTTCCTACAGTTAACTTTACTGTGCTTGTGGTTCGTGTCTTCACTAATTATATTGCAATTATTTTTTCCCTCAGCATTTAAATGATGTCCTTGGACCTAGTTTTTCTGTAGCACAGCAATTAACCATTTCTATTCAAAAGTAAGTTTATGGCATTTTTATAATTTTTATTTCTCTTAAACGCTACTGTATATGTATATGTATGATACATGTATCAATATCTGTTTTAACTTGTAAATATCATGGCATTACTGAAAAGGTTAAATATGTCAGTTTGCTTGGACTGGATACTCAATTGTGGATTGAATTGTTATAAATTTCTCATTTTTAAGTAAAATGCTTTGAAAATGTGATTTCATTGATGTATTAAATTTTTTAAAAAAAATTCTTTTTAGAATTTTCAATGGTCACGTTGTGGGTGTTCTGGATTATCCCCCCCACAGGCAGACAAACAGACAGACAGTGGACGGTTTGGACTTTGAAAATGGTGAGCTTCCCATATCAATTTATTCTCACAGGCTTTCATTTTTTGAAAAAAAAAAACTTTGAGATGCACTCAAGATTCCTTATTCTTGCCATGCCATCTTGAGTTCTACTCACTTGTTTGTTTCAGTAGATTCAGGGAAATAACTAAACATTTTGATTCCTGTACAGAATTTTCACATATGATACCACCATGTATATAATATAACCATGTATATAATATAACCATGTATATGATATAACCATGTATATAATATAACCCTGTATATAATATAACCATCTATATAATATAACCATGTATATAATATTATACATTTATTGACTGGGTTCGAGGGCAGCATGCGTTTTGTCGGACCCAAGAACCAAACTGTTTGCCTTAGGCCGAAGGCAAACAGTTTGGTTTGAGGGGTCCACAAAACGCATTTTGCCCGAGAACACAGTCAATAAATGTTTTGTTATACCTTTTACTTTTTAATTTGACATAACACGATGTAAATTTTGTTCACCCGCACTGCGGTCTTAACTTGGTCAATTCTGTAAAGTTCTGTCAAACTCCAACGAATGCAAATGAGATATAGCTAACCCTGCCCATAATGTGACGTAAGCAGTACAACATCTCGTTGACAGGTCCAATATCTCGCTCTGCGGTCAAACATCGATTTTTTTATGACCGCTCAGTGAAACATTGGAAATGTTGGACTTTTTTTAGTGTAGAATTTTATAGGAAACAATTTTTAAAGGTGTAAGAAAACCATGTATATAATATAATTATGTATGTAATATAACTATGTATATAATATAACTATGTATATAATACAACTATGTATATAATATAACCATGTATATAGTATAACCATGTATATAATATAACCATGTATATGATATAACCATGTATATTATATAACCATGTATATGATATAACCATGTATATATTATAACCATGTATATAACATAACCATTGTAAGTGTCTGAAATTTGAATACATTATATTTTAAGAATTTTACAGTTAAAATATACATGTACAGTGTATATACACATAAAGCTTTTCTCCTCATATTTGAAGACTCCTACATGTACCATATCTAGGGATTAAGAAAAAATTAATACATGCACTAATATTTTTATTATAGGAAAGTTTAATCTTGATCCAGGAAATGTTGTTGAGGGTCGCCTTCAGAAGCTTAAGAAGAGATCGGGAATTTTGGTCAATTTAGTAGGTGGAGCTAAAGGAATTGTTTGTTTGACAGACTTATTTGACGAGTATCAAAATGACCCACTGACCTACTTCAAGCAAGGCCAGCATTTAAAATGTTATGTGATTGATCTAGGACCAAGACAAACCTATCAGTTGTCCCTCAGAAAATCAAGGTAAATTGAATAATGAAGTTTGACTTTATAAAGTCATAATTTTGATCTGATGTATAAAAGAATATGTCACCTGTTTAAAAATAAATTTTGGTGCATTTGGAGAGGAAGCACAATTATGCTATCAATGAAATGGCTAGCTGCCCAAATAACGCCACTTAAAATGATTACTTGAGGTCAAACTAATTTTCTTAGGATTACCAATGATAAGTCAGATGTCAAAGACCCTGAAGTCCTAGGGGTGAAGTCAATAAGAGTCGGACAGGTTGTGAGAGGATACATTATAAAGAAGACTAGCTCTGATATCTTAGTAAGGTAATGGAGGCTTCATCACCTCAAACTGAGAAAAGGCTGCTTTTTCATACAGTAAAGTTGATTCAAATAGTGTAAAAAGCTTTTAATTCACAAATCAGACATCAGCTTGGTTAAAACTATACAAGGTTTTCAATTTTTTTGTTCACAAGTTTACATAAATGCCCATATTAAGATGTGAAGCTTTGTCCAACCTGGCATGGTATTTCATGCAAATTTTTTTTTGTCAAGATTTCAATCTACATGTATATCACATTGCAGATCTTTATCCACGCTTGTGAATGGCATGTGAGCAATATACCTTAAATTTGAGCTGTGCATCAAATGTATCTCATTACATAGATACATGTACATTATACATGTACATGTATTTGGATGCTGATTAAACAGCATACACAGTTACAAGGAATAGAATGTTTTAGTGGTACAGGTTTTGAATTTGGTTGTTTTCCACTACACCAGATTTGTTCACAATAACTATAATTGGTGCAAAGAATTTCACTCTTAGTTTAACTAGGTTTGATTTATGATTTCTTTTGTTGACTGCTATTTTATAGTTTATTTCATATTAGTTTCTGTTTTTTCCAGGATAGGCAGAGATCTGTTTGGGACAATAGATGGAGCTGATTTCTCACAAATAGATAGGAGAACCAAACGTCTCTTATTTAATGGCAAAATTGTAATATCTGCAAAAATTACTAGGTAAATATCCATGAAACATTTTAAATTTTGTTGTTTTTTAAAATTGTACAGAAAGGTCAAAATAAACTTCTTTTGGGAGAAATTGAAAAAATCTGGAATACTGTACTTGTAGTTCCATTTCATTTAATATGAGATTAAATATAATCAGCCTGACTTTATTCATAAGAATCATACTTAAATCTAATGCATATGTATTTTTTTCTTTGTATTAACAGTTATCTTTATTAACCAAAAAATGTTTTTTGTCTTTTAGTTTGGAAGGTGACAAAGTGAAGATGAAATTTTTATCATATAAAAAGGATGAAACTAAAGGAAAAACAATAAAAAGGCAGCATAGTATGAATTCTGTAGACAGTGAGGACTCCAGAAAAGTGAACAGTGAGGGAGATTCAGAGGATGAAAGTGAAAAACAGCCAAGGAAGAAGAAAACGAAGAAAATGAGAGAGAACAATGAATCTGATATTCTAACAGAAGAATCTCACAACAACACACGAGACAGGCTGAGTGAGGTTAGTTTTATACATGTACTGAGGAAAATTACTACAGGGTCATTTTAAAGTTTGACTTTCTTATTTGTTTCAATTAACATGTGTGCAATGCAACATTTTGTTTTCCCTGTAAATCTTTAAATATACAAGTTAATTTTTTTTTTCAAATGTACCTCTGTGATTTGTATTCTAAAAATCACAACTTTTTTTGATTTACAAAAAAAAAAAATATGAGAAATAATTAGCAATAAAACACAGGTGTACTTAAGTTGGGTCAGCTTGGTTAATATCAATAGTGAATTAACCATGCTTGTCCAGTCAAAGTGTTAATCCAGCTAAAAACATCTAATGATTGGCAGTTCAATTGAAAGGTTCATCACTCATATCAGTATGGTCAATTACATACCTGGTATGTAACAGTTCTCTATTGAATCCCTTTATCTCTAACTATAATAATATCATATCCAGTTTGATCAATAGATTAGTTACATGCATATTTGTTTTTTTTTTACCTCAACAGTAACACAGATACTTACTAGTATATACATGTAAGATATAAATCAGATAAACCATCTCGAGCATCTATATAAGGACATGTAACCAGACTTTGTCTGAACTTTACCACTTTGAAATGTAAATGATGATTAAAAAATGTTTTTTTCTGTACATTAAGCAAAAAAACTTTTTAAAAATTAATGTAATGTAGAGTAATCACAAGTAATCATGATTACATGATGGAAAAGTAATCAGATGTAATTGATTACTTTAAAAAATGCCTGTAATCAGCTTGTAATTGATTACTTTTAAAATCCAAAGTAAATGTAGTTTAATCGATTACTTTTGAAAGTAATCGACCCCATCTCAGATCATGATTAAAGGTCCTAGATTCTGGACAGGGATGAGGGAATACTGGTACTTTTTCATTTTTCTTGATTTTAAGTATTTTCTTTCTGTGTAAAGTAGTAAAGAGGATGCATTACGAGTTCAGATGAGGAATTCAAGAAAGAAAAAAGCAGCAAAAGAGACTTGCATTTAATCCATTGACATTGAAATGAAATATGATTTTGATTTACATGCAGTCTTTACATGCTTTAATGGTGTCTCCTTTAGCTCCCCAGCCTTAAAATTGACCAGGCCTTCTCTTGGGATGCAGACCTGACATTACCACCAACAGATGGCGCTGGCAGCAGTAGTGATGAAACTGACACAGAAGAAAACCTGGTCAGTGACATTTACATTTTGAAAGTGAAAGTGAAACTTAAAACAATCAGTAACACATATTTATATTTCATGTACATCTTAGGATAGATTAACATGGATTCTTTTCATTTCTGTGGAGTAATTATGAAATTTATTTAATATTTTCAGAGAAAACCACAGAAAAGCAAGAAGGATAAAAAGAAGGAAGAATGCATGTTGTTTGAGGTAAATGAAAGCAGACCAAAAAAAATTATCACAAGGAGTCTAATGCAGGACAACTGATACTGAATATTTACCTGTATTTTAAGAAGATGTACAAAGTATGTGTAACTTCTTAGTGATCATGTACATGTACAGGTATATGTAACAAAAAAAAATGTACACAGTGTTTGATAATTTAGATTTTAAACAGTCTTTAAAAATCTTGCATCATTTTGAACTCAAGAAAAATACTTTTGTGTTGTCAATCAGATATTGGTTAATTCTATTACAGTTTGAGAAGAAACAATTGGAGGGGGTGGTACAGCCAGAGAAGGCTGATGATTTTGAGAGACTGGTTCTGCAGTCCCCCGATAGTTCATTGGTATGGATCAGATACATGGCGTATCATTTAGAGTCCTCCGAAATAGAAAAAGCCCAGGCCGTAGCTGAAAGGGCTCTCAAGACCATATCATTCAGGTAAAGAATTCCTGAACATGTGACTTTATTTTTGTGACTGAGGAAACATTCTACATCGATACACAATTATATAATTGGTTGGTGATGAGAAATGTTCTCGAGTAAAAGGAGGACACAAAACTTGTGGGTATTTCTCACACACGAATAAAAGCTGGTTTACATTATTAGGCCTAAGGCATTTCATGAAAATGGAATTTCATGTGTATGTTTTTGTAACGCTGGTCTTTTTGATTCATTAGAGAGGAACAGGAGAGACTTAATGTGTGGGTGGCTTATCTAAATTTGGAAAATATGTATGGGACACCAGCTCAGCTACAGAAAGTATTAGAGAGAGCTGTCCAACAGAACGAACCTCTAAATGTGTACCAGCAGCTAGTCAGCATCTATATCAAGTCAGGAAAACTAGAGGTAGATGAATATCAACAAGTGTAAATATTCTTGATTTATCAAAGGACTTGAAGTCTATGGTTTCATACAAATTTGAGCATGAATAGAAGGAAACCTTTATGGTTCAAATAAATGCAGAAGAATCTAATAGTCTGTACTGGTTAAGAGATAAAGTTTAGCTGTATGATGAAAGGAATTAAAAATTGTTTTGACCATCTCTACAATTTCACTTTTGTATTGTTAAAGCTATAGTACATAAAAAAATCTTTATTTTTGTCTACAGGAAGCTGAACAGTTGTACAGCAAGATGGTTAAAAAACACAGCGCCAATAAATCTGTCTGGCTTGGGTTCGGAGAGTTCTTATTCAGAAACGGACGAGCCGAGTCAGCTCGCAAACTCTTACAGAGGAGCTTAAACTCGTTAGAAAAAAGAGATCGTAAGTACCGTTGTATCTTCTCTCAGATCTTGTTTATAGTGACATCTTGTTGTAGTGTAAGTTTAAGGGAATCAGGCGGTTTTTGATACTTGAGGTTTCTTTGGTTTATTTCTTCTTTCTGTCCTTTTCTGTCGGGACATGATGTTATAATGTTGAGTGCATGTATAAAGAGAGGAGAGCCACTTTTTTGATACTTCAGATGTTTCATAATCATTGTCAAGAAACTGATTTCCTTTGTGATTAGTAATGATTTATAAGATGTATGTATTGTAATTGCATGTAATGTGTATGGGAGAGAACTTTTTATAGACCATCTCTCCTGTTGTCTCATCTCTGTGCTTCCATATAACAGAGGACTTGAACTCACTATTCTAGCCTTACGTTCAGTCCTATTCTCTTTCAACAAAATGCACAATGAACTAAAAAAATTATATTAATTAGATGTGGAAACAATATCTAAGTTTGCCCAGATGGAGTTCAAGTATGGGGATGCAGAAAGAGGGAAGACTATGTTTGAGAACATTTTGGTGAACTACCCAAGGAGAACTGACCTGTGGTCAATCTATATAGATATGGTGGTCAAAGTGGGGGACATTGAAGGGGCCAGGTAAATCTCATGTATTAATTGGATATGTTTCATATAAGAATAATTTAATTCTGGTTGTAATGCTGTATTTGATTGGATAAAAAATTTACTTTATATCGTATAAAATGGGTTGCCTACGTCACAATGACTTGCGTCAAAAACGTATCGATCCGCCTGACGTTACATTCAAATTTTGTACAAATTGAAGTCATTTTTAAGGACAGTCATCTTTTTTTCTTACACCAAATGAATGAAAATTAAATTATAAGGAATGAATTTAATAGCTACCCATTTTATACGGTATAAACTGGGTTGGAACAGTTTACACTTTTTTATAAACCGCTTCGCGGTTTATAAAGCGTAAACTGCCCCAACCCAGTTTATACCGTATAAAATGGGTAGCTATTAAATTCATTCCTTAATTAAGAAATAAGGTATCATTTTAAAAGTTTTATCGGGATGTAAATACGGGTTGGTCATGTGATCAAATCCCATAAAGCCCAAAGGGCTTTATGGTAGATTTGATCACATGCCAACCCGTATTTACATCCCGATAAAACTTTTAAAATGATACCTTATTACTTATATTTACATTTGTGACTGATTTATAACAGATAGTAAGGTACTAAAGTTTTAAACCCATAAATGATTTATTTTTTTCAAAACTCAACGGTATAACTTGAATGTGTTGAACACGTCGATCACTTATGACGTCACTATGAAATTACATAGATCGTTTATGACTAAACAATCAATTTATGGTCACATGATGAACGTGTTTTACACAGGTGTAAAAACGCCTTGTTCAAATAGTGTTATATAAGGGAAAACATTTGCAAATGTAAATATTTAAAGTTAAGGAATAGCATTATCTAACAATCATGTTTTTTAATGAGATTAATAAGTTTATCCTAATTTTTTTTTTATTGAGGACAAGTTATCAAACTGTAAAAAAATCAAAAAATCATTGTCTTCATAAGAAATGTGAAACAGATATACATTCTTTGAAAAACCATGTCATTTCACTTTGCAAACCAATACAGGTCTTTTAATAAGGAATACAAAAAAAAAAAAAAAAAAAAAAGAGAGAGAATGGATTTACCATAGTTTAATGTGTTAGGATACAATATTGAAAAGCAGCACATAATACTGAGCTTTAAGGATTTGTATGATCATTGATTTTAAAATAAACACATTTCAGAAAGGAACTTTAGTGAAAAATCTAGAATTCTGTTAAACATGCATCAAAATGTCATGCATTTGTAGTGATTTGGGCTGTATGCATTGTGGATATTGGCCTGGGTAGATCAGTGGTTAAAGCACCTCACTAATAATGAAGGAGTCCAGGGTTTGATTCCAAGTCAAGTCATATATTTCCTCCTTTCCTGTTACACATACAAGTACATATGCAGTGTACATGATTTGTGATGAATATTTATTGACAATTGTCCTCTAATTTTGTTAAGAAGCAGGAGGGAAAATGCCCAAATTACTAAATGTTCTTTATACCAGAATGTACAGCAACTTTAGTGTAGTTAATTTAGAATTTGTCGTAAGTGCTTGAACATTATCATTGCTGATCTTTACAGACTGCTGTTTGAAAGAGTAATCAACTTACAAATGGCTATGAAGAAAATGAAGTTCTTTTTCAAGAAATTTTTGGACTTTGAGGAGAAACATGGTGATGAGTTTACAGTGGCATCTGTGAAACAAAAAGCTCAGGAATACGTAGACTCACACTGAGCAGTACTCAGTAGTGATGTGAATGATGTGTTCATGATAAGATTCATTGTCTACATGTAGTCTAAGATGTAGATGTGAGCTTCCAATTCATTGTTAGAAATCAGCTTGGATGTTCAGAGATGGCTACCATAAAACCATATGAAAATCAGTAATTCATAGTTCTTATGGAAGAATGCCTGCAGAAGTGTGAAAATTCTAACACTGGATGACTTAATTCATTCATATTAAAAATTTTATGAGAATTTTTTATAATTAGGAAGTCTTTCTTTCATTTTTCCTATAGTTAAAATAACTTGCTACCTGATGTCATGAATAGTTTATTATTTACAGTATGATGCAATAAATTGAAATGTTATCCTTTGTAAAGAAGGTTTAATTAAACTTTTAATTTGAATCACATTTATAAACTTCATTGAAAACACAAGCATGATGATTGCAAGCCATAATTTTTGTAGTTACACAATTTCACTACATTTATGTTTCAGCATGGAAAGATTTGCCCAAGAGGAAGTCTTTACCCTTCTTGTAAGGCATTCAAGGATAAATGATATTTCTCAATCAATCTTTACATTTGATATCAGAATAATATTCCTGTTTTTAGGAGATTATCATGCAAATGTTTTTTTTTTTCCAATTGAAACTCCTCACGCTTCTGAAAAATTTAGATAAAGGCTCTTTTAAAAATCACTTTGTATAAAATTTAATATTAAGAAAATGTGCTCTCCTCCCTTTTCTTCCCTTTGCTCCATCAAATGGTAGCCTATAGGTCACCACAGGTTGTGGATCATGATAGTCTTGATGAATTTCTGTGTGGTCCTGGGCTGTCCCGGCCTTCAAAAATAAGACCATGAGAGACCTCCCTTAGAACTACATGTATTAACTATATCATTAGATATAGTTCATAGCAAACTTTGTCATTAGATTGTGGAAACTATATCATTAGATTACTGAAATGTCAAATTTCAGGGGCACTACTCTATAGTTAAAGGCCCCAAGTGAGAGTGGGATGGGTTCCTCTGAAGGATTCCTACTCTAAATGATAATTGTTTGGTTCTTCTACATAAACACTATACCAGGTAAAAGCAGAAAGTCTGGAAAAGTACCCACAACCCCCGGGACACCACCAGGTGGTTCCCATACAACCCCCAAAACAAGGACTGGGAATGGTGTTTCTGGCGATCTTGGCCTTGTCCAGCCTTATTAATAGGGTCACATGGACCCTCAAAGAAACTTTTAAATACAGCATTAAATCATACAGAGTAGCACCTAGTACTTCTAGGAAGAATTTTGAAAATTCATGGGTGGTGTTCCTGATTGTTAGCATGTGAAAATAGTTCCTAGCTTATTAAATTCATTTCTTGGATTGATTTTAAGGCTTGTCAGATTAGTACCTTCAGTCCATTTATCATGTTGTATTGGCTACTAGCTTCTGTAGACTAATCATCTGCTGATAAATGGCTACTAGCTTCTGTAGACTAATTGCCTGCTGATAAGTAACTACTACATTCTATAGACTAATCACCTGCTGATAAGTAGCTGCTAGCTTCTGTTGACTAATTTTCTTATGATAAGTAGCTACTAGCTTCTGCAGACTAATCATCTGCTGATAAATGGCTACTAGCTTCTGTATACTAATTGTCTGCTGATAAATGGCTACTAGATTCTGTAGACTAATTGTCTGCTGTTATGTGGCTACTAGCTTCTGTAGACTAATCATCTGTTGATAAGCGGCTTCTAGTTTCTGTAATCCCCTGTTGATATGAGTGGCTACAAGCTTCTATAGACTAATCACCTGCTGATAAATAGCTACTAGCTTCTGTAGACCGATTGCCTGCTGATAAGTAGCTACTAGCTTCTGTAGACTAATCGTCTGCTGATATTCTGTAGACTAATCATATGCTGATAAGTAGCTACTAGATTATGTAGACTAAATGTCTGCTGATAAGTGGCTACTAGCTTCTGTTGACTAATCGTCTGCTGATAAGTGGCTACTAGCTTCTATAGACTAATAAACTGCTGATAAATGGCTACTAACTTCTGTAGACTAAACGTCTGTTGATATTCTGTAGACTAATTGTTTGCTGATGAATGGCTACTAACTTCTGTAGACTAAATGTCTGCTGATAAGTGGCTACTAGCTTCTGTAGACTAATCGTCTGCTGATAAGTGGCTACTAGCTTCTGTAGACTAATAAATTGCTGATAAATGGCTACTAGCTTCTGTAGACTAAACGTCTGCTGATAAAAGGCTACTAGCTTCTGTAGACTAATAAATTGCTGATAAATGGCTACTAGCTTCTGTAGACTAAACGTCTGCTGATAAAAAGCGACTAGCTTCTGTAGACTAATAAAATACTGATAAGTTGCTACTAGCTTCTGTAGACTAAAACGTCTGCTGATAAAAGGCTACTAGCTTCTGTAGACTTATCGTCTGCTTATAAGTGGCTACTAGCTTCTGTAGACTAATCGCCTGCTAATAAGTGGCTACTAGCTTCTGTAGATTAATTGTCTGCTGATAAGTGGCTACTAGCTTCTGTAGACTAATCGCCTGCTAATAAGTGGTTACTAGCTTCTGTAGACTAATTGTCTGCTGATAAGTGACTACTAGCTTCTGCAGACTAATGGTCTTCGGATAAATGGCTACAAGCTTCTATAGACTAATCGCCTACTTGTAAGTAGCTATTAGCTTCTGTAGACTAATCGTCTGCTGATATGTGGCTACTAGCTTCTGTAGTCTAATTGTTTGTTGATAAGTAGCTACTAGCTTCTGTAGACTAATTGTCTGCTGATAAATGGCTACTAGTTTCTGTAGACTAATCGTCTGCTGATCTTCTGTAGACTTATTGTCTGCTGATAAATGGCTACTAGTTTCTGTAGATTAATCGTCTGCTGATATTCTGTAGACTAATTGTCTGCTGATAAATGGCTACGAGTTTCTGTAGACTAATCGTCTGCTGATATTCTGTAGACTAATCGCCTGCTGATAAGTGCCTACTAGCTTCAGCCTGGTTTTTCTTTTAATCCTGCTCCTATTTGATTCCCCTCCACTGAACAATTAAAAAGGTTTCAATATTGAAAAAAAATGTCACTACTGAAAAAATATGACGTACATTTTTTTCATGAATTTTTAAAAGCTGAGGGAAGTTTACTTTCCAGATTAAAAAGAATCTAATTTCATGCTCCAGATTTTGTGAATGTATCTCTGAAGAGACAAAATACGAAAAGTTAGGTATAACGCATCATAAATTATTCTGTTGAAATTAAAGCGCATTAGAGATCAAAATTATTCTGTTGTAATTATAATGCGAATAGTCACTTAGCAATTAAAGCTTCAAATGATATCAATTTAATATACTTTTAAAAACCGACAAAGGGAATACAGTATTGATTACCGCACTTGAAATGACACGCAGAGTTCCCTAAGGAATTAAGCGGTTTCAGGAGGGGGGTTAGAAGTTCCTTGACAAGCCCTAGAAATTCCTTGGCAACCCTTCCCTTTTAAATGAAATAAAATAAGATTTAAAAAAGTATAAATGAGAAAGGTCAACTTAAGCTGGTGTATAAATCTTGAAATATTTATTGGGAGTTGTCGGTTTCTAAGGGCCTGTCACATGTATTCATGGTACATATGTATTATGTATCAGTGGTACATTGCAAGTTGAATAAATTACGACTGCTTTTATAATATATATTTGCCCTGAAAATATCAGCTATGCCAATTTTTTTTTTCTCTTTGGTTAACATTACCCAAAGAAGCACTTTTTTTTATGAATTCCGGAACGAAATTAAACTTCGAGATGTTTATCCAACCAGTAACAACTAATTTAGAAACGCTCCATCAACAATTATATCATTCTTATTTAACAATATTTACCCGTGCCACATTTCTCTCTTCGGTTATTATAACCCGGGGAAAACACTCTTTTTTAAATTTAGGAATTCATTGATTAGGTTAAGACTTGGAAATAGTTACCCGCAGATAGTTATCCTCGGTTGAGTGAATTTATTTGAACAAAGAATGAATATTAGATGTTTTCAGAAACACAATCATGACAATTTCTTACGCGCTATTGGTATCGTAGATTAAACCCATTATGTTGCATTCCAGAGCAGTAAAACTGTAGGTGCTTATTCAGTTTTAGGAACATCCATTTCGGAAACATTCCTCATTCTTATGATGACTTCATAAAAATCTTAATGCGCTCACATAACACCTATTATGGAACTTTGGACATTTTCATTATGGATATTTCATTTTCTTGGTAAGTACTTCAAGCATTCTGAGGCTTTATGAGTAACGCATCAAGAGCGTATTAATTGTCTTCGTAGTACACAATTTGAAAAGGGGGGGAAGGGAGGGAGTGTCTTTTTTTTTTATATAAAAAGATGACTGCAAGGCTTTAGATATCATGTCAGGCTATATTAAAAGAATTCAAAATAAAATCAGGCTTTCCTTTCTATTTAGTGTTGATTTACAACGTCACAAACATAAAGTGTGAGATAATAACGATCATTTCACCTTCCAATAGGTTGCACAATTCTCAAATCTAGTCCTAAAAATGTAAAATCATGTATAATTTTGTTTAAACCAGAACGCTTTAATTTGTCAACAGATATTAGCACTGTACTTATAAGAAGACGTGTTACATTCACAGAATTATTTATCATGATATTTTCGGAACTTGTTCCGATTAATCAATCCAGAACTAAGAAATAGCATTTTTCATATATAATATTTTTAAAAGACTTGACAAAACCACTCATCAAAATCAGAAACTGAATGATGAGCCATGATGTAGTCTACTTCACATGGGCTCAGTTTCAGGATGGTGTCTTTTGTGAATTTTGGGTTTTTCTATGTCTGTCTAAATATACTGATTATGATCAAACATTGCTGAAATTAGCAGCTTTAAAAATATCGTATTTCATTTTTTAAGTACGTTGAAGTATGATTTTTTTAAGAACTGCTAATTCCAGTGATTTTTGCTTTTATATATATTTATTGTACAGCTTTAAGTAGTAAGTGTGCAGTCATCCCTGATTATTATTGCTGCCAGAATGTGTGGTCATCCCTGCTCTGCACTTGGCATCTCTTAGCAATTAGTGTGCGGACATCCCTGCTTAAATTGTTGCTCCCAAGATCAGGTGTGGACTTCCCTGCTTGGATCTTCTGGCAGAACACTGGTGTGTGGACAACCCTACCCTGCAGTGTCTCTGATTGGAATCGATTCGTTAGCGACAGCCCTGCTTGTTGCTGCGCAAGGACAGGTGCGCGGACATCCCTCTTGTCCTTTGTGCATGTGAGGACTTCCCTGCCTTAATAATTGTTTTCTGCTAGTCACAAATCCTACACTATATACAGTAATTAATCGGGGATATCCGTTTCTATCACGGGTACGAGCCCGCGGGGGTTCAGTGACAGTGACTTCCCTCGCATTTACAGTATGATGGAAATAAGAGTGTATTGCTATTATGTGAACCTTGGGAAACGGGGATTTGTATGTAAAGAAAACGAAAGGTATTCAAAGCAGAAAGTCCACCAAAAAAATATTTTACACATTCAGGTATCCCTACATTCACTTATCAATAAGAGGTTTTCCTGGCCAGACCCAGACAACTATAATCGTGCCATGCACGGACATTGGGTTAATATGACCATTTAAAGGATGCATATCGCTACAATAGCCCATTGCATACCGATTTCGTTGCATTGTTTTACAGTGGACATACAAATTCTCCTAAGGCTCTCCACGGGTTTTTGATCTTTTTTTTACACCTGCACATACATTATTTTAATAGTTGGACCATTCTCAAGTTCAGACATAGGTAATCAAAGCTTACGAAGCTCACCTCGACGAATGCTACTGTATCTATAAGTCCAGACAAATCTCACATCATAATTTTTTTCTAGTTAGTGTACATCTCAAGATCAATATCGATACAAGTTTGGTTTAAGTAGCAGTTATAGTTACTGGGAATGAACCTGCTCAGAAAACTTTTTATGAATCAAGAAAATTTATGTCAGTTCCAACATCAAAAGCAAGTCTGGAAGTGTCCATCCTTATATGCATCTTCCATGCAAGATTAATCATAACAGGACACAAAATTATAGAGCTACTCTAATAACGTTACCCTGATCACTCATCTGGAAAATGTAGGTCAGATTCAGAATCCAATGATAGTCTGGGAGTGTCCATTCCTAGATACACCCATGCTTATTTGGTAAAAGTATGCATAAAATTCACTTACCGGTATGTGAAAAATAAAGGTCAGACCCAGCATCTGAAGCAGGTTGGGTAATGTACAGCTCTAGAGGCATCATCCATGCAAGTTTGGTAAAGGTTGGGCTTATAGTTACTTGGGAATGGACCTGTTCCAAAAACTTTAACCTGGTCACTCATCTTGAAAGTCTAGGTCAGATCCAGCATCCAAAGAAAGTGTGGTAGTGTCCATTGCTAGATGCATCATCCATGCAAGTTTGATCCAGGTAGGGTATAGGTACTTGGGAATGAACCTGCTCCAAAAACTTTAACCTGGTCACTCATCTAGAAAATCTAGGTCAGATCCAGCATCTGAAGCAAGTGTGACAGTGTCCATCCCTAGATGCATCATCCATGCAAGTTTGGTCCAGGTAGGGCTTATAGTTACTTGGATATGGGCTTGCTCCTAAAACTTTTACCGGGACGCCGACGCTAACGCCGACACAGATCGACGCCGGGGGTATAGCTTAAGCTCATCTCGATTTTGTCGAGGTGAGCTAAAAATGAGATTGGAAATAACTACAAATTCGAAGAGAGCAAGAATTATTGTGTTCAAATGCATTTTTTCTTTATTGTGATCCAGCAAATCCATTCTATACTCTGAAGTTGATAATAAAAGATTCTGGAGTTTCACATTGACAATATTTAGGTACTCTTTAAACACCAAGTCTTCCAACAAACTGTTGAAATTCCAGTGGCAAAAAATTGTACTCCTTTAAAGACCTAGCTTTTTTGTATTATTATGAAGCAAAATTTATAAAAACCAAAACTTCAACATGGGAAGAAAAAAAGTCTTGCAATGGCATTCTATCAACGACGTTCTATTAATTAATATCACTTGGGTTCGTTATTAAAGAGCAGATTTGGTATATCCCAATGAAATCGAACTAAAATTCACCACAGAGTATGCCACATCTAATTCATATTTGAATGTTTTACTCAATATACGCGTAGACGTTAATGGCAAACAAAAAACTTATTCATTATGAGAAATAGGATGATTTTAGTTTATTTATCGCAAACTTCCCATATTTAAATAGCAAACTCCAATCATCTTCATATGGTGTTCCTATCTCCTGACTGATTCAGTTCGTAATTTAAGAACATGTTCTGTGTACGATCAGTTTTTAAACCGAGGCAGGCTACTGACAAAGAAGTTTATGTCACATGGATTTCAACAGTTTTGTTGAGTTTGCATTTTGCAAATTCTACGGTCGTCATAACGATATAATCTGTAAATACGTCAAATTTGACAGACATGTTTCATACCTATTGTGTATACTATTTAAATCCTGTAAACCCCCCTCCCCCTTTTCAACTAGGTTACTTTGGTCGGACATCAGATAGTCAGCATTTTTACGTTTAGTGCACAAACTTGACACTTACACCCAATGCAGATTATTATCATAACATGTATATATAAGTTATTATTTTGTGTTAATTTTTAAGGAACTACGCAAACCTTCCTAAGAAGCACTTATTTCGTAATAAACACCCGCTACAAGAATGTTTTGCCAACATCTGGGTTAATATCTACGGGAGGTCAATGGTCACTCAGCGCTTGTGGAATCCTGTGCGCTTCGAACGATTTGTGTCAAACTATTTTCTTCAAACCACTGGAAAAGAAATGTTTCCTTTATATGTATTCCATCTGGAGGCATACTCAAAGAAAACAAGAAAGCGGAGTTGAAATGTACGAAATCGCTTGTAAGTTTCCTTCCAGAAAAAAGATACCAATGATATATGGATTTTTGTTTAAAATATATTTCTAAATTATAAAAAAATCGTTTACGTGAAGGTAGAACTTTACACGTTTATCAGTAAGAAGAATCTATTTCATAAATTCTTTTGCTCATAAATGCATGTCGTTAGGGAATTTTAAAGATGTTCACAAATTTTACTCCACCTTTCAGCATCATGTACTGATTTTGGTTTCGTGCATAATCGGGCAGGTGGGATCTGTTTCCAGATTTTCTGGACTCAAAACATCACGTCTACCTGGGCAATCATGTCGTGTAAACAACTTGGCGGATCATTGATTTCCTTAGATACAGACCAGAAAATAGGATTCGTGACAACTTATATACGTAATTATTGTGAGTAATAGAGATTCGTGACAACTTATATACGTAATTATTGTGAGTATAGAGATTCGTGAAAACTTATATACGTAATTATTGTGAGTATAGAGATTCGTGACAACTTATATACGTAATAATTGTGAGTATAGAGATTCGTGACAACTTATATACGTAATTATTGTGAGTAATAGAGATTCGTGACAACTTATATACGTAATTATTGTGAGTATAGAGATTCGTGACAACTTATATACGTAATTATTGTGAGTATAGACATTCGTGACAACTTATATACGTAATTATTGTGAGTATAGAGATTCGTGACAACTTATATACGTAATTATTGTGAGTAATAGAGATAATAGAGTTTTTTTTTTTAAAAAAAGAAAGAAAAGCACACAGCGCAGAGGCAAATCAGACACATGTTCTCGAAGACATTTCAACTATTTCCAACGAGAATTGAAACCTATATAACTTATGTGACCTGCAATATTAATGTTGACAATTGTTCAATTGAGAACTGGGCCATTTTTCAGTGCTCGAATTGAACAAATCGCAACTTTTGTCCATTCTCACTTTAAATATGATCATTGGCCAATCTTCAACAGGGGTCAATATTTTGTTTAACAATATTTTATGCTACTATATTTTAAGAGGTTAACAAAATAAAGTTTGCTTAGTATAATGTGTATTTGAAAAGGATTCGAAAAACAGACAAGCAAACTACTACTACTACTACTACTGAATTATGATAATGAACTTTATCATGAGAAACGAAATAGAACTCTTTTTGTACCTTGCAGTTTTTTGGGGAAAATGTTTTAACATTCAAAATAGTTTAGTCTTTTGACAATTGTAGTAATCAATGTAAATACTGTACATGCTTCTTCATTTTTAAAGATGACTTCTCAACTTCCCCCCGAAGAACATTCCAGATAGGACTTAACAATACGCAAGGACCAGAGAAATACACATGGAAGTGGTCGAATGGAGCTCAATTGTCACCGAATCTTTCCATACCATTTTACTTGAATAATTATGATGGCCATATGAGATCCTGTGCACCTGGACATTGTGGAGTGCTGAGTGTGAAAAATCTCACCACAGCAGTGTTTGATAACTGTTGTCTGAAAGTTTCATTTCTCTACATATGTTCAAAAGACATTGAGAAATGAGGTAATCATCTTTGAAGTATAAGGCAGCACTTACCCACTTAAAAATAATTAACCCATATTGTTATACCTTATAGAATTGCTTCCTATATAAATTTATACTAAAAAAGTCTAACATTTTCAATGTTTTTCTGAGCGGTAAAAAAAAAATCGATGTTGGACCGCTGAGTGAGATTTCGGGCCTGTCGATGAGATGTTGGAACCGCTATGACGTTTTTACGTCACAATGTATGCAGGATCAGCTATATCTTATCAATTATCGCAAATATGGAAGACAGTGCAAGATTATTTTAAAATAAAAATAAAAGGTATAACAACACAACATATTAACTGCGTTCTCGGGCAAAATGCGTTTTGTCGAACCCTCAAACCAAACTGTTTGCTTTCGGCCCAACGGCCTCAGGCAAACAGTTTGGTGCTTGGGGCAAAACACATGTTGCCCTCGAACCCAGTCAATAAATGTGTTCACCAAAAAACTAACGAGTATAGATGGGTGAATTAAAAAAAAATGACCACCAAACTGAATTTTTTTGGCAAAATTCAACTACTTATAACATATTTTTCACTTATATCATCATATTGCAAATGCATTCTAGTTTAAAATCCTGAAGTGGCAATGGAATAGACAATTGGATTAAAAAGTTTCAGAATTTTTATTAGTAAAATTTCTTTTGAAAAAAGAAAATATCATTACACCTTGAAAGATTTTCTAAAATACATAATCACAAGAAATTATAGTTTTTTATGCTTCAAAATGGTAAAAGGGGTATAAATGATTAAATCTATACCTTGAATGAGTATCTTCTCTTGTACATGTGACAAAAAATTGGCTTTTTGATTGTTATTTTACATTATTTTTTCAATTCTGGTTTGAAAAGTTTTAATATGAAAAAAATATGAAGCAATAAAATTCCCCAAAGTTCACTTTTTTGTCCGTTCAAGTCAATTCTTTAAATCTAGGCCAAAAAAGAATTGTTATATACGAGTTCTCTAACAAAAAATACTAGATTTTGAAGTGACCCTATGTTACATTATTGTGTTGCACTCCTGACATCTGATATGTATTTTATTTAACATTGTTTTAAAAATTATAACACACAATAACCCATTCTTACTTTGTAAATCAATTTGTCGTGTTGATATTTTTCATCGTTTACAGCAGGTTTTTCATATTTTGAAGACCTTAAAACATGATTATTTGCAAAGTGTAATATTTATAAATTGTATTTAAAATATATGTGAAATGATGAAAAATATTCCCTGAATTGACTGTAAATTTTCTGTAATTTGTTGATAGACATAGTGTTTTGAACATCAAATAGTATCAAGCATTTTTTTTCAACTTATTTTTTAGTAAAGATAGTTAAAACGCATTGGTATAATTATAAACCAGTTTTGTTGCACTCCTGACTGCAGTAAAGTTTAAAATTAAAACCATAGAACACAAAAATTCATAGAGTGTTGGCAACATCAAGTGGTAATGAAATTGTGCAATACTTATAGTCCAATACTTCATAATTAAACAGACGAAAGTATTTAAAATTCGTATTTTATCTGGAATTATACCCTATTTTATGCCCAAAAAACTAGCTTAAATGTATATTTAGAAGATAAAATATATTTTAAAGCATATTTTCCTTTAGAAGACAAACACAGTAACCCACCACAAAAATTCTACTCATCATTTTTTCTTTATTTTTATTCTTATTGGATGATTTATAATTCTAACATATTTGTTGCACTCCTGACCAAAAGCATTGGTGCTTTTAAAGTAGAATTGTGAAGTGAAAATTACATAAGAACTTGTTCTGTTGTTTCAGTGAAGTTAAAGAGGAATTACTTGAATTTAATGACAATGTTTCAGTGTGTTTATTTTTAATGTTCATTAAAAAAATCACAAAAAAGATAAAAACACATCTGAATTGATAAAATTGAAAAAGGAAGGATTTTAATAATAAAACTGTCAATAATTTAGCATTAAATTATACAAAAAGATCATTATTAATTAATGAATACTTCTAAGCATGAATACAAGTCTTTTCTTCACACAACTTGAATCTTTAAAAAAATGTGTTGCTCTCCTGACCATAGAAATATGGATCTGAAGCACAGACAGATCCTGTAATTGATAAATCTATTTGGTAAAAATGTTCTTAGTGTCTTTCTTTTCCAAAATAAAAATCAGAAAATCATATAATGATAATAGTTTTTTCATGCTTGGGAGCAAAACATCAAATGTTGCACTCCTGACATTTTTGGGTATGCACATATACTTGACTCTCATTAATGCTGCTTGTGATTTATATAACATTTTTAACTTTTAAAATGTATATCAGTTATTATTTTACACTTCCAAAATTCTTTTTTGTCTTAATTTTCTATGAGAATTTTACAATTGATGTTTTTTTGGCAACACTACATTTTTTCTGTTGCACTCCTGACATGGTATAACATTTTTTTAAACATCAGCCACGACCACAACTTGAGTAAACAAAAGTTATGACAGTCCACATTTAAAGCTCAGTACTTTGAATATTATCAGGAAAGTCTTTATTTTCAACATGAAGCATTATTTTTTATTTCACAGATCTCCAAAAAATATTGAAATTTCAAAATGTCACAAAAGGTGTTGCACTCCTGACAATTTTAGCATCATTTTTGGGCATAACTTTTTTGTTAATTGAGATATCAATGAGATATTTGGCAGGTATTTAGACACTATCTAAAGACATATGCTGAGACATAGAAATCTATTTTCATTGCATGTATTTTTAGTGTGGGTTGATAAATATGCGTTTGGTCATTTTTTTTTAATTCACCCAGATGCGGAATGAACAGTTTTCTCTAAAAAATGCTTATTCTATATTTTAAAATTCACAAGTACACTGCCAGATTTTACAATACTTTTTTCCTCTACAAAACATCATATACGTGTAGATGTATCGAAAAGTCTGCAATATTTTGCATGATATTCCGTTAATGATACATATATATGCCAAGAGCTCACTAAGTCAGTGAGATATCCATACATCAGATGAAAAAAAACTGCTTTAAACAGGTTGGAGAGAATACTCGAAATCGGGTATTATCCGTGAAATCGCGTATAGTCCCGATATCTGGGTATCGTTGAATCCGCGAAATCGGCTATCCCGTGCAATTTTCTGTAAAAGCAAAAAATTTAAGCAACGGCGCATTATGTCAATTAGTGTTACACGTACATCCGTATCTTGGGGATTTATTTTTATTGAATCCAATTTATAGGGTTGTCTGACAAGTTAAAATCACACGACAAACACTGCATGCAGACACGGTGGCGTCATTATTTTTCAATTCAATTTCTAAAAACAAATAACTACATGTCGTTTGTGTTTATTTCCCAAGAAATTATTCCACAAGCTTAATTTTCTAACTCATGTATTATTCACAAAATGTAAAACTTGGTAGAAATTTAACGACTAACGCAGTGTTATGTTATTTTTACTTAGAAAAGTATGGCGCCCCTTTCACGCTAAATTAACATTATTCCTCAGTTGGTAAGTATTTCTTGTCGATATAGAAAACCGACGTTATCGTTAGTGGAAATTAAATAAAAGTTAAAAAAAAAAAGAACATATGGGAAGGCAGGTTGAAAAATGATATAATATGAAATAAATTTAATATGTACATGTACTATAATACATTTTTAAAAATATATACAGTGTCTAAAAACAAATAACTACATGTCGTTTGTGTTTATTTCCCAATAAATTATTCCTCAAGCTTAACTCGTGCATTATTCACAAAATGTAAAACTTTGAAGAAATTTAACGATTATTGCTGTCTTATGTATTGATATATAGGTAAAAAAAGATTATAGAGTAAAATTATCAGTTCTTCCTATGATGTATGTATGCAGCGAGGTCATGCAATTCCCGCGGGAAAAGAGGAGGCGCGAATTTTTTTCGCGAATTTTTTAAGAAAAATTTTTAATGTCAATTTAGCATGGAAATTTCATTCAAAGACACCGCCAATGTTATGCTTGCAGATTGATGCAAGCGACGTTATTTTTTAAGAAAAATTTTTAATGTCAATTTAGCATGGAAATTTCATTCAAAGACACCGCCAATGTTATGCTTGCAGATTGATGCAAGCGACGTTATTTTACCTGAATGTGTTTGTGTGGAAATTGAGAGCAAGAAGTCATGTAAAAAGGATTTTCGTTTGGCTTGGTGGGGGGGGGGGGGGGGGGGTTCATATAAATTAAAATTCAATTCGGACCACAGGCACTTGTTTCGGTAATAAATTTTTAACCCATAGTATAATAATAACACAAGGTATCTAACTCCGAATTACACGGAGTACCCCCCTCCCCCAGAATCGCACTCATTTACACTTTCAGAGGAAATACACTGACAAACTGTTTATACCTATGTTTTCTACGATAATTTATCTACACAACCATATATGGCATGCTTGTCTTTATATTCTTTAGTCTCCGTAAACAGCGTCAAAACTCTGCTCGTCGAGTGGAAAAGTCGATTTCAACCATGAAATGGTATGTGCCTGTGATTCGGACGTCTTTTCATGTTCTAATTAAACATTCCCAATATAGAGCTAATATTCAATATTAATTATATTAAAGTTTTCACATATCTTATTTTGTAAATAATTATGAACAAACTGAAACGGAGTTTTCAATCGTGTCTTGGCAGAATTCCTGGTGTCCTCTACAAAAATTTGAATTTTTCAATTAAAATTTGTATATTTAGCACAGCACAATTTTAATTTTTCTTAAATTCTCGCCCGATCAACACTCAGGCTGTGCTAGAATAAGACCATGTAGAAACTATGGATGTCTTATTGCTCGCTTGAAGAACTTCTCTCTGAGTTCCCTGACGATGCCACTCACGGATTCTGTCAGCCACGGTTTGCGTTCCTTTCTATCTGTGAGTCTTATTAAACAGATTTGAGACAAACTCCGACCGGCGTATTAACTTTAAATATGGAACTGACAAATTTTGATACAGGTCGGTGTACTCGGGACGGCTGTCCGATTCCGACTGATCA